AAGTCAGTTAGCCCATCATAATGAATACACCTGGAATTCAGCATGATAGTTTCCAGGGGGGACACATTGAGATCGACCTGATAGGGTATATTTGGTATATAGGTATATTGCTAGCAATGAGACTGGTAGGCTGCATTACTAATAATCCCCTCTCCCTACCTGTACCTATTAATATAGTGTTATTTAAAATTAATATTATATTAATACAAATGTAAGTTTCTTAAAGGATATTTGATGATTAATTTATGAAAAAGTTCTCATTGATCAGTCCTACTAATATAGTCCAAATAGTAAATGTAAAAGTTTCTAAATATGCCAATATGGATAATATATCTAAAATTATTACATCATTATTAGAGGTAAATCAAAATAAAAAATATTATATAACAAAAATCTCTTGTAATAGTCAAACCAATAAACACCTGTGTCCAAAAAAAATATACCCACAACATAGAGAAATTGTAAGACCTATTTTTAAACTGGATAGTAAATTGGATTGTAACAATTATTGACTACTAGGTAACTATACTTTCTATTATTGATAAAATAATAGTAGAATTGATACAATTATATGCATAAAAAATTGTATGTATTCATTAGCTATAATAACATTTTGATAGTCAGCACCATACAAGCACCACACAACTAATTTTCTTGTTTACTAATCTTGTAAATATATACTTAAATGAAAGAAAATGAGTACTCATATTGTTTATTATTTACATTAAGGCATTTAATACCTTTGGCACCTTGCCCTATAGTCCTGGCATAGAGTAGGCTACCCCTTCTTTTCCTGTGGGTGTCATAAAAGGCAACTAAAGGAGGGTGAGGGATGGGCAGCTCTCTTAAAATATCTCTAAAGTCTAACCAGTTGCCAATCCACCTGCCAAGCATGGCAATTACTGGCAAAACTCCCCAAGAGGAAGGCTATGTTCAACAGTGCACAGTTAAAGGCTGATACGATGATGATATTTTTTTATAATTCAATACCTTGCAACACAATATTTTAACGGACAGATCAGATGAGTGTGGCATTTGTGGTCCATTTCTAGAATGATGCAAAGATTATCTGAGCAATTGCAATAATTCAAATAAGTAGTAATAATAAAACAAACATGCATAGTACCCTATTAAATAAATTAATTAACTTAAAATATCTAAATTTGTATGATAAAAAACGATTGGAATATCTGGTTCTATAAATATTAAAAACCTAATGCAAAAGTTAAATATAAAACTAACTAAAAGAACATAAATAAACAATTAAAACAATTATTAAAATACCCTCCTATTTTTTAGAAGGGATTGTTAGTAATGAGGATTAGTAGCCCCACTGCTAGCAATAGAGGGTCTATCAGGTCAATCTCCTCGTGGTTCCTCTGGAAACCATCATGCTTAGTTCCAAGTGAAATTATCAAAATGGGCTAATTGACCTACTTTTTCATACTCCCCTCTCATCCCTCACTAGTACCATACCAGCATATATTGTTAGCACAGGTGCAGTTACCAAAAAATATTAATAAAAAACATTTAAACAACTTGTATAAGTTTCAATACTCACAATAACCTTCCTTGATAACAAAAATCCATAATTATACACTAGCAGAATGATAACCAGTGTGAATTGTCCAAAGTTAGTACCTACCCACATAGTTCATTTAAAAATATTAACATGGTGGTGGATAATATTAATTTTACATGATGACAACACTTGACTATTCACAAAATATTTTCAATTAATGTTACTAGCAACCCCATTGTTAGCAATATACCCAATCAGATCAACCTCTATGTGATTCCCCCTGGTAATGATTATAATTGTTGAATTCATCACTATGGGTCCACTGACCTGCCTCCATCGTCACCTATTATCCCTCACTGGTACCTTGTTAACTTATACTAATAACATAGATGGAGTTACCATTCCATTATCATCCATTAAAGCACCATGAACATCACAATATAGACTGTGGGACCCATACAATCCTTCATATTTCATTCCTGAAGAATCAGGTGTTATGCCTATGTAACCTGTAATTTCACTGATATATCCCACTCTTTACTTGTATAATAAAAATGTATCTTTATGAAACCCCAGTTACAATTTAGTTTCATGTTAATATTATGTTGATTTCAGTGGCTAATACACAAACAAAATTATAAACATACCTTTTATATTATAGTAGGCACAACTATGTGCAAGTAAATAGATGCATTACTGTTCGTTTCAAACGAAATTTTAAGTACGGTACTAATACTAATCGCGACGAAAACATACGCGATTCTCACTTATTATTATATACAATAGTACGCCAAATAGCGCGGAAACACCAAAAATAAACCAATGATTGCACACAATATCGAATAAATATACAGCTTGTTGTAAATTACTCACTAATATTTCACTAAAAACAGAATTGCTGATTATTTCATTACCACAGCAAGAACTCATCACATAAGTTTTTTTAATAAGAAACTAAGATAAAAATGTAGAATAAAAGTTATTTTCTTGTTACTAATAATAAATTTATATTGACTACTGGCTACTTATAATGTAAAAAATAGGCATGTATGTAAACACCTGACAATGATACAATTGACATGAGACGTAATACATTGACAGTGACAGTTGTCTTTTTTGTGCCATAGATCGGAACTCTACTCTACGGCACTCACTTTTTTAACAATATTAATAAATTGATCTGAGTCATCATTCTGATGGAAACAAAATTTACACCTATCCAAAATTGTTTATTATTAAATTAATTTTTTTGTGGTATTTTTTATCGATTAGCGAACGAGCAGTAAAACTACCTCTACAAAGCAATTTCAGAACTAAGATGTTTATTATGAATTTAATATTTAACAGGTCCGATAGAGACTTATCTAACAAATTCACTATAAGAAAACGAAACTTGGAAAGTGGGATCGTTAATAAGGTGAACTAATTGCCCTATTGCTATCAATGGAGCAATTAATCAGATCCCCTTGAAAACCACCCTGCATTTGTAAATTTACCAGAGGGAGACTTTATACAAAAGTAGTTTGCTTGGGCACCTTTGTCCTATTCGTGTTTCTACCGTAAAGCAGTCGTTTGCATGGCTGTGTTACGGTTTGGTTAGCAGTGAATTTACAGGGTACAGAGAAATAACACTAATCCTTAGGAATGGTAACGCATGGGGGGTTTTTTATGGGTGAAAATGGAATAGTAACCCTGCCTGCGCTAACGGGATACGCTGACGGAGCACCAGTGAAGGGTAATAGATGAGAATGAAAACAGGTCAGTTAGCCCATCATGATGAATTCATCAGGAATTAACCATGATAGTTTCCAGAGGGAACCGCGAGGAGGTCGACCTGGTTGGGTATATTGCTAGCAATGGGATTCTCAGTCTCCGTTACTAAGAATCCCTTTCCCCCCACGCATGGGGGTTATCTTGGTGAAACAGTAAACTCTGTTATATCCATGGTACTGCTCTTGTCTATAGGCGACAGTTACCATTTTCCATCCATTGATCGTCAGCTTCTTTGCCATTCTAAGTAAATATATATGTATATATACATCATCACTTACTGGTGATTGGGTTGGTAGTGGTGGCTGGATTACCAGCATAACTACCGACAATGCAGACTGAGTTACCATTCCATTGTTACCCAAAAAAATAATGATAAACTAAGCAGAGCTTGCACCATGAATATATATGGGGAGAAAGAAATTGTTACTAATAGAATCTAGTAGCCTAGTATTACTAGCAATCAAGTCGACCTTCACATCACTTTCCTGTAATTTTTTTTTTATTTATTACAATAGGCCAACTGAGCTACTTTTATCCTTATCATCTCACACTGGTGCCTGGCCAGTGTATACTGTAGACATACATATAGACCAATACAAGAAACTTATTAATACAAAAGTTAATGTTGGGCGTAAATAGAACCTGCAACTACTGGAATTTAAGGTTATATACTATCAAGATCAAATACATTAGTGGTACTGGTTGTTTAGATATAATCAGCACCCTCACAGATATATAGTCAAGACCTGTAAATTCACTTTTATACGGTGGAGAAGTACCACGCAAACCTTGCTTATTACCTTTATTGATTAATGCAAATAAAATATACTCATTCATTCAAAGCAAGCATAGTTGATGAAAGAAATATAGATGAAAAAGAGATACCTACGTGGATCAGTTTTTTAACCTCCCTGGCCTAGGACTACTGTTTACATAAAGAAATTACAACTACCAGGCACATTTGATAAACCCAATCTTATTATCAGGAAATAATTACTGTAGTAAAATTATAAAGAATATTTAAAGAAATTTAATTTATTTTACACATTTAACTTAAGCGATAGGTACAATCATTAAATTACACAATTTTTTGCTATGCACTTCTATTTTTAGTATTCGCTTGCCTCATATAACAACTAGATTAATTAAACACTTATGGCCAAATCCCCGAAGGGATAGTCAATAAGGACATAAGCAAAATATATTAAAGATAATTAATTTACATAATTAACCACAATTACAAATAAGCTATATGGTTTAAGTTCAACAATAAATTTTAAATGCGTCACAGACGATGTATTTAACATAATAAATACATTCACAACTCCTGGTTGCAACTGTTGAGTTTCCATATAAGAATAAAAAAGTAAGCAAATTCTTATAAGAATTTTTGTGAGATTTTTAATTAAGCGAGGACGTTTGTACTTTACAGTAGATAAACCTCAATACACTCGAACGGTTTATGAACAACATTATTACTATAACAAAAATAATTTTACAAAATAGACTATGTCATAATGAGATTTTAGTAAAAAATAAAGTTACATTGACTATTTCAAAATAGTTGGTGGTTGTTATGACAAAAAATTATATATATATATATATATATATATATATATATATATATATATATATATATATATATACATATATACATATAAATTATATGTATATATATATATAATTTATATGTATATATATATATATACATATAAATTCTATAATATGATGAAAATTTTAAACATTAAAAACATGAATTCTCCTGTATTCAATGATGTCAAAATATTAGATTTACTCAATGTATTTTCTTTTAATAAAATAACACTCCACAGACTATTATGAAAGATAAAAGTATTTTTTTAGTCATAAGTAAATCTTATCATAGTGGATCAATGTTTAAATGATAAACCTAAGCTATGAAAAACTCATAAACTGCATTCATGATACTCAAATAATATTTATAACGGTATAAGTGTATTAACTTATTATTGTAAATATTCTTTATGTCAAAATTATTTTATTTCTTTAAATATACATATTTGTAAGAATATATATTACAAAATCAGGAAATAGTCATTTAATTAGTCCGTTACAGTATATATAAATAGATTTGTTTGTAAAATTAAAAAATGCAGTCAATGTTACAGTCTCATTTGGGGCACTATCTTTATGGGTGAACCTGTGACGGGTTTCTTTGGACTTAGCTTGTTTGGCGACCGCATCACCACATCGACAGCTTTCCTAAGAATTTGGTGTTCACTCTTCTTGTATTCGTCTGTTATTTGTGACAAATCTAAATCTGCATCAATTATCACAACCTGAAATCGACATGCAAAAAAAATGTGAAGAATACAATAATAACACCTTATTGATAAAAACTTAACTTTTAGACTTTCGCGCTGCATGTTATTATTTACATTTTATTGCAACACTAGCGGCCCGTCCCGGCATCGCACGAGTGGACATTTTTAAATTTCCCTTCACTGCTCTACTCCTATTGACCATAGCGTGAAGAAAAGTATACTTTAACCTGCCCAGGAGTATGAAGAATAATTATAACAAGTTTCGGTAAAATCCGTCGAGTACGGAGTAACATACGGACAGACAGACAAAAATTTTACTGATTGCATTTTTGGCATCAGTATCGATCACTAATCACCCCCAGATAGTTATTTTGGAAATATATTTCCTGTACAGTATTGACCTCCCTACAGATTTATTATAAGTATAGATTATATTAGACAGGAAATTAACACGATTGTTTAAATAAACTCTGACACGTGATAAACATATATATATATATATATACATACATAAAATAAGCCACTCCTTCCTTTCTCATGGGTGTCTTAAGAGGCCACTAATGGACCTTATGGTCGAGGGAGAACGCATATTTTCTACTCAATTTTAATAATATTAGCTAAATTCACACTAATGTGTAAATTTAGCTTATATTCCTCCGGCAAGCATCACGGCGGGACTAATCACAGTATTAAGTTACCTAACAATTGTATGACTGAATACCAAAATGGTCACAGTACTTTAAAGATTTTTGTTTAAAAATTTAATTCAATTTTAACTTTTAAATTTTAACCAAATTAAATCTTAATTAAATCTGAAAATAAATAAAAGGGTAATTTATGACATTTTCAACTGCTTTTTATTACACTGATTATATTAAAAAAAAAAAAACCTGTTAATATGTCCAGGTTCTGGACTCTAAAATCTGGGGTTTTCACGCATCTTGTGTGCATCTCCTGGTTGCCAAATTTTTAAATGACAACCCTAATATCACCTCATATCAGGAATTAAATAGCTTTACTTACATATAATATTCTATGTAAGTAAAGCTATTTCACAACTGATATGAAGAAATCTCAACAACGACAGAGCAAGAGCTACTATGTGGTTGCCACTTGCATTCCTTGCAACTTGAGATACTAGATGACAAGAACTTAAAATTGTTTGTTCAATGGCCTTGTAATTGTTTGCATACATTAATCATTACAAGGCCACACCCCTTAATATTTTCTGTCAATATCAATTCCAACAATAATAGTATACTTACTGGGGCAGGGCACTCAGCAAAAGCCCTGTTTACCAGCCAGTCTTCATGCAATTGATGGAGATCTTCTAAATACTTCAGTGGTACACACTGCTCTTCAGATCTAGCTCTTTTCCTTATTCTTTCATGAACAACAGATGGTGATGTTTTCAAATAAACTGGAAATAGAAATATTTATAATTCATCTAAATAGATAATATTAACCACTTAAACATAGATCATTTGTGTAGTTTTGAAAAAATTAAAAATTGTCTCATAACTTCTGTCTACAAAATAAATCACAGTAAAATTTTAGTCCTTAGTATTAGTAGTAGATAAGAAATACAGTCGGGCATCTAAGGGGAGGGCCATGCCCACCCTAGAATTGTCTAATGCCCATCCCAGCTTGCAAGCAGAGCTTTAACTATGAGTAAAGACATATCTGAGACTTTATGACTGAGAGTAGATATGTCTTATTTAAAAGTTTAGACCCTCTTGAAAGAGTAATCTTAAATATATAAGACAGTAGCTAAAGCATCCTTAATGAACTAGACAATTCAAATATTATAAATATGAAAGTGTTTTTGTTGACCAGCTTTTGGTATTTTAATTTATATGCCTTAATTACACTTATCCAGGTTAATCAGCATGTCCAGTACATGCAGACAAAACTATGGCCACTTCTAGTACAATATTATATTCTACTAGTGACTCAGCCCTGCTTCTTACATGTAGATAGAATTTTCGAAAATAATATATAGCCTATATTAGTCATCGATAATGTAGTTTTCTGTAGATGAAAGAATTATTAAAATTGGTTGAATAGTTAGATAGATACTTTTTATTGTTTCTTCCAAAAGATTATATTAATAAACTTATAAATACAAACAATTACAAGAAAAGATTAGACTGAGAAAATAATGGGCAATCTTGTTGCTAAGATCAATCTTTTTCAGGCAACCTTCAGATGCTGAAGAGTAATTATAAACAGTTTGACCATAGTTTTTGGGTTTATCCATTACACACAAATCTTTTTATAATATTAGTATAGATGATGTGCAAGTATTAGTTACTATCAACCACTTTTTACTGGAAGGACAGATATTTTTTTAGTAGTATGAAAGGGAAGCTTCGAACCTCGCAGTTCAGTAGTATAATAAATCCTAAAAGGACTACTACACTATCCTATATATATTTTAGGTGGCTATAAGAAATCAAGATGATTAATTTTTGTTCAATTTTCATTATTTTACTGAACTAGGTGTTATTTTGCAGTCCATATCACTACTTAGTTAATAAATTTTATTACTCTTTTCATTACTGTGAAAAAAGTTTAATTAAGATTACACTATCTAATGTCAACAGTGGTTTATTTTTATCTTTGATACTTGAATAGTAAGTAAATCTAATCTGAAATAATATAAAAACAAGTAAAACTTGACATTACAAAAATACTAACAATCATCATCATACAAGATATAAATTTTGGGGTCAGCTTAATGTTTTTATCCATATTACCCAAAATTTTGGATTTTAGTTTTATGACAAACCACCTGCTAGATATCAATCATCCATGGTAATCCATATAATAAAGATAATAATAAAGGTAATAATTGAAGACATGTATGGATGGTGATGTCACAGTTTAAGATTTTCACAATTCTATGAACATGTGAAGGTGTTATGTGGATTTATGTTAATGCATTAAATAATAAAATATTGTAAATGTGAAAGTGTGTTTATAATACCTTGTCACCTCTGCTCTGTCAATCTTATTGATTACTTTAATATAAACATGTCTCATTGTAGTTTGCTGTGATGAATTGTGAAGAGAAAATAAATCTATTTATTATTATTACAAAAAATCATTACGAAATTTGATATATACATGTTATTTGGAATGGAGAAGAGTTAGGGCTACTTTTCATCCCAGTCTCATAGACAAAGTTGCAGGTAAAAGCTAGTAAGTATATGAATAGAAGTACAAACCTATAAGATCAGCATCAATAGACATATGTTGTTGAATAAACCGGAACCACTCATCTAGAACAGCAAATTCTGCCTCATGAAGTATTCCATTTCTCAACATGTTCTCAACAAAACAGTATCTAGCACTAAAGATCGATCGCTCCATTAATTTCACAGGGGTCGGCGTAGGCCTTAAATGCATGTCCACCATGGTCAATGACACGTAAGACTGAAAGGTCATTGCCCATTTCGCTGGATCTTTGTACATCAGATCCTGAAATAGTCATATATAAACATTTACTAAATACTTAACATTATTTGAGGTTATAGTTATATTAGGTGGTTATAACATTTGATTCATCACTTACTAAAAGATTCCATCCTCGTAAATTGCGCCATTGCTCCACTGGTTCCGTCAGTAAAGTAATATCTTCAAATTGCCGAAAATGTTCCAAAAAAGTCGTTTTGCCGCTTCCAATATTTCCTTCGACTAAAACGGTGAAAGGCTTTCTATTTTCCGAATTCATTTTAAAGAAACACCGTTGTGCTGTAAGGAAAGGAGATTTATAATAGGAACAACGCAATGACTCATAAAAATGCCAAGTTAAAAACGGATAAATACCTATACCAATGATGGAAGACACAGTTTCCCGCCTAAATAAATGTGAAAACAAACGCGGGAATACGTTATGTCAAAAGTGAATTATCATAAATTACCTTCAAAAAATAATGTTGAAATACGACTTCTTAGCATTTCTATTGATTAAATTATAATTACATTTCATATTCCTCAGATATTCTTATAATTTACTTGAATATTTTTGTAGTAATAAATGAAACAAAATGAGTAAAATTTTTCAAAGGTAAAGTAAACAATGAATAAAGATGAAAAAATTGACAAATTTTCATCATAGTAGAATGCACATGATTTTGACTTCTGACGTTTGGGAAAAGCAAGTGGGAAAAAAAACCACAGATTAGAACATAGAAAGGGAATATCCTTTATCTATTAGACAGATTATAGGGTCCATTCTAAGACGTTATTTCTTTAAACTTATCTTTAAAATGAAATTTTAATTTGATACTACAGCTAAATCATCGAATTATTTAATCTAATATAAAACAAGTTTCTAATAGATAAGTCAAAATTAATAAATAAATGAATTTAGTTTATGATGTTTCATGAAACTGTAATTTCGCAACTACCATTTTAATATATTAGATTAACAAATAGGTTCATAGAAATGGCTGAGATTCTACACCTATAGCTAATATAAAGTATATTCTAAATTGTGCGCTATTGTTATACGCTGGCGGGTCATGAACAACCATGCAATTATAGTTAAGGATAATAGATAAGAAGAAAAGTAGGTCAGTTAAACCATCGTCATAAATTTACTATGAATTCAGCATGATGATTTTCAGGAAAAACCGCGAGAACACCAACCTACCAGGTTATATATAGTAATGGAACTACCAATCTTTATTACTAACAATTCCTTCTCAAAAAATTATTAAAATTTTTTTAATATATTTTACGGCTCAACATTAAAGGTCTTTAAATTAAATTGACCGATTGTAACACTATTTTCATTACAGTTATCTTTAAAACTAATATATTAATTTGATAGTTTCGCGAAAATACTAGTTTAAAGTTTATTATAAACTAATAATTTTAGAGATTGATTTAGAGAATGGTGTCTCAATCCCATGCTTTTCGCTGTTATGGGCACAGATTAGAGAAATTAAGAATTACAAGGAATAAAAAAAGAAATTTTAGTAAGCGACTATTGGTGAACCTTTGCTGAACAATTTAATTACAAAAATAATTATTAAAAAATAATTCTAGTACAAATAACACACTTAACTATTAAGTAACATATTATACGTAATAAATTTTTTTGACCATTAGTTATTCAATAAAAAAAAAATAGTCAATTATTTACAATCGCAAGTATCCATGCAGTGTTAACGAAATTTTAGCTGTTATAAAGAATCATCAATGTATTAAAAGATACCTTTTACTTCTCTTTAATAAACAGATTTTTCGTTGCTTAAAAAAAATTCCATTCTCAATTGCTCATAGATACTTTTGATGATGACATATCCGGTTATCTTATTAGTGGGAAAATCAAATTCACCAATAAAATGAGTCCACGAAATCCATTGACAATATATTTGAGAGATTGACGACTGACGTGTTTATTTCACAATTTTGTCTCTTACCTTTTTCTAATTTGAGTATTTCTTTGTACTATTTAATGCACACGGCATATATTTTGTAATATTAGAGTAGCATAAAATTAATTAACATGTTTTATACACATTGTTTGGGTATGTTTAAATAACATTTTAATTTACCTTGACGTACTTACTTCGCGGTGTTTATAAAGAGCCCCGGCACTTAATTTCACGCTTATTTCCAGGTATATTATTGTTAGTATCTGGGTCATTTGGCTTGTATGACTCTTCTTCAGACGTTGTGGAGCTGACACCCAGTAATTTTGATAGATTAGTTCTAAAATCAGATGAAGTATGGATAGTGGAGTTTTTCGCCCCCTGGTGCGGTCACTGTAAGAATCTCGTACCTGAGTACAAAAAAGCAGCACGAGCTCTGAAGGTATGATATAATAATAATAAATGTTACTTTTTATTAAATAACTCAGCACTTAAAGCCATTGTTTTCACTCCTTTTCCTTTATTGCATTCAGATAAAAAACTTATTAGAAAAATAATTTTATTTTTGAATGTATTACCATTTTACATAATATTTTTCACCTATTTACTTTTCATATTTCTTCTTAAAATATAATAAGAAACAGTTTATTCAAGTTATTATCTGATTGACCAAACCTTCATATCATTTTTAGTTAATTAATGTGAAACATTTTATGGACCACTTAATTTCTTGTAAACAATATATGTATTATATATTTCATTAATATCTAAGAATGAAATTATTAATTTGCAATAATAATTATTATTATATCTTACTAATATATATATATATAATATTATAAATATAAGTGCAAAATCCTATTTGTATGATTGTTGCTCAATCACACCTAAGTGGCTGTATAGATTTGAATTCAATTTTGTACACAGATAGGTTATACACTAACTTAATACAGGAAACTTTATATACTGATGTACATAAGGTGTGGAAAACATCTACTTTGATATAAAAGTGTAAATTTTGAATATTATTTTCATAGATAAATTAAAATATATCTTTATAAATAAGAAGACACTTGTACCACTTCTACTTATTTATAAAGTCAACAGAAAAAAAATTCAGTATAACATATAACATTGCAGGGTATAGTAAAGGTTGGTGCTGTAGATGCCGATGAGCACAAAAGTCTAGCTCAGAAATATGGAGTCACCGGATTCCCAACAATCAAGGTGTTCACAGGCAGCAAACACACTCCATACCAAGGCCAAAGAACAGCAGACGCATTTGTTGATGCCGCCATTAAGGCTGCTAAAGAGAAAGCCTATGATAATCTTGGAAAGAAATCAAGTGGCTCTTCAGATAAGGTAAATTTTTTAAAGAAACTTTCAGCTCTATTAAAAGATTATCAAGTATTATGTAAAAGCTAGTGAATCTCTTACAATGCAGTGAAGGGGCTAAATATTATGAAATAATATACTAAACTTCTGCCTACTTACATAGTAAATAGGTGCCAAATTAATTTTGATAATCAATAAGACAATGTTTTCTATGTATATAAATATGCTGAAGAATTTTATTAATCTTATATTTATTCTAATAGTAGATATTATTTAGATATATAGATATTTTTTATATTTAAGTATGGAAAATATAAAATAATGATATATTATACATACATATGTTTAATGAATTTTTAAATAAAAATTCTATACCATTTAAATCTGGAATTCTATAAATTTAAGTAGAATCATAATTTTTAATAGTAAGAAAATCTTTTTTAAATATGTAATATACTCTATGAATAGTCTTATTTTTAAAAATACTTGAAATAAATTTTTCTATTAGCACAATACTAAGAGAAAGGTCTATGGTCATGACATACCATGGAAACCTATAACACGGGCTAATATGGTGAAGCAAACCATTCCCATGAATATAGCCAAGTTAAACCTTTTACAATCACACCTATTCCGTAGAAGACTTTACGCTGCTGAAAGTCCCTAAATTATTAATGGGACACATTACATTGCACAGAAGAAACACAGAGGAAATCCTTAGGAAATTATCACTTTCTTAATTAAATTCTAGTTGTTTTTTCAATGTTGTTTTAGTTCACATTGAGATGTTTGTTATAATTGCTCCATAATTATTCACTACTACTAGAGTAATGTAATTTGATGTAACTCTTTCATTCTTAAAGGCAAAAATAATATTTATCACCCACGTCATTTAAGTGTTACACTATATTCACCAGTGACATTAGCTTCACTAAGAATTGTTGCATATTTTCCTCTTCTATCACATATAATAAAATTTCTAATAATATTATCATAAAACTGATCAAGGTCTTGGATTATCAAGGTAAGTCTTGGATTAAGGTAGTTATTGATTTAATTATGAACTGTGTTTTATAAACTACACTATATAGTGTAATAGTTTGATTGTTTAATATGAATGTATATACTGTACATCATTATCATTTCTGCTATTGTCCGTCCACTGCTGGACATAGGCTTTCTCCATAGACTGCTATAAGGAATATACCTGGGCCATTTGCATCCACTGGCTCCCTGTATTGCATTTCAGGCCATTACTCCATCTAGTGAGAAATCATCCTACACTGTGTTTGCCCATATGGGGTATACTCAAGAAACTTTCTTCTCCATCAGTTGTCGGTTCTTCAACCTACGTGACCAGACTATTGCCACTTCAGCTTGTTTATTCTTATATTACTCTACATACCAGGCTTAAATATCTGTCTCTTCATCAACTTCTCATTGTTAATATCATTATTTTTTCAGCTATTTATTATCCACTGTTCGATATTATTTCTCTTCTAGACTTCAAAAAGTAACGATTCTGACTTCTAAGCCATCTGAACCTATCCCAAAAAATTTTTTTCAAGCGACTAAATTGGTGGAAGTTCTTAGTTTAACTATTTTTATATCTTTTTTTTTATGCAACTTAAAGCGGCAAACAAGCTGACGGCCCACCTGATGGAAAGTGGTAACCGTCGCCTATAGATATGAGCAGTACCATGGACATAACAGAGTATACTGTTTCACCCATGATATTTCCCATTTGTTGTCATTCCTGAGGACTCAGGTATTATTCCTCTGTACCCTGTAAATTCACTGCCATATCCCACATATATTACACCTATATATACACCTATTGTAAACAAATTTTTATTTTAGAAAATATATATATCTATAAAGGCATCTTAGTAACAAAAACTGTTACAGGTCAGACATCTTTGTACACATATTAGGGGTTATTAACACAGACTTTTTTATCTTGTAGATAATCTTTTACTTGTGTTTACTGAAATAACACGAGCTTCTGGAATTTAAAGATAACATTCCTATTTTATATCAATGTATGTAGTCTAATATTCTTATCTATTTTGTTTGATTACTCTCATTGAACCTTATAAAAGATTGATTACAATGGATCATAGTTATCTAAGCCAGTGTTTTTCAACCTTATTCATGACACGACCCCCCTAGTATAAAACCTTAACCTTGTTATAGGCACTGAATACTTCAATCTATACATATTTTATAATTAGCTTTTTTTACTGAGGTAGTTTAGACCCATTGATTGGTCGCGACACACACATCTTGATGTTATTAGATATATGTAAATCCAGTCCAAGTTTGAATCATTAAAATAGATTTTTTGTACAACCATAGTGATCAAAAGCATACGACCCGTCTGATAGTATATTCACAGTGAACATAGATTATTTGTTTGCTATACCTAGACATTACTGACTCATATACCTTGAAATCTTCAATTATTATTAAGTTACAGCACTCAGTAATTTCATTGATATTTCAACATTCAAACTGGATTTTAAGTATGCAAGCATAGCTACTTACCTACAGAAATAGACTATAAATATATATCACTAACAGCCATTTGCCCAGTCATTGACACCTTGTAATAATATAAAAAGGTCAAGAGTTAATTTCCTTTCGCTTTGCAACATTGTGTTGATGTTACATTGTTTATTATCTTTTAAAGAAGTAATTCCTATTATGACTCATGGGAAAGTCATTGAAACAGAGATTTCACTTACGCGTAGGAGTTGCTAGGTAACAGCTGTAGAGTGGCATGCTTTTTTTGCAACCGATAATCTCACCCACGCTAAGCGACTCGGCCTACGCATCCATTTACTTTTCTGGACTTAATAGAGCAAAAGTTGATATAAACTTGTTTTTCTAGTATTTAAGACCTTCGTGATGCAGTGTCAAATAGGTTTTGCTTTCAGTAAATATGTTGACAGTTTCGATTCTTGGTTGTGGCAATTGTAGAAACTGACTTCTTAATGAGCCTATTTTGGAGTTGTGTCTCTACAATTTTTTTATGCAATTTATAATACTGTTGGTGTGCCTAATTCGAAAATAAATAAAAAATAAATAAAATAATGGCAATACTGTTAGGTATATTAATTTTAACAACGATTGGTTAAGCTTGTTAAGGCTCCAAGAGGTAACAAACACCTTTAAAACCAATTTCAAAATCATTACAGTCTTGTAGACATGAAATAAATAGCCACATTAATTCGTGACTGTAAATTTAGAGACACAATAAACAATATAATTTAGTATTGTAATTAAATTTAATTAAATAAAAAAAAATTGCAACTTCACATTTATATAATAAACAGAATTTACTAAATTGGATTATTTAATTAATTCGAATTTACGATGTAAAAATTTATATATGATAAAAAGACATTTACGTCTCTTTCGTTGGTGCTAAATTCCTAATTTGAAAGAAAGTGACAAATAATAAGTAAGTAATATTTTAAAAAGATTTCTAGAAGGTTTAAGTTATTATAAATAAACGAGGTAGTTGACACTTCAATTATTACATACAGAAATTTAATATAAAGCTAGTCTGACTATCAGTGTTCACTGGTAGTATGATAGATGAGGATGGAAGCAAGTAAGTTAGTCCTTCGTGACAAATTTAATAAGAATTAATCACAATGGTTTCCAGCAGGGAATATCTGGAGATCATGGCAGGGTATATTGTTAACGATAGGCCGGTAACTCCAGTTATATATATCTTCTCCCCGTTTACATATCTAATCGACTGTAGTATAACTAAGTGTCTACATAACGAGAAGTTACTTGTGTCTATAGATACTTTTGATCCTTATTTATACGAGCGAAGCCGCTAGTTACTGCTAGTCATAACAATGTAAGTAAACCAGTATTGAAATACTGTCTTGTTTGTTTCAGTCGGATGTAATAACTCTAACAGACAGCAACTTCAAAGAGCTAGTGCTGGACAGCGAGGATATGTGGCTGGTGGAATTCTTCGCGCCATGGTGTGGACACTGCAAGAACCTCGAGCCGCATTGGGCGAAGGCTGCCACAGAACTGAAAGGGAAGGTACTATAATTAAACACAATAATTATACAGATTTTTTTTAATGGGTGAGTTTTTTTTTTATGGGTGAAAATGGTATGGTATGCCTACGCTAACGGTATACGCTTGCGGAGCACCAGTTAAGGGTGATAGATGAGAATTAAAACAGGCGAGTTAGCCCATCATAATGAATTCATCAGGAATTAACCGTCAGGAAGAACCGTGAGTAGGTCGACCTGATTGGGTGTATTGCTAGCAATGGGATTCTCAGTCTCCATCACTAACAATCCCTTTCCCCCCTTTAATGGGTGAGTGTTGTTGCCATTCGGTAACCCTACCTGTGCTATCGGTATACACTGGCAGGGCACTAGTGAGGGGCGATAGGTGAGAGCAAGTCTGTTATACCATAGGTTTATCGGATGAAATTATTTTAAATATTATTGTATTCATATTACACATATTGCTGATATTGGTAAATATATCTATACTTAAATAAAATTATCGCTTCTATCAATATCCTCTTTTAATAATAAAAAAAATATTCATTATTAATAATTATATATACTTTTTGACTTAATGTTCACAGCCTACAAGATCTGATGTTCCATATTTTTTTTTTTAATTCATACCTCATTTTATAGCCTTTTTATAGTAGGTCTACATACACTAATACTGAATATTACTAATATTAATATTATAAATAAATCCAATTAATAATAATAATCATTTAAAAATAAGACAGGTACATATTATTATGTATATTTGTACATTGATAATTAAATAATATAATAATTTAATATAAAACCTTGTTTGTTCTAGCTATATGTTCATATTCGTTTAACTTACATAGGTAAAATTGGGTGCCCTCGACGCGACAGTGCACCAAGCGATGGCCTCCCGCTACCAAGTGCAAGGTTATCCCACAATCAAGCTGTTCCCATCTGGCAAGAAGACTGCGGACTCTGCAGAGGATTACAACGGTGGACGAACGTCCAGTGACATTGTCTCGTGGGCGCTTGATAAGTTGGCTGAGAATGTACCACCACCAGAAATCTTGCAGGTATGCACAGCAATGGATAGTTCGTGCGTGAGGCATAATTATTGCTTACAGATATTACAGGGTGCCAACCGCTATTGTAGTAGTAATTTACGTCGATGATTCTTGATCTGTTAAACAAGTTTTCATTTTACACACGACAAATTGATAATTAATGTATTATATCGATGAAAGGAATTTATTTACATGGTTGGTCATTAAACAAAATTTAACACAAAATACTAGAGGATGCTGGGATCGAAACTTGTGGTTTTTATTGATTATTTTGTAATTAAAAATAATTTGAAGCAAATTTTCTAAATTTTCGAGTGTGTTTATTTATTTTTTAACAATATAGTAATAATTTATCATAATTTTTATTCTTTTGTATTATATAAGTTTGTAAAAAATACAATAAAAAAAAAAACATGTAACCCGTATAGGGTTTTTATTCAGGAAAATTCGCGTATTATATGTCAATTCACATTCATACATAATAGTGAAAATCACTCGCCAATTTAGAAATGTTATTTCAAATTATCTTTAATTACAAATTAATCAACAAAAACCACAAGTCTTGATTCCAGCGACATCTAGTATTTCTTGTCCAAATTTTATTTAGTGACTGGACCACCTTAAAGAAAATATTAAGTGTCCATAGGATTTAATGAACAGACGAAAGATAATGTAGCTAAAAAAGGGAGGAAATAATGATATAACTGTTACTTATTCGGAGATAATTCGTTTGAGGATGACTTCTCTAGTATCAAGTGATCCTAAACCAATTTAATTATATACGATTCCACGCCGTCAACAAAAGCTCGGCTTAGAACTCAATGACCTGTAGGTTGTTGCCTCCGCAGTTGAAGGCGGGGTAATGGAGTTCGCTCCGAGGCCCCTACCTGACACTCCACTATATAGCGAGTAAGCCTAAATTGATTGATTGATTTTATATACGAAGGCATATTCAGACGTGTCTTATCAGACGCCGCTTTTACGTATCCTCCGCAGTAAGAAACAAGTGACAATCGAATGAGTCTAAAATTTGATGTCGATCAAGTGTTTTCCAATTAAGATCTTTATGAAAAAAATGTCGGTATTTGTAAATTTAATCATAAAAAAAATTCTTTATGATTAAATTTACAAATACCGACTCGACTTCTCACATTATTGTAAACATCAAATGCCTAAACATTAGCCTGATGTATGTGGATCTTGTATAACTAATTTCAGCTATATATACACACACACACATTAACTTTAAAATTAAAAATTATATTTGATATCACAATAAAATCCTTATTCAATGAAGGTCAATATGAACTAGATTTCAAATAAGGGGGAACCACGAAGAGGTCGACCTGATATAGTATATTGCTAGCAATAGACTACTTTTCCCCATTACTAACAATCCCCTCCCCCCCCCTCATTACAGATGACTTATATTTAATACTAACTATTCACCCCGGCTGTGCACAGATCAATAGAATTTTCAAAAATAATGTAGCTTTCTATAATAGGTGAAAGTATTTTTAAAATTGATTGATTAATTTTTTAGTTTATCCAAATAATTTTATACAAACATTTAAATCTTTTCTCTTTATAAGTATAGACTGACCACCCCGGCTTTACTAATGAAGAAAATGTCACTCATTTTTTATGTGGTGATGTTTTTACCCAAATTTTTCACTATTTCATAGCATTTGTCAAACATTTTCTTTCATACAAACCTTAGGAGTCAGGAATAAAATATAATCTTTCTATTTTCTTTAAGGAAAAGGTAACAGAAATGTTACCAATATTATGATATGCACACTTTTAAGACTTAATTATTTAAGTTCATTGTCTTTTTTGCCGCGTCTGTTATAAAAAAAAATAAAAATATTTTTTGTATTTTCGACTAGCCAGCAATAGAATTACTCAATTTTAATATGTCAATGTTTTGAATTCAAATTTAACTCCAATATGTTGTAAATTTTATCAGAGTTTGATTGTAAAATAATAGAAGCGTGTTACGTGAACGTGTCGGTTGTTTTAAGTGTAAATTCACTCTATTACTATCGTGGATACTGAAACAGCATTCTCTTTCACTAAAATTAAAATCTGAACTTGACCTTAAAGTGAAATTATTTTTCTAAGGACTAGTGTACAAAAAGTTTTTAGTGAAATTGCGTTAGAACAACTTTACATTTAATTCTTTATGATCCATATAATAATGGTTTTGCTAAATTATCAAATTATAATTGTTATTTTAGAGATAAGGATACCAGAGGGAGACTTTGTACAAAAGTCGATTGCTTGGGTACCTCTGTCCCGTTCGTGTTTCAACCGTGAAGCAGTTGTGTTTTCATGGCTGTGTTTCGGTTTGAAGGGTGGGATATGGCGTGAATTTACCGGGTACAGAGGAATAACACCTGAGTCCTCAGGAATGGCAACGCATGGGGGTATCATGGGCGAAACAGTATACTCTGTTATGTCCATGATACTACTCATGTCTATTGGCGACGGTTACCACTCTCCATCCGGTGGGCCGTCAGCTTGTTTGCCATTCTAAGTTGTATAAAAAAAAAGATAAGTTTAGAGAATAATATCTTAGAATAAAAAATCACAGGTATCAACCTCAGAATCTATGCCATTGGTTCACTAGTTTCATCAATCTGTTACTACCACTTCTTTGTTCTAATTGCCTATGTTATTTCAATCACAGGTAGTGAACGAAGATACAATGAAGGGTTGCAGTGAGAAGCCGCTGTGTGTGGTGTCGATCTTACCTCACATCCTGGACTGTAACGCCGCGTGCCGCAATGAGTACATATCCATCCTGACCAGACTCGGCGACAAGTACAAGAACAAGATGTGGGGGTAAGTTGTATTTACTAATTAGTTAACTTCGTTTTTGCAATATTTTTTATTGATGTTTCGCTCCTGTTGGTCGTAGCATGGTATTATATAGCATATAGCTTTCATCGATAAATGGGCTACATATTTATCGATTCGAATCTGAGATTACCGTGTTCAACCAACCGACCAAACAGACTCTAACCAGTTTAATAAAATTATAGTATGCCATATTGTATTTTATGTCAACATTTTTAAGAAACAATTTTTCATTTTACAGTTGGGTGTGGTCTGAGGCTGGTGCCCAGCTTGGCTTAGAAGAGTCGCTGGAACTCGGTGGTTTCGGTTACCCTGCTATGGCTGTTGTTAATGCAAAGAAACTGAAGTTCTCAACACTGCGAGGCTCATTCTCAGAGTCTGGCATTAATGAATTCTTAAGGTTAGTACTTGCTATATTTATGGCACTATTTGAATATATAGTCTAAAGGAATCAAATTTTCCAAAATAGTATTAACGCTTGAAACGAAATATAAAAGCTCCTTTGACACTTGATTTTCTTCCTGAACCAAAATAAATAAAAATATATAAAAGCCTATAAATGTAATATTTAAATTACACAAGTTAATGGATGCATCAGTTCACACTAAATTTATTATTATATGGCATCATCATTATCATGTCAGCCTTAAATTGTCCACTCCTGAACATAAGAGTTCTCCCCTTTTGGGGGAGCAGGGGAGTTTAACAGTAGTTGCCATGCTTGGCACGTGGATTGGCAACCGCAGCTTTGGAGATGTATTAAAAAGGACGCTGCTGTCCATCCCTCGTCCTCTCTTAGTCACCTCTTACGACCCACGAGAAAGGAAGGGGTGGCCTATTCTATGCCAGGACCACACGGCCTGATTTATGGCATGACATTAATAAAATTTATATATTTTGTAGAGATTTGTCGTTCGGCCGCGGGCAGACCGCACCAGTGAAAGGCGCCGAGATGCCCAAGATATCGACAACAGAACCCTGGGACGGCAAAGATGGTGAACTGCCCCCAGAAGAAGACATTGACCTATCTGACGTAGATTTGGAGAAGGATGAGTTATAAGTGTCACTTATGAGGGCGCGCTAGTCTGTGTGTACGCTTAATTTATGTGAGATGTTAAGAACTCTTCATAGTGGAATAATAGGCATAATGAATTTTTAAACTACCCACTAATGACATTAAATCTTGCAATATAAATGATTTGTCACAATTAAACTTTTGTGTCTTTTCTGTATCCACCGTAGATAATGTAAAACTACGTTCTTGTGTATGTAATGTTTTCTTTTCAATTTTCAGAATTTTCTGAACCATAATTTATGATATTATGTGAGCCTGATTTCTTATAGTTCTCTATCTGAAATGATTTAATTTGAATTTAAGAAGAGTTCTGCTGTACTGCTCTAATAATTATTTTTCTAGACAATATATGATAATATTTGTTAGTAACATATCGTGTAAACATCACAGGTGATGCTGTTTTTGGTGCGTTATTCAATAAGTTGAGATGATGTATGTATGATTTTTTATGAATGCTCATATAGAGATAGCAATTTCAACCATAGTACCATAATTCTGCGAGTTAATTCTTAAATTGTCTAAATGTAAAAATAGTTTTAATGAATATTTGTACTGAATATTTAATTAATGGCTGCGAATCTTCCATAAATATACCTAATTTGTATGCATTTATTCCATGACAGCCATTTGGATAATATTAAATATAAAAATTAATTCTCAATAAACTACTTTTAATACAAATCTGTTTTTTATTACCATGTAGTATTCGCCAAGGGTCACATAAGATTAGACAAATGAAAACGGTTTCTTCAAGGAACATATTCGATATGTTTACTAATAATATAAATGAGAGTTTGTTTCTTCTGGCTCAATAAACGGTCATTAAATTTAGCATCGTTAGCGACATTATTATTAGACGTATGCATATATAATGTACGCTATATATAAGCAACATTCTTTATATTTTATTTAATCTACTCAGTAATAAAAATAAGTAAAAATATTTCCCAGACGGTAAGTTTTTTTATACTCCTTTTTTTTTACCTATAAGAAATTTTTTTATTGAAAGTGGTTCAAATGAGTTGCTTATATAGAGCGTTCACTATATATAGGCATACACAACTTTTTTGCTTATTGATGGAAAATGGTGCGCATCTAGCCTAGTCACTTAATGCACACATCCAATATCATTATTACTTGACAATGTAATAGTATGACGTCTGTAGTTGGTATAACATCAATGTGTTATTACCAATTCGACAATAATGGAAATTATACGAATGAAAATTAAGCGAATTTTTGCTAAAATAGTATTTTTTTTAATGGGTGATAATGGAATGGTAACCCCGCCTGCGCTAGCGGGATACGCTGGCGGAGCACCAGTGAAGGATGATAGGTGAGGATGAAGCAGGCCAGTTAGCCGTTAGCAGTTAGAGAAATGTTCACGATGGTTTCCAGGGGGAACCATGTGGAGGTCGACCTAATAGGGCATATTCCTAGCAATGGGACTGTCACACTCCATTGCTAACAATCCCTTTCTCCCCTAAAATAGTAATTAACATTCTTTATTCAAACGTGATTCGGTTTCGTCTATACTAATTACTCTGCCACTAATTGCCTTGTCTTTGACAGTAATTAGGTTTATGTATTTACACTATTTCCACGTCGTTCGTACTTAAGGCATTTACTTGAAGAAAAAATAATTACAAACTGTTTACTATAATGTTGGCTCTTATAAACGCTCATTTTCGTACTTACGTAAACCCACTCTTATTAATGCTGTTTTGAAGCAGTTATGTTTCCTTACTTAGGATAAATTTATAAAAGTAAAAAATTCATAGTCTTAGTTCTTAAACATATATTTGAGCATAATACAATAGGTAAAATAATTGTAATACAACTTATTTTCTAAAACTATTATCGAAAAACTCGTATAATAGTAAAATATTAATGTACTCTAGGTATACAGATGTTATGCAAAAAGGCGTGCCGAAAATTAAATTTTACGAGAAGATAATACTGATATAAACATTAAAATTAAGGTTAGCCTTAAATACATCATATTATCTTACTTATCCAAGAGATTCTTTAATAAAGGAATTATGAAGATAAGATAAAGTCATAACAATATAGTTTGTAAATTATGATCCATTGATTTGACTTTCATTTTTTAAAATACTCATTCACAGACTTAACAATTCTTTTAAAGGAAAGAAGATAAAAAGTAACTTTTTTAAAGAATCACTCGAGACATTTTATCTATTTCCTGTCGTGGTTTAAATCAATATTACAATTTTGTTTAGTTTTCTCTTTTTGAATAGACAACAGTGACAAAACCAAAACTGTTACAGGCAAACTATTACATATAATATCAATAATTGTTTAGAACTTCAATCTCATATACAATAGTCACTTCAAATGTGTGGTTTGTTTTACATGTGCTAACTATTATAAAAATTGTCTTTTGTTATATATTTATTTGTCTAAATACATTGATTTATCAGTTCATACTGTTAAAACTGAATTGATGGATACTTTATGAGATCTTATAATATGGCAACATTTATTGAATATGTGACTTATTTAAAACATATTACTCTAATAGTACATATTGTAAATTACAATAATACTGACAAAATACTTCAGTCTGATGAATTTGTTTTTAACAAATATTCAATTGGTCCGAAACAGTCTTCTTGTTAGTATACAAAGTTTTAATTTTATAAAGTAGCACCTATAGTCAAATATTTATGGTAAATGCCATAAAATATTAAACATGATAAAAATCTATAGTATTCAAGAATAAAATGCATATGAACATTCAAAAATTTATTTGGTACAACCTTTTATTTATTTTTATAATCACAACCCTAGATATATTTTTAGATAAGAATATAAGGAAGTCATAGTAATTTTTATTCTAAGATATGCATATGATATTCAAAATGAATAATAATTACTAACTCTACACTCATGCATCTTTCTAAAGAATTTATTATAATGCAATTACACTTGGAATGCATTTGAAATTAATCCACTAACTATAAAATAGAATTATAAATGCAAGTTCATTTATAATCAATGATGCGGTAATAACATTGGTAACCATAACCAATTTTTTTTCTATATTGCCTTTATATAAAAAAGAAAACTTTAGTTTTGATAAGCACAATATCAATACCTTATACAGGTGTTAATCCCATCATGTTATAATTGCCTTGCTTCTGACAAATAATTGGATAGCATGTAGCAAAGTAGTACAACCCCATGCCGGCTAATATTAATGTAATAATTACAGCAACTATACCCCATGCAGAGATACCCAGGCCTCTTCTGGTGGCATTCTGTCCTGGTAGTCCAGAAGAAGTGCCCGCCAAAGTTTTCGGTCCTAGATCCTTGTTTTTGTTGGATTTAGCACCACTATAGCCTCTTGCACTTCTGAGAGCCATGCATGGTGATAGTAATTGAATTAATACTGAAAGGTAACTTTCATATTAGTTAAAAATAAAAATTCGCTTTTATGTTAAAATAATTTAGCTGTCTACTTACTTAGTAAAAGAAGAGATACTCGTATTAATAAACGGATCATCCTTATTATGATGCTTCTGTGGGGAAATAATTTCTGTGGATCAATTTAATAAACTCAAAACTGAACTTCTTTCAAGAATTAAAAAATATTGAAACAACGCAATAAGTTACGGTTCATTTATTTTATTATAATCTTATAACAATTTAATTTGTTATTTCATAAAGGAAGAACTTTGAATTATTATTTAGACTGGAAAATAAATAGCACAAATTCGAGAGATAACAAACACGCATGACAGAAACTTAATAAAATATTTAGTTTAGTACAGATTACAGAGACTAAGTTTAAAGCATAGGTGTTCTGTGATCTAAAGAGTTGCGGTATCAATGACTAAAGTTTAGATTAAAAGTATAGATTGGCAATACACGAGATAGAAAATATAATAACCTATATGTTAGAGTGAGAGAAATAATAGAATAACAAACCTATTTAGGTACATACATTGCCCTTATTTATAATGCATATAAAACATTTATAAATATAAATAGTGCCAACTAAAACTATGACTTAAATTTATTGGATGAGAGTAGGTAAGAAAGAATATTTACAATTTTAAATTTCACCAATGGTGAAAATTGTATAATTATAAATCGTTTTATACAAATCAAGGAATTTTAAAAGAGACAATTTAATATTTTATGACATTTACAAATAAATAGTAGCCTTTGAAGAGAGAATTTGGGAGACACAAAGAATCATCTTCATCATCTCAGCCATTATTCGTCCACTGCTGAACATAGTCCTCCCCCCTATATTATTATAAAGAACAGTCCTGAGTTACCTGCATCCACTCTCTGCAATGCATTTTAGGTCGTTACTCCAGTGAGAGGAGGGGGGGGGGGTCATATTACTCTGCGTTTGATCGTACGGGGTCGTCGCTCAAGAACCTTTCTTCCTCATTGTCATAGGTATGCATACTCATCGACAATTTCGCGCGTAGTGTTCTCAATCATGATCGGTACATTTATGACATGGATGTTAGACATGATTTTAGTCTTGTCCATGTTGCTCGGATCTGGGTATTCAGAGTTGTGCCCTCAGATTTTTCGTTGAATAGTACCTATAATGTATAATAACAAAAACTGCCGTAGTTTAAGGCCTAGGCAATCACTGTGTTTGTTTGGCACTTATATAGGTAGTAAAAACAGACGTGTCTAGTTCAGCTATTTTGCAGTTTTGGAGGAAAAAGTGTATTTGCCGTTCTTTGTAATGAATTACTAGTAAAGTATTAATTATATCACTCATTATTTGCCCCCTTAAAACATTTATAGATTTTTTTTATTTAAGAGTTTCCTCTTGTCGTGGCAACTAATTCATGCATTGTCTTCCAGGCCATATTGTTAACCTCCCTATAAGACATGACACACAGCATTCTCTTTATCTGACCATGTAGATATTTCTCGGGCTTACTAAATAGGCCACACAAAAAAGTAGGAATATGGAAAAATATAATAAGTTTATTTTAAAAATATAACAGAACAAGGTACATATAGTATTTTCAATTACAATTCAATTTATTCACAACAAAACTAGTGTTGAATATTTTTTTTTTTATAAATAACAAGAAGATATCATAAAACAACTTTACAATAAAACAGAAAAAGTATGAAGTAACAAAATAACCAATAATAATTGTTAAAAAATTACAAAAGTCATTAGTAAGGCATAGTATACAGTAGTATAATCATATCACACGTTTTAAAAAAATTATTCGAGAAATCCCAGTACTCACTGGCACACATTAGTGAATTTTGAATTTTTGCCTTTCTTACAATAAAAAAAGTCTCATACTTGCTAGTACTATATAGATAGATCAAATATATTTTACATTGTATTTCACAGAAATAAAATTCAGCAATTACGTGTTTTGTATCATTACTATATTTACATATACACTTTAAAAGATAGTATCACAAAAGTATATTAAAATTAAAAATAAAAAAAGTCTTATATCTTGGGGCAGGGAGTTTTCTTTAGATAGTTCCTGCCAGAGGGAAGCGGAACTACCGTAACACCACTTGGGAAAACTTTTTTCGCCTCATCTTCCGATATGGTCGGCAGTACCATGCAGTCATCTCCCATCTGAAAATAATACAAATAGCTATAAAATGTTTGATATTGTAAATTAAATAATTTTCTATATTATAAATTAACCAGAGGAGGAACTATTATTAAACCAGAGTAACAATCATACAAGCAATTCTGTCAGGTTAATGACCATTCAAATATAATCATTGCGACAATTTCTTTAAATAAGAAACTTAAATTATAGGTACTACATTACATTTTGGAACTACATTTGACTTCTTTTGTTTACATGGAGTTATCAGTACTACCATTTATTAGTTTGAAACCAGTAATTGGCCCAGTGTAATTAATACAATTATAGCAATCTCTTGACTCCATCCATTAAGAACTATGCCAAATGAACCTGCCATTGTTTGCCTTTGTTTAAGATAAACTGGCCTATCCTAGTTGAACACAACCACTTGGCAAAAGTTTTGGAAAAGTGATTTTTAGCATTTATGAGAGAAACCTGTGCTAAATTTTTCTTATGTTGAAACGAAAAAACAACACTCGAATTCATAATAATATTCTAAAAATAAAAGCTAACCTTCCAATCAACAGGGGTAGCAACTTTGGCTTTATCTGTCAGCTGCAAAGAGTCCAACACGCGTAATATCTCGCTGAAATTAATAAAATCAAAACAATTTTAATATAAGTAGTACAATCTCGCTACCACTTAGTTAACTGTATCTCCTATGACTGCATACTAACTAGAAATGTTCTATACATTCATAGTATTCCATGTTATACAACAAGTATTATTTATATATATAATAAATCAAAATAACATAGAAAGGGGTAAAATTGTAATAAATTATAAAATTAACTCTATGGCACCCATAGCATATTATACATTATATATATATATATATATTTAATTTCACTGAATCAAGTTTAATTTAATAATCAGTTTTACCACTGTATAATGTTATCACCACTATCTGTATTCTGCATAGACTCGACTTTGCTTTTTTTTTTAACTTTATTCATAAAAATGTCAATACTTTTTGTATTATCTATATCAAACATCTCAATAACATAAATTTTAGGTATTGTTTGCAGTAATTTTGCATATATATATGTACTATACTAACTCAAAGTTCCTTCCAGTAGTTGCTGGGTATAAGAGGGACAGGCGGAATTTCTTTTTGGGATCCACGATGAAAACAGCACGAGCTGTTAGTGGTAGGCCACCTGGATCCAATTCGTCCATATCCACCATCCCTAACTTTGTTGCGAGTGTACGGTCCTTGTCTTCGATAATCGGATATGGGAAATTATCATTCATGTTGTATCCTGTAATACAATTTTCCACCATGTTTATAGAGACAAATTTACTCTATTCTCTCAATATTATACTTCATATGTAAATAAACAATTTACAATATATTTTCAAATTTTTAAAGTAAATAATAAGTTAAATTTTGAGTACCGCCAAAAACTGCATTTGTTAAGGCCTTAATGATACATATCCACTATAGCAAAAAAATGCTGTGCATTTCCCTCTTTTCTCTTGAGTGTCGTGAGAGGCGACTAAGGGAAACTTAGTGACTAAACTAACATAGGAAGCAGCGTAACACTCTTAAAACATCACCAAATCCTTACTGCAGTTGCCAACCTGCCTTCAGCAGTAACGGTTGACATAATAATGATAATAACTAATAAATAACAATATAAAAAAAAAAAACAAAACTAAAGTTGAAAACTAATTCTCTACAAAATACTCAATCCATCCTCTATTGATATTTTATATTGAGATTCTGCAAGCATTCACTGAAAATATATTAGGTACACTATTCTAAAACAGATATACAGTACAGTACCAGCATAACATTTGATATCCTTGCACCACTCCATATGGGAACATACAGAATCGCATGACAAGCCAATAACCTTTACATTACGCTTTGTGAACTCTGGCAATAGGTTCAATACTCGAGCAAGCTCTGTTGTGCATACAGGTGTAAAATCAGAGGGATGCGAAAAAAGGATACCCCAGCTGAAAGTAAAATATATTATTATTATTTAATTGTTGCACTCTGGTGTCTTTATCTACTTACAAAAGATCTGACATGATCGAATAATAGAAATACAAAAAAAACACGTGTTTCAAACAAAAATACTTGTATTATTAATAACTAACCATAACCATATAAACTACAAGACTACCAGTTTCAGTAAAAAAACCTAGCGTGAATAATAAATAGTTCAACAAAATTCTATGTGCATTTATTATACAAAATATAACGTTAGACACGAATAAAAAAATATGCTTACCAGTCTCCTAGCCAATCATGAAAGATGATTTCTCCTTCCGTAGTATTTGCTTTAAAATTAGGAAAAGAATCTCCCAAGAGTAACATTGTAAGTTATAGGTTACAGGAATAAAAAAAAATCCGCTATTAATTGCTCTGACGCTTTAATACAATTTTGTATATTTAAAGGAAAATTGACAAATTCTATTTTTAAATAAGTAATTTAAAAAGGTTTAAAAACATAAATTAAACGTTAAAGATTTTAAATAAAAAAAAAAAGTGTTATTGTTTCAAAACTTTCTGACATGTGGGGTCAACGTGCGGTTTTATTCTCTGCAAGCCTGGGTTAGTGATGCGCGAATGCGAATGATTTCGTTATTCAAATAATTAGTAAATACTAATTTTATAATTCGGGAATTAAATTAGTAACGTACTAATTTTCGTAATCGAATCATTTTCCTAATTAGTATCTCGATCTAAACAAATGATAATGACAATAAAAATATTTGTTTTAAATATCTATAACTAATCGATAGATACGTCATGGTACCTATAATTGACCTTTATAACAAAATTTACATATTTATTTTCTAATAAATACAGTAAAAATGGCACGGTAATTAGTTGGTTCAATGGGTTGAAAGAAAATTGGCAAATTCTAGTTTTAAATAATTTAATTTAAAAAAAGATTTAATAATATGAATTAAATGTTAAGTTTTTAATTTATTTAATTTTTATAATTAAAAATTTTTAATTTTAAATAAAGAAAAAGTGTTATTGTTTCAAAACTTTCTGACAAGTTCTGACTAATTGACTTTTAGATACTCTCTTCAAACGTGGGTTAGCGATGTGCGAGTCTGAATGATGTCGTTATTCGAATAATTAGTAATTACTAAATTTATGATTCCGCAATTAAATTAATAATATACTAAGTTTAGTATTCTAATAATTTTTTAATTAGTAGCTCGATTTAAACTAATGCTTTAAAACTAAAAACTCTAAACTAAACTCTAAAACTTTTAGCTTGCATAGCTAAAAGTGACCAATCAAATTAATAATGATCTATAAAATGCATTATAAACAAACGAAATTACAGAAGTGTGATAAACATGTTCTTTTCATCATTTTATAGTACTTTAAGAATAGTTGGTAATGGATGACCAAAAATGACAAAAATGTATTCAGTAATGGTTATTATCATTATTTATGGTTCTGATTATCGGCAATGTTAACAGAAAGCGCTTGATATTTCGCATGTGTCGGCATAAACTTTTTGTAAAGTTTTAATATACCGAGGAATCGTATACCAGAGGGGGACTTTATACAAAAATCGTTTGCCCACCGATCCTTTTTAGGAGAAAGATGCAAAGGTAATGACCATGCAGTTCTAGCTCGCACCATATCTTCGATTTCTTTTTTCTCGATTTTAAGCTTTTCGGGAAAAAGACTGCATGAGCGATAAGGGACAGGCGGTCTATCGGGAATTTGAATGTAAAGTACTGTATTGTGCTCGTGAAATGCCAACATGATGTAATTTCGGGGAATTGTAAAAGAAATTTCATATAAGGACGATCACTATGGAAAACGATTGTTTTAATGCTGTGCTGATCACTAGATGGAACAACTGCACAGGATGTTAAACCAATCTTTCCATTTAGTAATCTGCTAACTGCAGATCAGAAAACAAGCAAGATACAAGATCAGAAAAGAGATTATAGTTATATAAGAGATCGTCTCCTATAAAAAGCATACTAACATCAACTATAACAAAATTCCAAGAATAATTTCTACGGAGCCCTAAGTTGAGAACATGGTGAAAAGTACCCTACGTTTTAATTTTTGAATCATTGACATCGGAATTGAGTCGAAATTGGTACTTTTAATTTTATCTAACTGACCTTTGGTTGCCTTATCAAAAACAAATAAACAATAACTGCCTGTTGGATTGGAAAAATCAGTGGTTGCCTTCATGATATTGGTCTTCATAAGGCGGGTTGGTTAGGATGTAATCCACTTTTGCTGCCTGTCGCTTCGGTAGAACTCCAACAATGTAATTGTATTTGGTCCGCTCGTTGGTGATAACGGCGAGCTCAAAGTTTGCTTCAGCTTGCGCAAATCACAGTGTTGGCCATTCGGGCCAGAAAGAAAGAAGCTTAACCGATGCCTTATGTATCTCCATAATGGGAGGCACGATTTACAGAGATTTTATTATAACAATACAGAGCATATAAAAAATATGAAATAATAAGTATAAAAATACGTATTGACGACGCATGAAAGGCTTCCGAGGTATGTTAACGTCCTTAACTTTAAAGATAAAATTCCCAGTCAGCGGCGCACACAAAGTGCGTCGATGGATGCCGCGTGTCTTTAAAAATGGTAAGTAGATAGTCCACAACACCGCACGTAGATATTAATTTTGTAGTAATGATAAAAAAAGGAAGTAGTACGACGGGTATATAACCGTATGTCTGATTTAGCTAATCTTCAGTTCTCGGTAGTTACTAGATTAATAGTACATAGTAAGATAACTTTTGCGTTCCATGTATATTATTCTAGTTTTTAGTACTAATTATAATCAACTTTCTGTGGCAAAGCATAATACTTACAAACTAAATAGAATAGTACCTTTCTAGAATGGTGAATCTAATATAAAATTAACTAAGAGTAAATAAGAACTAACAAAAACTATGTAACTTAACTATAATATTAAAAACTATTCTTCTACAAGCTGCAAAGCTAAATTAAGTGTAAGTAACTAACCTAAATTATAATTTTTAATTATGGCAATTTAAATGTCAGTTTCCTATTAATATGATGGCGTGTACTTCCGGCGAGTACGTTGTCAGATGTCATAAGTGCAATGCCGGCGATGGGAAAAATGCGATTTTGTTTAATACTTTTACTTCACATCGTTATAATATGTAAAAGTGCCAACGTAGATACAATATCGAGTGATGTAAAATTTAAAAATGTAGATCGAACGATAGATATCGCATCACAACTTGTAAAAATTACATCAAAAATAACCCTGGAGAACAGTGGTAAATCGCCGGTAAAGAGTTTTTTGCTAGCTGTAGAAGCTTCAGCACAGAGTAAAATCGCGCACATTAGTGTTAAAGACGCCAATAACAAAGATCTTCGTGTCACAGAAACTACCGTACAAGGGTACAACAATGTTAAGTTTTGGCGTGTGGAACTAAAAGAAACAATCAATGCCGCCTCCACAGCTGCTGTCACGGCAGAATCTGTGTTTACGAAAGCCTTACAGCCATACCCAACTGCAATCGGACAACAAGAAGACCAGCTAGTGAAATACAATGGGAACTTGTATATCTACACACCTTATCAAGTTATGTCACAGAAGTCCAACATAATCATGAATACAAAGAACATTGAATCATTCACTAAAGTGAAACCATTCTCACAGCAAGATGGCGCTATTCAGTATGGTCCATATTCAAACATAGAACCATTCACAGAGAAGGAGTTAAGTGTTCATTATAAGAATAATTCTCCATTCCTAACTGTGACTAGAGTGGAAAGGCTCATTGAAGTTTCTCACTGGGGCAATATAGCTGTAGAAGAGATAATTGAAGTTGAACATACTGGAGCTAAGCTCAAAGGTCCTTTCTCTCGGTATGACTATCAACAGGACCATCACAGCGGCCCTGCCAGTGTCCGTTCCTACAAAACTTTACTACCTGCATCAGCATCTGATGTGTACTATCGCGACACAAATGGGAACATTTCTACTTCAAATATGAAAGTGAAAAAGGACTCTGTTGAGTTGGACCTAAGACCTAGATATCCGCTTTTCGGTGGATGGAGAACTCATTACACGCTTGGATACAATGTGCCAAGTTATGAATACTTGTACCACTCTGGCAATGAATATTTACTGAAGATGAGAGTTGTAGATCACATTTTTGATGATATGCAAGTTGATGAGTTAGTTACCAAGATTATATTACCGGAAGGTTCTGTGAATATAAAAATTAATGTTCCATATCCAGTGACTAGATTGCCTGATAGCCTGCATTATACATATTTGGATACCAAAGGGAGACCAGTCATAACTTTCACTAAGGCCAATGTTGTTGAAAACCATATCCAAGACTTCCAACTGCGCTATACATTCCCTCGTTTGCTGATGTTGCAGGAACCCCTACTTGTTGTTGGTTTCCTTTATACTTTATTCTTATGTGTTATTATTTATGTAAGATTAGATTTCTCTATTCACAAGTCTGAGCATCAGCATAAAGAATAATTTAATGTAATAGTAATATATTGCACAGTATGAATGTAATCATTTCACATTTCTGTGTTGTCGCAAATGATTATTTGTAGAAATAAATATCTTTTATAACAGTATTCTTTTTCTTTCTGAATAAAATATCCCTTCTTTATCATAGTTTTTAAGTAATCTATGTCTTTATGTAATATGGATATGGGCAGTTTACAAAACTACAGAATATGAAAAAAAAAATAGAATTTAAAAATACATTTATTCATGACAAACATTTCTAAATATTTTATTTCAACCATGCTTTTTCATGGGTACATTTGAAATTATATACAATTTGCATTAATTATAAAAGAATATTTGAGCATTATATGTACGAGGTTTGTCCGGAAAGTACGTATAAAAGTTTTTTAAAAATTTTATTTTACAATTATTCAGGTAAATCAATTTTATCCCCTTCAAAGTACTCCCCCTGTGACATAATGCACTTGTGCCAACGCCGTTTCCACTGTGAGAAGGCTCCTTGAAAGTCCTCTGGTTGTAGGTTTCTCAGCTGCCCCGTCGTAGCTTTTTTTATCTCATTTATGTCCCCCAAATGCCGCCCCCGAAGTACCAATTTGGTTTTTGGGAACAAGAAGAAGTCACACGGGGCCAAATCCGGCGAATAGGGGGGTGTTCGGTCACCGTAATGGAATTTTTACTCAAAAACTCACGGACAACAAGAGAGGTGTGGGCAGGGGCATTGTCGTGGTGAAGAATCCAACGCCCCTCTCGCGCCAATTCTGGACGAACTCGTGCCACACGACTGTCTGACCGTTAAACGACGGTCCCCATTAACACAAGTTCGAATTCTTTCCACGTTTTCGTCGGAATGTGAAGTGGAAAGACGTCCTGAACGTGGGTCATCTTGAACGCTTTCTCGGCCCTCTCTGAATCTTTTTAGCCACTTGTGGACGGTTGGTTCCTTCACAGCATCATCCCCATAAACTGTTCTGAGATCGGCAAAAATTTCACGGCCATTCTTGCCGAGTTTCGAGAGAAACTTGATTACGACGCGCTGCTCTTCAACGGAAGCGGGCTCCATGCCGACGGGGTTTCGTTAAGAGGTAACTTCACAGATGGCGTGACAAGCCAGTTCGCACCGCACGGCGGTCAGACCAGAACTGAAGCATTGTTAGGGACATAAGGAAGGGGTCCTGCGCTTACCTGGCCTCCCCACTCCTCTTTCTCGCATTCCAGAACACTTTTATACGAACTTTCCGGACAGACCTCGTATATGTATTAATACACTCATTAAAGTTACTTATCTTGCCTTTATCTGCAAAAATTTGAATACAAAAAAAAACAATTTATATTTAGCGTCACATTCAGCAAATATCAAAAACATCTAGATGTATATTTTTGGGCTAACTAAATTATAATTATTGCTGTACTTTCAGAAATATATGGTTTGTTATTATTAATATAGTTGGGTTATTTTTTTAAATTCCAGATATTATATTTGTTAATGTCCAAATAAATAAACAATGTATGTTGAGTATATAGACACACCCACATTTTTACAAGTGGATATTCAAAACTTTCAATATCTTAAATATACATCAAATAAATATCTACCCTTTGAAATTTTTAAACATCTGTAAAATATTGATGCCTATTAATTCCTCTTTTTTCGTATTTTCTTTCTTTTAGGTATAGTAGAGAAAATCTTATCTGAGAAATCAGTTAAGGGTACAATAGGGATGGTATATATAAAAAAGGTACAAGCCCTTAAGAATTTTTAAAATAAAAATTTATGCATAAAGGAAAATGAAATAAAATCTTCACCTTTTAATTAAAAATATAATGTATAACATTGATTGATCTTGACTTCACAAACTTCAATAATTATTTAGTTATTGTTGAATTATAATTAGTCATTCTGTATTATAATTATTTAAATTGGCTTTACTCACATAAATAACTTCGACATTATTATAAGTAATTAAAATTTATTACTTAATTTTCTTCTATATTAATATAAATAATCAATCATTCCAAATAAATGAATGACTTAAAATTCATCCACATTAGAGGATTATTATTTTAAAATTATAAAATATTTAGATTACTAAGACAATAATCTTTTGCAATAATATAAAATATTAAAATTACAACATGGAAAACTTTATGCACATTTATGGGTACACCCATAGACAACATTTATCCAGACATTACAGTGTAATGTAATGATTACTTGCTCATTGTTTCAATATGATATTCAAGCAATTTATATATTAATTTACTCATGTATTTTAAACTACTCATACATATACAATAAAAAAATATATAAATCAAAGTGTTGACAGGGCGGATTATATTGTAAACAATGTAAGTCAATGTGACTACTTCCCCAATTCAATGTGAATTTAAAAATTTTTACCTGTGAAAGCCTGTTCGGTATTTTTGTAAATTTTTTTTTATATAAATATCAGGGAGCAGAATGTGCTGAAATGTAATCAGCGAAAAAAGAAACTATTGAATAGTAATAATAATCATGTTGAGCCATGTCGAGTAGTAATAGTAATCAGGGGATATAAATAGGTATGTAATCAGGGAGCAGAATATGTTGAAGTGTAATCATTGAAAAAATCTGTTGAATGGTAATCAGGGAAGAGAATTTGATAAAGGAGGGTTACAAAATACAATTAATATCAGACTCCATGCTCGGCAAGTTTGGTGCGCAGTACGACGGGCGCGCTGGTGCAGGGCAGGATCGCCAGTTCGGTCACCACGGCCGTCACCAGGCTCGGGGGCGTCACGTCGTACAACAGGTTTAGGGGCGTCAGATTCGGGTTCGATCGCCAGTCCTTCAGAGGGGAGTTCTCGTCGGACTTATCGATCAATTCATCTGGATCACCTGTTTGTAATAAAATAGAAATATTTTTATTTTCAATATATTTATTTCAAGTACTTCAGCGCTGGTGGACTGTGGTCGGCACTGCAACCTGAGATAGCAAATTCTAGGGGATATGCCTTTAATTAATTTAATGGTAGTATCAATGTAATCCTTAGCCAACCTGGCAATCGCAATGTCAAATGCCTGTCTGTGGGTAAAGGCGTCGTTGACATAACAAACCAAACATTCATATGAGGCTGGCATAGTTATCTAGATGTATTGAAGCCTCAACAAAAATTAGATATAAAAGAATTTACTTATTTATTTTATACTGAATAATATATAATATAATATGGAGGACGACATCCTTCTCTCTATGCATCATTTTATCACTAAAATAAAATATTATAAAATGGAAAAACTAATATAAATATTAATTTTTCCCATCGGAATCATAGAAAAACATTGAAAGAGTATAAAAAATGTAAATTTTAATAAAAATAAATAGTGCAATAAACCATTTATTGTCTATCAGTTCTGAAATATTAATTTACAAGAGCCAATTTGCAATATGAAAAAAAACCTTTTGTAAACATGGAGTAAACCCGTATAGACTGTGCAAACTTTGAACACTTTGTTTGCAGACATGCTCATTGTTTGTGCTGGCCTTTAAGACTCCGCGAAACACTAAGAATGTAGATACTGACCTATCTCGTTGTAAACGAAGGCGTCGGTCTGCACGCGGTCAGAGAACTTGTGTGTTTCGGCAGCCACAAGTACTGGCACGTTGGCAGCGCGCGCCAGCAGCGCCACCTGTGCTGTGCCCGCAGCGCTCAGCACCGACCCGTTGACCAGCAGCGAGCCCGCGCCCACGATTACCTTGTTTATCTACACATACATACACCATATGTTTATTGAGATGGGAAAAGGGATTGTAGGTAATGGAGATTAGTAGCCGCATTGCTAGCAATATACCTTGACAGGTATATTGCTAGCAATGTGGTAGCAATATAACGAGGAGGTCGCCTCGTTATTCCCTCTGGAAACCATCGTGATCGATTTATTGTTAGATTCATCATGGTGGGCTAACCTGCTTTATCCTCACCTATCATCCTTCACTGGCGCCCCGCAAGTGTATACCGATAGTGCAGACGGAATTTCCATACATCCATAAGAAAAAAGGGTCGTAATATATTTTATTTATTGGCAAAAGACATAACATTATTATAATAGTATTGATTAGACTACAGCATGGGGTTCTTCAAGAGGGGTGTAAAGAGGTTTTGCAGGATCGACAACGCGTGCGTAATACCCCTGGTATTACAGGCGTTCATAGGCTACGGTAATCGTTTACCATTAGGCGGGTCGTATGCTTGTTTACCTACCACAGTGGTACAAAAAGCAATTAGAAGCGAATGAAATGTTGTGGCGTACCTTTTTGATGACGTAGCTGACGGCGGTGATGTCGAGGTAGGTGCAGGGCAGGCCGGCGGTGCACAGGCGGCGCAGCAGGCCGATGGCAGCGCGTTGCAGCCGCGAGCCCACCACCACCACGTGAAACCGCACGCCAGCGCTCCACGCCTCCACCAGGATACGCTCCACCAGCGACGAGCTGCCGCCAACAGCGTATACATTAATACACACACATTTATTTACTCTTTACTACTGAACCATCCCGGCTTTGCATGGGTAGATTGGTAGAAAAACAAATAAGATAAAAGACAATCCACGTTATTCCCTGATAATGTAGCTTTCTATAGGTGAAAGAATTTTTAAAATCAGCTTATTGTTTTTCGAGTTTATTAATTTTAATTAAAAAAAATCAAATCCTTCCTCTACATACCTTCCGCCTCATACACACAACGGCCCAAATGAGAGGCTAAGCGTGGAAAATAGAGTCCTATTCACATTTCACCACCTTACCATCAGGTGAGCCGTATGCTTGTTTACCACCTTAGTGGTATAAAAAAACCTACCCATCTATCAAATTTCATACAAATCCGTTCAGCCGTTTAAGCGTAACTGAGTAACATATTTAGATTAGTAGAATTGATCAAAATGCAAACAGCAGTGTACTTAATGCAATATGGCATAAAAACAGTTATAAGTTACAGCATGATACAATATTGTACAATTTTAAAATCACGGTACAATAAAGAAGTAAAATTTATATATTGTATGGAGACGTTTTAATTTTCCGCAATTATATCGGGGACGTGCAAGGAAATATATAATAGCGTCTAAAACATACCAATTTAAAAGATTTACGAATAATAATAATAAATATATACAAAATATTTCGTCTTATATACACTTTGTATATAAGACGAGATATTTCGTAAATACATAAGGTTGAAAATATTTAAATTTAAAACACATTTTTTTTTCACCGCATAATTAATAATTAATATTATTATTATTTATTTAATACTTCTGTTTTGTCAAAAGTTGACCGGGAAAAAATGTTTTATAGTATTAAATCCGCCATTTATACCAGACCTTTTTTTGTATGGTGGTCAATAAAGAATAAATAAATGAGTCTAGAAGTGATTTAGCTTTACAACAAGCAACCTTTTTGCTCTGCAAATAAAAACGTCCGCTTCGATTGTTACAAAATAATAGAAGTTAGAGTAATGTAAGAGTCAACTCTTTTAACTGCATAAAGAATTATCAAATTCGATTAATAAAATACAACATAATTTAAAAAAAAAAATTACGAATTGAAGATGTCTTTCTTTCAAAAATCGAATAAAAACATAAGGCTCGAGACAAACAACAATACATGTGTAAGCATGAAACAACTTTCAAAAAAGTAGGGTTGGGTAATATGTAGCAATATCTATATATTTTAGTTACAATATCTATATACTGGTCCAATAAGGAATATGTTAAAAGTCTGTTATCTAAAAAAATTATATTTGATAACAGACTCTTAGCATATTCGAAAAAAGATATCTGACCTATATGGGCGATATTAAAATGGGTGATGACCTGTTTTACCGCCATCACCCGTCAAGAAGATCCCAATATACAAAAAACACAAGGATATTATTAAAATTGAAAATTGTGAATTAGAGCATGTACATAGTTTCTTACCATCCATATGTCAATATGTTGTCGCCATTGCATATTTTCTCCCGCACCGCCAAACTGATCGCCTCGCCCGCTTTGTCTATTTGCTCTCTTACGTAATTATCTATTAAATCTTTCAGAGTTTTCTTTGCCTGCATATAAAAAAATGTACACATTAAAAAAATACGCTTACAGCTATAATTCTTAATAGGGTAGTTAGAAGCCATTGACTGTAGTGAACGTAACATAGTTAAAAAAAAATCTAAAATATAAACTTTATGGGCTAAATAGTGGAGCAATAAATCATTATATAAAAAAAGTATCTTTTACCTGCGACTTGTTAGAAAGTTTTTTAGAAATTTTACGCCCTTTTTTTTAATTTAATTATGAAGACAAATTGATACAACCAATTGTTTCAACCGTAAAGCAGTTGTGTTTGCATGGCTGTGTTTCGGTTTGAAGGGTGGGATATGGCGTGAATTTACTGGGTACAGAGGAATAACACCTGAGTCCTCAGGAATGGCAACGCATGGGGGTATCATGGGTGAAACAGTATACTCTGCTATGTCAATATACTGCTCATGTCTATAGGCGATGGTTACCACTTTCCATCAGGTGGGCCGTCAGCTTGGTTGCCATTCAATGTTGTATAAAAAAAAGACATACTGTTATCATAGTAGTATAAATAAAAAATTGATAAATTGATTGAATGGTCAAACCATTGGGAGGGGGGGATTGTTAGTAATGCGAACTACCAGTTGCATTGCTAGTAATATACCCAGTGAGGTCGATCTCCACGATTAGCTTATCACTCTCACAATAAGCTAACTGACCTGCTCTTTCATTTTCACGTATTATCCCTCACTGGTACCCCACCGGTGCATACTGTTAGCGCAGGCGGGGTTACCATTCCATTACCATCCATTAAAAAAAAATCATTTAGTGTTCCTACGATAATTTGAAATTGGTTACAATTACATTAAGTTCTATCTTAACAGCATAAAGTGTGAAGGAGCAAAGAGCACATTCCTTATTAAAAGACCAGCAACACACTTGCAATTTAGCTAATGTTGCGGGCGGTAATCACTTACTATTAGATGAGTCGCATACTTATATGTCAAAAAAAAAAAAAACTAACTGTAGATTTGTAATATTCAACTTACGTCATGTTCATTGACATTGTTGGGTAGCTGAGTGAGATTATGTCTGAAGTATTTGATGGCGTTCGTCTGGGAAGCGGACGGCTGTCGCATCGACCACAAATACTCGACACTCGACGTCAGCTGAGACTCCAAACCTCGCGCGAATTCGGTCTTCGCTGGTAGAGTGTAATCTGTCACCATCTGATTAAAGACAATATATAGTGTAACTACATATAATAAAAAAACTTTTTTAATTAGTATATTTGCAAAATGAAATAATTCTTGTAAGAAGCAATTTACAGTGGTACCCTGCACTTTGGTTATGTTATGTTAAGAGAGCGACTGGCTGAAAACCAGCGCTGTGCAGCTGTTCACATTGCGCTGGGACACTCACAGCATCAGCTGAGCCGGTTCCTTTCGCCTAGTATGGGATACTTTTTGTATGTTATTTATATTATATATTCTAATTGTATGTTTATTGGCAATAAATGTTTCTATTCTATTCTATTCTTAAACATAGAAATTAAAAAATAACAAATGTATTCAAAGTATTTATCGCCTATTGTGATGACATGATATTTTTGCAACAAAAATTAAATTGTTTAAAATATACATTTTAGTTGACTGTTACTTATGCATTGATACATTCTGTATAGCGTAACATCAACTCTGAATAGTGAAAAAACACTTCACTAATTGATGATGATGATGATATCAGCCGTTACTTTTTATAGAGGGAGACTTTGTACAAAAGTCGTTTGTTTGGGTACCTCTGTCCCATTCGTGTTTCTACCGTGAAGCAGTTGTGTTTGCATAGCTGCCTTTCGGTTTGAAGGGTGGGATATGGCGTGAATTTACAGGGTACAAAGGAATTACACCTTAGTCCTCAGGAATGGCAACGCATGGGGTGTATCGTTTCTATAGGCGACGGTTACCACTTTCCATCAGGTGGGCCGTCAGCTTGTTTGCCATTTTAAGTTGTATAAAAAAAAAACAACAATAATTATATTTTATATGTGAACCTTTACACACCTACTTTAATTTAAAGTAATAATTTATAAACTGGTATCCATATGTGTCTGATATGGAAAAAAAGTTGACCTAAAAATTTAAGCTGTAAACCTGAAATAATAACTGACCTTCCGCAGAGCATCAAGTAACGCTATACACCTGGCGTTGGAACCGGCCACCACACGGGATGCAAGCTGAACGCCCAATTTTACTATAGCAGGGTGTAGGCTGGAAACAGTTATAAATAAATAAATAAAAATATATTACACCAATTACCTAGTCCTCAAGCTAGGGGAAATGGATTCTTAGTAATGAGATTTAACTGCCCCATTGCTAGCAACAGACCTTATCAGGTCAACCTCCACGCGGTTCCCTCTAGAAACCACAGTGGTTAATTCATATTCAATCGGTCACTATGGGCCAGCTGGTCTACCTTCATCCTCAGGGTGACAGGTACCCTTCACTGGTACCCCACAAGCGTAAATCGATAGCGCAAGCGGAGTTACTATTCCATCTTCACTCATTAAAAAAAGTCCTTAAGCTAAGGACTGATTATTTGAACAGCATTATTTTGTTTAATTTCGCTACCATTATCATGTGTGTGACTGTCAACACTAAAAGATTGACCATGACTTTTACTACCAGAAGTTCTACAACCTTCCATATTAGCCATCAATTTCGAACTCCAGCAGTTACACACATACTAATGGTAGCAGAATTAAACAAAATATTCAATATATCCCAAAGATGGTTGACGTCAGGCAGGCGGCCAGTCGTAAACCAAATAGCCAAATCTTTTTGTAATATGGATAAAAACATTACGCCGATCCCATACAATAATTGGGATAAGGGTAGGAAGATGAATGATTCAAATAATCAGTGATATGGACTTCTGCAAAATAACACCTAGTACACTAAAATATCTAAGGATATCAAGCATTAGCGACTCTTCTGGTGTTGCTAGTGTCTAGTATTATAATTACTATTATAATTCTTTTTATCAATAAGTCATTATAATATTAAATAATATTATATTTAAAAAAATATTTAAATACTAGTCCACGCAAATGTTGTTTTATTTTCTACTGGGTCCATTTTTTCCTATTTGGATAAAACTATCCTATCTTTATAGCTGAAGCACATAATACACATCTACACAGTTTCATTAAAATCTTGAGCACTTGTTGAGCAGTTTTAGATATTAGTGTAACAACATTGAATATTTTAGAATTACTTTAATAATAATTATACAATTTCATTAATGTTTTAAAAACTTACTTTGAATTAATGGCAATATTTTTTAAGGATTCCTTTTCATGCCCAGTAGATAAATGCTGGAACCAGTTTATTCTTTGTATATACTGAGGCTTTGATTTTGTCTTCTCTGTCAATTTTGCCTTGGGTTTTTCCTATAAATATAAACATTTTTATGCAATGAAAATTGAAGAGTAAATGTGCATTTAATTAATTAGTTGTTTGACTTCAAAAATTTCATCTTATACATTTTTCTTCTTACAGTAAAAAGACAAAATGTCAGTATTCCTCAATACTATGGTACAATGCACAGCTTTTCAAAATATCATTTATAACTTAAAAAACTGAAAATAATAAGTAACAAGATATATACTTGCATAACTTACCTCTTTACTTAGCTTAGCTACATCTGTAACAGTCTTTTCAGGTTTCGAAGGAGCCTGCTTTTGTTTGACAACTTTCTGTTCTTGAGCTGCTTGCTTTGCAGCTCTCTGAGCTTCCTGCTTTGCTCGACGCTCTGCCTTCAATTCTGCTTTGCTTTTGGAAGACTCTTCTTGCTATATAATTTAAATAAAATTTATATAAAAAATAATACACATAATTTAGGTTATTTGTATATTGCTTTTAATCTATCATATGGATTTATAATCCCAATAATAAAATATTTAATAAAATATGATTTAATGTACCTTTTTAGGTTCTAAATGGATCGATTGAACTATAGCAGTAACATCTTGAACCGCTCTTGCAACATTCGCAATGTCTTTCAATGTTTCTACAACATCTTTTATTGTCATATCCTTCTCTGCAGCATTATCATCTTTCAATAAACTTTCCTTTTTAGATTCTTCAGTTAAATTTTTTTTATCGACTTCAACCATTTCTGATACACCTTTCTTATTAGCTTGTTTCATTGCTTTTTTTGCTGCTCTTTCAGCCATTACTTCTTCTTTACTTTTTTCACTAGATGTCTGTCCTTTATCTAAATTTTCTTTTTGTACATTACCTATATTTACTAAAGTATTACTATCTACTAAATGATCTACTTCATCTTTACTTTTAATTACAGTGCTTGTTACCTTAGATATTTTGTCTTTGCTAGTATTTTTTAACTCTTTTTTTACTTTATCTCCTGAATCAGAATTTTGTTTAGGAATATCTTTATCACTTTTAGTTGTATCTTTTATAGACTGTGTTCCTATAACTTCATTTTGAACCACCTCTCCTTTTTTAGCTTTTTGCTTGGCTAGTTTCTTAGCTTCTCTAGCAGCCAATATTTCTTCTCTAGATTTTTCCTTTGAAGACATTGTAAGATTGTTTGTATTACTATCTAATTTAATATTCTCTTTTAATTCATTGCCTATTTGTTCAATCACAGATATAGGATTTTCACCAACTTCTTTTGGCACATTTTCTCTGGGATGATTTTTCGCATCTGTTGGTTTCTTCTGTTGATTATTGTGACAAGCACGGGCAGCTTGTAACTTTTTTCTCCTAATTCTTCTCTTTTTAGATGTTGTCAATTGAAAAACAATCGTAGGAGATATTTCACTATTTGTCTGTTAAAAAGAAAGCAAGTATTTGAAGATATACATACTAAATATATACTAATAATACTAAAACCACTTTCTGTTTGTCTTTACATAGCTATTATGACCATTCACTTAAAAATTCATTAAGTCTCTTATGCTAATTATCATGATAAATATATATATTAAAACCAGAGAGAGACTTTGTATAAAAGTTGTTTGCTTGGGTACCTCTGTCCCATTCGTGTTTCTACCATGAAGCAGTTGTTTGCATGACTGTGTTTCAGTTTGAAGGATGGGATATGGCAGTGAATTTACAGGGTACAGAAGGTATCATGGCTGAAACAGTATACTCTGTTATGTTCATGGTACTGCTCATGTCTATAGGTGACGATTACCATTTGCCATCAGTTAGGCCGTCAGTTTTTTTGCCATTTTAAGTTACATAAAAAATATAATTAAGATCACTATACTATTTACAAAGACAAATGTCCTATCCATTGTTTTGAGTATCATCTGAGATGAAAATTCATTAATATACTAGCCCGAGATGTTGCATCATTCTGATTATAACCTCGAAACATGCCAGGTGTCACTTTCAATTAGTAAATAAGATTTTATATATATGATACCTTAGACAAAACCATAGCTGCTAATCCTTGGAAAGCTATAAAACAAGTAGCATTATAGGATTATATTTGCATTTTAATTAATAAATATAGTGTGTGTATAAAATATACTTACTACAAAAAATTTCTAACTATTATTCTCGCAATACCACATTTATATCAAGGTTACATTTACATCTACAACATATACCACATAGATAAATTATGATAATATAATTAATGAAATAAATTAACTTATTAAAAATATATTTAAAAATAAATTATTATTGAGTTTAAAAATTTCAAATCGACAAGTTGACAATATTTGGAATTTTTGGGTTGTCAAACCAAGTACTGTCAATATTTACATTCTTTACTATCCTTAGTCTATGCTATCCTTTTTAACACAGAAAAACAAATAGATAAGTATAAAAAAAATTACCTACTATTTACTTGTAGTCTAATCTGTAACTAAAATTTATACAACTCCTACTTTATTAGTAAAACAAAATAATTGATGAGAAAATTTTACTTACTCTATGCTTAGGATAATTTGCTTATGACTGACTTCAAAAATCGCAATCAATACATACTACTTCAATTAGGCATCATTTCTATTATTATTATTTAACAGATAATTAGTTTTGATGTAACAAAATGCCTGCAACCACATCGTAGATACCTAGTTCAAGCTGCATATTGTGCCACATAAGAGCCTAACAAATACAACGTAATCTAAAGACGAAACTTACCGTTGATTTTAATGGGTCTCTTTAATCTGTATAGTGACCCTGCCTTCGTTATTGGTATATGGTATAGATTTTATATTATATAGACTAGCGAGGCACCGGTGAATGACGATAGAATAAACAGGTTAGTTTTTTTAATGGATCATAATGGCACCTGCGCTAACGATATACGCTGGCGGTACACTAGCGAGGTATGATAGTCCTTTATGATGAATTCACTTAGAATTTAAAACGACAGTTTCCAAGGGGAATGGTGAGGAGGTCGACCTTATAGAGTGTATTAGGAATGAAAGGGATTATTAATAATGGGTATTAGCAACCCTATTACTAGCAATATACTCTATTAGGTCGACCTCCTCGCGGTTCCTCCTGGAAACCATCGTGATTGAATCATTGGTGATTTTGTCACGATGAGCCGAACTGACCTGCTTCATCTTCACTTATCACCTTTCACTGGTGCCTCGCCAGTGTATACAGATAGCGCAGGCGGGATTACTATTCCATTATCATCCACAAAAAAAGGTATTGCTAGCAATGGCGCTATTAGACTTCATTACTTACAGTCCCTTTCTCCCCTACCGTTGTAGTATAGTGGCGCTAGGTGATGTAAAATAAACACAAGCATAAAACAATAACCAAGGACAAAATTCGAAATTCAAATGTTAATAATAAAAGTAGTAAATAATACTGTAAACTATATTTATTTTTTGAAGATAAAATATAGATAGACAGGCAGGTACATATTATCATTATCTTTAAGTAAAATTACAAATACAATATTTACTGTTGATAATAATGATTCTACCTAAATGTTATAATATTTCATTCATATAACTTACAAAAATAAGTAATAAATGGAAAATAATAGCCATTTTTATAATTTATCATAGCATGACAAAACAGATATCGTATAATTTTACCGTCACAGTAATACGACCTATAATAAAAAAATAAAAATATAATGCAGTTATCTGGAGATTTTGAAGATTCTGTTCCCGTATTTATGCCCGTATGGATATATGGAATTGTATGTATGGAAATCCCTTTACGTTCTTCTACGGATGTAAAGGGATTTCGTAATTCGTTATCGTGTCTATGATAAAATTACATGCATTTTATTTTGTTATTACTGTGACAGTAAAATAGTATGATACCGTATAAATAATAGATGTAACATAAATTTATAAAAGTAACTAAAATATAATATAAAGCAAAAATTGAACTTATTAATAAAAAAAAATATGTATTTTAGGATAACACTACTTAATTATTAAATTACAAATAAAATTTGTAGTAGGTAAACGAAATCTCTTTTATTTGTCTTACGGTAATATATTGTAAATAAATGCACAATTTATTTAAATTATTATAAATTATAAAATTATAATACATTAAAAAGTATAGAAAAAATCTTTTATTTTTTTCTCTATGGCGATACCAGAAATCCTATTGTTGGCCAAATTTTGTGCGTGATTGCATTTTTTTAATTAAATATAGGCAAGGAGCCAATCGTGTAATTTAGTAGGTAGGTACCTAAGATAGGTGCGTAATGAATGATTTAAATTATTTTATGTTAATAACCTAAATACGAAAATAATATTAAAGTATCAATTTCTGTTATTATATGTATATTTACATATAGGTATTAATTATTTAGACATTCTAACTGGCACAAGAAATAAAAAAACAAATAAATACCGAAAAATATTTAAATGTTAAATTCGTGAAAAAACTTTTTAATATTTATATATCATTGCACCATGACTAGGAATAGTAACAAAAACATATTGTTTGGCTTTGGTCTTGTCTATGCGACAATAATTCACATAAAATTTTTCAATTATCGTGTCTGTATATTCTTGTACTTTATCTTTTGGACACAAGGCTACTGTACATCCTCCCCAACCAGCTCCAGTGAGACGACAATGTACGCCGAGTTCTTTGGATATATCAACAATACGATCCAAGTTTTCATGGGAACATTCATAAAGTGTTTTCAAGCTTTCATGACTTTCAGACATTAATTTGCCCAAAACATTCAGAGTATTATTCGTATTTTTGCCATTTTGGGAAATATTTCCATTCAATGTATTTGCGAAGCCATTTTCACTTTGTCCGCATGCATTACGAAAGTCTTCAACTCTCTTCGCTTCTTCGTAAACATGGAGTGCCCGTTGTTTTAATTTAAACTCTTGTAGACTTTTTGTATTGGCAGTTAAATATAAATTCTCCATTTTCTCTTGGTTAACATTCAAAATTTTGCATATATCCTGTTTTGTATAAATTTCATTTGGTATATGCTTTTTTACAAGGTTTACCATTTCTTCTAAAGATTTTGCTAGCTTAATTTGTACTTCACTTAAAGTGATGATATTATTATCACAAGATATTCCTTCAAGAATCGCTATTATCTTAGCAGCTAGCCTACATTCTATTACTCGTCTATTGTAATCATTCGTTGCGGCCTTATTCATTTCAGCAAGACTATGTGCAACCACAAATACAGCATCTTCTGGCAAAGCTACGGGTGCAGCATTCAATGGCTTAAACGTTATATATTGTGCGTTATATTTTTCAGCAAGGAAGGCAATAGCTTGGTCCATTCCACCTCCTTGTGTTCCAACATATCTTTCGCTCTTGGCACATAGTGAAGCAATCTCAGTTTTATTTGGTATCTCATTCTGTGCATAGATAAATGCAAGGCATGAAGCACTTACTAAGGCAGAAGAACTTGAAAGTCCAGAGGCCGGAGGTATATTACCATGAAAAAGAAATTGCACTCCGTTGATATTGTCTTTATTTAAATATTCTAGTGCACCTTTTATGCCACAAAGTACATAATTATACCAAAAAGGTTTCCCATTCGTGTCTGGTTTAATTTCTATGTCTTCTGAATTATTTGTTATATTTATATCATATTTAGTATATTTTGTATCAACATTTCGTAAATATATTTTTGATTCATTTATCACTCGAGCCGCGATTAGAATATCCTGTTCTATAGCCATTGGCAACACTGGATAGCCGCAGTAATCGATATGTTCTCCAATTATATTCACTCTGCCTGGCACTTTTACGAAAAAAGATGGGCTGCACTTGAACTCCACAAAGAAAAGTTCATTTAAACGTGAAATACGATCTGTATTTGGAACATTGGCAACTGTTATAGCGTTACTTTTTATTTCGCGGTCCATTTTTGAGAGGTTAATGTTAATGCCAACGCCGTATGTAAACAAACCGAACTAGCGCTCCGTGACTCTTCGGAATTGGAACTAAAAATTTTATCAACACAAACGATGCAAGTACGTCGTGTAACTCATATAGGTACCTATACTATACACAATGTTTCACAGTATTCAATGTTCAATACTTTTGTAAACTAAAGAATCTTAAACTCACGCAATAATAAATATAAACGCTACATATTATTATAAACACTTCTCTTCACATTGTATGTACAAGCACTGATAGCATTTATAGATAAGACTTGAACAACTAGTCAACATATTATAATTCTGCACTTACAACCAATTGAAACGATTAAACAATCACAAAACAAACAATGTTTTCATTCTAACCTAAAATTATTAAGCTGCCATCTACTATAACTCTGACTCTAAATAAGCCCATGAGCATTAGGACGTCAATTTACAGTTACTTTTATGCGAATAACCGTGTTTAGTACGGAATAGCCATAAGTTATGCTCGTTTCAATAATTAAACGATTTAAATTCATTCACTGATAGCGGATAACTTGCAATTTACGAGTATATACGCACTAATAATATTTTATATGCAAGTATAATAAAATTAAATAAGTATTTATAATTATTGCAACTTATATGCATAATATTAGACTAACATATAAACTACAACGACAAACAGTGAAATAGAGGCCAAATATAACCACCTACTCAAAATTTCAAAATATACTACCAATCCAAGTAAGGTATCCTAAGAAAAGACTTCATTTGTACATTTTGAAACTCATGTTTATTTATTTTTTTATTTAGCTTAGTTTATTATTGATTTATTTAATCGAGTTTTACAGTCTTTCTTAGTTATGATCGAAAATATAAGAATAAAACCATCTCGCTTTCGCCCTTATCTCCGATTTTTTTTTATTTAAAGATTTTGACTAGTATCGTATAATAAAAATATTAGGTATTATTTACGTATGAGAAATCTTATATAGGTACACACACACACACATACACACATATGTGTGTATGTATGTATAAGTATATACTGATACGTAATAAAATACTATAAATAATTCTAGCCAACGTTATTTTCTAACTAGTCCTAGTCTAGGACTCTTAGATAAAGCCATTTAAACTTCGTATCACAAATATCAAAAAATAGAATCTACTTCGGTATACAGGTAATTAACAATAGATCGGGGGGAGAAGGGATTGTTAGTAATGGGGATTAGTAGCCCCATTACTAGTAATATATCCTATCAGGTCGACCTCCTCATGGTTTCCCCCTGGAAACCAATCGTGATTGATTTATTGTTAGATTCGTCATGATGGGCTAACTGACCTGCTTCAGCCTCACTGGCGCCCCGCCAGTGTATACCGATAGCGCTGGCGGGGTCACCATTCCATTATCATCTATTAAAAAAAATTAACAATAGATCGTACACAGAGTACCTATTTAATGTTTAATTATGAAATAATTTAATCCTTTATTTACGTATACTTCAGTCTTAAGATAGATAACATATAAATAGGTAAGTAGTTGCCTATTATTTTTATTATCGTAAGTCACCGTTTGATTAGATAGAGTTATTAGAAAAATTTATAGGCAATGGTATAGTAGTTCCAAAGAATTAGGTGCTGATAAAAAGATAAACGTTTTAACAAATATTACATATCTGACATCTTTGTGGATTAAGTGGAAACTACGGGATAAAAATATAAAAGTGATAATGTTCAAGTCTAGGTCACTCACTGAGGGTTCCGTATTATACCTTATTTTTTATACCACAAAGTTGGAAAACAAGCATACAACATGACTGATGGTAAACGGTTACAGTTGTCTATGGACGCCTGCAACACTAGGGGTGTTTTTTTAATGGATGATAATGGAATGGTAACCCTGCCTGCGCTATCGTTATACGCTGGCAGGGTACCAGTGAGGGATGACAGGTGAGGATGAAGCAGGCCAGTTAGCCCACCGTGAGGAATCTAACAATAAATCAATCATGATGGTTTCTAGGGGGATCCACGAGGAGGTCGACTTGAAAGGGTATATTACTAGTAATGGTGCTACTAGTCCCCATTACTAGCCATCCCTTCTTTTTTTTTTTTTTTTTTTTTTTTTTTACAACACAGGGGGCAAACGAGCATGCGGCTCACCTGATGGTAAGTGACTACCGCCGCCCATGATCACCCACAACACCTACGGCATTGCAGGTGTGCTGCCGGCCTTTTAAAAAGGAATATACTCTTTTCTTGAAGGTTATGTTGTCGTATCGGTTCGGAAATACTGCTGCTGGAAGTTGATTCCAAAGAATGGTTGTGCGTGGAAGAAAGTGCCTTGAAAAACGCACGGTGGAAGACCGCCACTCGTCCAGATGATTGGGATGAAACTTTAGTTTGTGGCGGGTTGTACGGTGGTGAAAATCAGCAGCAGGTATCAATCCGAACAATTCCTCAGAACACTCCCCATGATAAATTCGGTAGAAGATGCACAGAGATGCAACATCTCTGCGCAGTTTCAATGGGTCAAGTCGGACAGTAAGGCGTTGACTATCGATAATTCGAGCCGCCCGACTTTGAATGCGGTCTAACGGAAGGAGTTGGTACTGTGGCGCTCCTGCCCACAGGTGAGAACAGTATTCCATATGCGGCCTGACTTGGGCTTTATATAATTTCAGGCGGTGTTCTGGCATGAAATATCGTCTCACCCTATTGAGCACTCCTAACTTTTTGGAAGCTATCTTAGCCTTCTCCTCCAGATGACCGCAAAACTGGACGTCGCAAGATATATCAACGCCCAGACTAGGGGTGTTACGTACGCTTTGCCTGAAGAAATCTTATTATACCCTTTTTGAGGAACCCCATATTGTAGTCTCTAAGGAAAACCTCGGCAGGGTGCTTATTTTACCGCGAAAGAAAATTATTTTTAAACTGCACTGTACGTGACCATTATGGTTCAAGTGTCAGGATGAATTCTCTGTCGATGGCGATGCGATGACAAACGGTTATCTTCCTATTCCTATTACATTTGACTGTAAGAGATCCCTTTATAGGGTCGAAAATAAAGTTTAAGAATGATATAATACGACATATATCGGTAATATGTAATTAACGTTTTTAATTTGTTGTCAAAGATTTCTTTTTTATATAATTTTTCTTTAATATACAGTCAGAAGTCTTAATTTTTCCTAATTTTTTTTTATTCTAAATTATTACCAATTTTTTTTAATGGTTATACAGGTATTATTCTCAAATAATGTGTTTTTCTGAAAAAATGTTTTATTAACTTCTGAGCATTATTATTGACAATGTTGCTGTAGTTTTCAATAGTATTTGTTTGTTTAATTTTGTTTATATTTGTTTAATTTTGTTTAATTTAGTATTGTCTAATTTTGTGTGTCGTTTACTTGTATTTTATTTTGTGCAAATTCTAGTGGCTACCAAATTACTATTTGAGTATATAATTATGTATTGTTTTAGCTGTTTGTTTGCCTTAAATAAATAAATAAATAAGTCCGCCGTTGTATATTAAATCTTTTAATGTATCCAATATAAATTATGTGCAATAAAGATTTTACAATGCAATACATTTTTAAAATAAAAGATCGAATAATTGGTTTGCCAGTAGTTGCTACGCTTGGTAGATAGGATCGCAATCGTAAATAGGTTTTGGTCATGTTTAAAAAGGTATGCTGCTGCCTATCCCTCGACCATTAAGTTCCCTTAACTGCCTCTTACGACATCCACGGAAAAGGAAGAGGTGGCCCATTCTATGGCGGGACACACACACACAACGATATTGAGTATTTGTTTTATATTAGTGTTATGTTATAAAATTTCGTTTATTTAATTTCCACCACATTCCCCTCAAAATATTGCCGTAAGAGCTCAATGGAAGTTGGAAGGGGGTAACAATAGAGTCGAAACTAAACCGTCATATCTCTAAATGTATCAATGGAATATGATATATTCTATGAGATATTAAGAGGAATTGTCATGTCTATGGTCACTTTTTACTATTATACAGCTTGCCATCGACAAGGATTACACATTCATACCTTCGAAATTGAAAGGTAATGGAATGAGTATTCTGTCGAGGTTTTCCCAAGAGACTACAGCATGCGGTTTTTTAAAAAAAGCGTAAAGAGTTCTTTTAGAGTTGACAGCATATGCATAATGCTCCTGAAATCATAGGCTTGCCATCAGGCCAGCCATATGCTTATTTGCCACCTCCGTGTTATATTGTACTGCTACATATTATACAAAATCCATCTCTTAATTTAATATTTAAATTTGATAGTTTCGGGAAATTATTGATTTATAGATTATAATATACCAAAATTTATAATATTTTTGTTTAAATTTAGTAAAAAATTTGTTTATATTAGTTCTTAGACTTTGCTGTGACACAAAATTGAAATTTTAGAATCGATCCTAGTGTTTTTGTTTCTTCTTTTAGGTATGAGACTATAAATAATTTAAATAATATGAATGAAATGCTAAAATAATGAAATAATCTTAGGAATTATTCGTAATATTTGAAAAATGGGCGGGCACGGATATGGTGTTATGTAGTTGTCAAATAAAAATATCTGTCACACTGTCATATTACGTCATTGACTGTTGTTTGTGTCATTTCATGTCACGTGATATGATTTGTTTACAATTTAAATTTATATTAAATTAAATAAATTTAAAATCCTAAATGTCTATCGAAAAAAAGTGGTTTATATACGTGTAAATTTAGTTTCTTACTATGGCGGTCAATTTAGACACTAGTAAAATATGTCGTACCTGTTTATCAGATGAAGGACCCATGAAAGACTTGTTTACAGTCTGTTCAGCTGAAATTTTTAAATTTTGTACATCTGTTGAGGTAAATAACTAAGAGTTTAATTTCTTTAGGTATATATGTCTGAAGAAGAATTCCAAATGAATGTAAAACTATACGCAATGTAAAACTGTATAAACTATGTAAAACTAAGTTCTTAGCCTCTTACACAGAAAATAGTCATGAGCCAAAGCACTTTTCTTAACTTGCATGGTCATGATATCTTCTCCATTCAAAATACTAAACGTGTAACAAATTCCTTGATAATTGGTCAAGGCGTTAAGGTGTTAAATACAACAATAATATTTTGTACAAAACAGAATGACAACATTGCTCACCTGTTGAAAATAAGCATCATTATAATCACAGAAATATTCTGATTTCTAATAGTGATACTCAGATGTCATTTAAAATACCTTCCTATTCCTGAGAACTCAGGTATCAGGTGTGTGTGTGCTATAAATTCATTGCTATATTCTACCTAAATTTATTAAACAATTTTCATTTTTATAATATTAGTAATGTTCAGGACATTCTGTGTTATAACTTTTTTCTGAGGTATGCGGAATTGCTACTTGCTGACCAAAATAAGACCAGATTGGTAGTCCATTTTCTTATCAGTCAGTGGACATGGACATTCAATGGACAGTAACAATATAATTATAAAATTCAATTTGCATAGGTGTTAAACTACATTTTTTTTTCTTACAATAATTATTTACTTGCTATATTAGATTATAGCTGTATTATATTCTTAAAACTATCTATTGCTGGCTGTTGGCCATGGCTTTAACCATATATCAAGATAGAATGTACCCTATTTGTTAAATTAGGATATAACCTACCCATAAACTAAAAATCATTTCATTTCCGAAATCCATTCAGCTGTTTAAGTGTGTTTGTGTAATAAATATATATAAATATCCAAGCATGTTTACAAATTTACATTTTTATCATTAGTAGGATGTATAAAATAAATCTGATACTATTAGAATTAACAAAAAAATTACACATGATTTATTCCACAGATTTCAGTTGGTGATCATTTACCGAAACAAGTTTGCCAGACATGTGTGAATTTATTGAACAAATTTTATCAATTCAAACAGGTTGTTATAAGGTCCAATTCAGTATTGAAACAGCATTTACCAATAGTAAGTATTTGTGAAGTTTTCCATAAAAAATAGACAATGTATTTTCATTTGTTTTCTTGGAAATAAAATAAAAAAACCTTATACCCAATTTATTTCACCTTCGATTTGAATCTACTAGCTCATTGAGGAATAAAAGTTGTACTTAATTATAAAATGCTGCATTCTCAAAAGCTTATAATATTTTTTTCTCAGGAACTCTTAATAAAAAATATTCTTTATAATATTTTTTACTTTTGTTTTTAGATTAATTTTCTGAGTTATTTTTTGTTTAATGATTTTTACTCTTTAGGTGAAACTAGAAAGCCAGGGTGATGTCAATGACACAGTACAAATTGTTATAACAGATTATCAAGATGATACATCAATACCAGACCCCATAAATGATTCTAGTAATATACAAGATAGTCCATATGAAGAAGTACCGGAAATTGAGTAAGTTTTAAATTAGTACATTTGTAATTTTATGAAGTGGAGTGACGTATTATTTAAAAATAAGGAAAAGATATGTTCTGCATTTTGTGAAAATCACAAAATTAACATCTTACTTAAAAAAAAAAACTATGAAAAGTTTGGTAACAAACATCTGAGGTTATAAACCAGAAGACACATTAGGCAATGTAGGAAAGTTTGTTTTCTAAATTGATCCAACTAGAAATCAAATTCAGGATCTTATTTATCTAAAGAAACATGCTTACCATTATACTATAAAATCGAAAACATATTTAAAAATATTCTTCTTTTTTTGGAGTAATTAGTCGTAGGAGTCATTTATATTTTTTGTAATTTAATAAATTTTTTTATTAATAGGGTAAAATATTTGACCACTAGTAAAAACCTCTTACCAGATTTTTTAACCAATTAATTTAAATTTCAGAATTAAAAGGAGAAGTAGAAGAATTGGTATCTCAAAACCAATAAAAAAGAAAACGAGGATGAAATGTGCTAAATGTGAAAAAACATTCCAGAAATATGAAAACTTTGAAGCACATATGCGGAGTCATTTTGGTAAAAAGGTAGGTACTAAAACTGCTTCTATAATTTCTAAAAAAAAAAATTATAAATATATAATACCTAACTGTAGGGAGTCAGTGGATGCAGGCGGCTCAGTTCTTTATGGCAATGGGGAGGGGGGGGGGGAGTTCAGCAGTGGACGAATAATGGCTGAAATGATAAATACCTAATTTATTTTACTTGTTTCGATTTGATATTAATTTAATTAATTGTTTCTATATCTACATCTTGATAGCAATGAGTTCTTTTGAAAAAGACTAGTTTTTGTTTTGTGATTTAACCTTTTTGTTACACATTTGTTTCCAGCCAGACATCAAATGCCAGCACTGCGATAAGACATTCCCAACTCTCCGCAATCTCAACAGCCACATCCGGACCCATTCCGGTGTCCGCAAGTACCAGTGTCTCACTTGCGGCAAGAACTTCGCCTATCTTAACGTACTCAAGAATCATGAATTAATACACGCAGGAATTAAGAATCATGTTTGTCATATATGCAATGCTAAATTTGTACAAAGATATAATTTAAAGGTATGTATGTATCTTATCTATAATTTTTTTGTTATATAAACTCCTTGTTGGCGGTGTAAAATATTAATGTTTAACACAACTTGATGTTGTGGGCACGCGAAGTTGACTTGCTTAACAGTCGCAGACAGTGATTAATTAAAATTTTAATTTATTTAAAGTCAATTACGCGCGCAACAAAATATCGCTCGTGTCACACCCAGTGTTACCATTTGTGGCAGATTACTGCCATTTTTACTTTTAAAAAAGATCTCTTTATTGAATATTCAAATTAGGTAATTTGAATTTTTATGGAATCCTTCAAATCTGCCACTTTTGTAAATCATCAGCATGATCGGCCACAGACAAAATTTAGAAGTGATTTGGCAAAATGGTAGCAATCTGCCACGCTGGTCACATTGAAAACACATGTCGAAAAGTATGGTAATTGACCATATACTTTGTATTTGTATAAAAAAAAATTTACTGTCAGTCTTGCTTTTCCATTATTACAGTGTAATTCGTCACACTCGTGAACGAATGTTCGTTACGTCAACTTGTTTATGAGTATGACGAATTAATTACTATTACTACTTGAACGCACTAGTCACAGACTGGTCTTCTCAACACTCAATTCATTGCATTGGGTACACAGTGTATTTGTAACAAATACACTGTGTACACACACTATAATGTGTATTTGACTTCTGTATATTTTTTTATTCAAATTAGAATGGCAAACAAGCTGACGGATCACCTGATAGAAAGTGGTAACCATCGCCTATAGACATGAGGAGAACTATGGACATAACAGAGTATATTGTTTCGCCCATGATACCCCCCATGCGTTGCCAATCCTGAGGACTCAGGTGTTATTCCTCTGTACCCTGTAAATGTACGCCGTATCCCACCCTTCAAACCGAAACACAGCCATGCAAACACAACTGCTTCACGGTAGAAACATGAATGAGATAGAGGTGTCCAACCAAACATATTTTCATATATTGGGGGGAAAGGGATTGTTAGTAATGGAGACTGATAATCCCATTGCTAGCAATATACCCAACCAGGTCGACTTCCTCGCGGTTCCCCCTGAAAACTATCATGGTTAATTCCTGATGAATTCACATGATGGGCTAACTGGCCTGTTTTCATTCTCATCTATCACCCTTCACTGGTGCTCCGCCAGCGTATCCCGTTAGCACAGGCGGGGTTACCATTCCATTTTTACCCATAAAAAAATATTTTCATATAATTCTTGATATTCTAATTTAATGAAGAGGAAAATTGGTATCATTGCCTGATATTTAATAATTTCATCCAAACAGAGGAAAAGACTCAGAATATTCAACCAGACTTTTGTATATTCTGATGTTTATATTGTATAGAAAAATAGTAATTTCATTATATAAATGTATCGCAATTGTTTATCATCGTAGACACATCTAGAGACACATAAAAAAGAGAAGAAATACGGTTGTGGGCAGTGTGGTAAGAAGTTCGCGCAGCCCGGCTACCTCAAGATACATCTCATAAGACACTCTGGGATCAAGAATATTGCATGCTCCTTATGTGATATGAGGTTTTATGTGAAGGTTGGGTTTTTAAATATTTATGTATTTATTTATTGAATTTTACACTTAGATGACTAGAGTGCAAAAAGTGATCTTAACATTGTCTTTACTATAGACATAAACAACACCATGCTTGTTACAGTATATGATGTAACTCATAGCATCGTCCATATGTCGCATATATGTATGTATACATATGAGGGAGAGGTTCTTAGGAGCACATAAGAACCTCTCCCTTATATACATTAAAACATTTTGATATTTTACAAACCTTATAAACTTATTTTAGCTATTGTTTTGTTTTTTCCTTTGTGCTAATTTCTTAATTTGAAAGATGGTCACACAACAACCTCATAGTTAAAAAAATTGTAGAAAGTTTTAGTTCTTATTCATAATAACGTGTTTAATATAAATACCTTTTGTACAGTACTGTAACTACAGTACAATAAATGTTGATACTTGACAAAAAAAAATCATACTAAATTTCTACAATTTTCAACAAATTTATATACATTTAATCATAGTGGTTGTAATATTCTATGCTACTGTCCTTTTACCACACTGTTAAATGTGAACATTACTAAAAAATATAGATGTAACATTTTTTTATATATTCCAGAGTGATTTGTACAAGCATATGAGATCTCATTCTGCGGACAAGCCGTTTTCTTGTGAATTCTGTGACAAAACATTCAAGTGTAAAAGTTTTCAAATTGTGCATCTGAGAACACATACAGGTAGGAAATTCATATTTTTAAAGCCCTTATTAATCTATTAATCCATTTAAAGAAAACTGAATCCAGAAAATGTAATAAAATTAACATATAGATGTGGGATCTAAGTATCAATTAACTTAGTAAATAAGAATTCCACAGGATCGTACTCACACCATTTTAGAATACATATCCTACTAGGTCGACGTGATCCCCCCTATAAACTATGGTGGTTAATTCCTAGAAAACTCATCAAAATGGATAGAATGGCTTGGTTTCATCTTCATCTTTTATCACTCATTGGTACCCCGCTAGCATATAGCATAGCGTAAGCGGGGTTACCGTCCTATTATCATCACCCTTTATAAAATCTATTACTCTGACTACCCTACCAGAGATTACTGTCGTGAGCATATGTCTATATCTTCATGCTGGGTCCTTTACAGATTAAAAAGGATAGTACTGAGTGCCTTTATTTATACTTACATCTCTTGCTTCATATATAATTTATACATGCCTATTTTATTAATTTTAGGCGAACGCCCATATGCATGTGATCTGTGCCCCAAGCGGTTTATGGCGCGTAAAGACATGCGAAACCATCGTATGATACATACGGGAGAGAAGCCTCACAAATGTCAGCTGTGTAACCAGGCGTTTATACAAAAGTGCGCACTCAATAGGCATATGAAGGGGCACGGGAGAAATGACGAGAGCCAGGGTTTACTTCTCAGACCGCCCATACAAGTGGAGACCATAACGCCAATTGCAGTGTCGTACGCTCAGTGGAATGGAGAAGCGTGATGTTATTTAGTATTTGTGTCCATATCAAGTAATGAAATTAAATCAAACCAAAATTTGCCTGAAAAAACCCGAAGTCTGTGAACTTACTAGGTGCAGAACTGGAATAGGAATTAGCAGTGGAGACCAGTAATGCATTTTCCAGCAGCTTGAGTAGGCTACAGTCTACAGCGACAAATTTTGGGGCCAAATTTATTTTCTATAATTTTATAATTTATTGGACAAAAAATGTTTTTAATATCCTTACATTATATAGACAGAGCATGGAGCCTCAAAATCGGGTCAACCTTTTTGTGAGCTAATTATTAAATTGGCTTCTTATCAATGTTCCATATACTTACACACGTCTTGTGTATCTTGACGTATTTATGTTTAATCATTTAATAAATAAAATTAGTTTTTACGCATTAAAAAGAGGCAAAAATTATAAAACAAAATAAATATACACGTTACAGTTCAGGCACCAGTTCTCCATAACTGATGTATCTATGGTATTAAGTGTTCCATTATATTAAAAAAGTTGTGAAATAAATAAATAAACATTATTTTTATTAACTGTACAAATCTGTCATTGCTAGAGAGTGCATCTTTATAGAAAAAACTACAAAATACAGTAATCTGATAATAGATTAGGAACTGAGTAGATTATCTGTCCTTATCTTTTCACTGAAATCTAAAAGAGACGACAGTCTTTTTCTATCAGATTGGCTTGATAGAATTGAACTAACTATTGATTTGTTATTTCTTTTGATAAAGGTTTTTTTTAAAAAAAAAAAACAAGTTCTCATCAGTCATGTGTATATTTTCCAATTGTCATAATATTTACAGTAAACATCCCAATTTATGTACAAATAAATACGAGGTATATTTCTAAAATAAATTATTTTCTATGTACTAAACTAAATCAGACTATATTTATTATTGCAATACTTATAGTATATACTTGAGATATCAATTCCATCCATAGTTATAACAGCATCGTTATCACACAGTTAAATCCTTCTAAATGGTTAGCAATCGATTTATTATTTTGTACCTGTCACTATTTCTTTTAAGCATTACAGTACATTGGTAAATACAAAAATGTTTATCACTATTTCTAGACTTTATCTATAGTCCATTGCTAAATACAGATCTCCCTCATATTTCGCTATAATATTTATAGTTACTCCTTAATAGTTTTGTTTCATCTATTCTCTTCAGTCTATGAGTATGCATAAGCCTATCTCAGTTCCAGGATACGCTGGCATAACATTCAGTTTTTCTCTTAATGTTGAAGGTACAGAATAGATTTAATCAGAAATATCAATATATCATGCTGACTGTATATACTGTTGAAAGAATGCATATTTCATTATAGGTTTATTCAATCTATAATTATGGTTACTATAGCTATTTTAATTAATCACAGGCATAACTCTGTCATGCACTTTCATATGCCTTTTCAAAGTGCCTCTCTGTGTGAATCCCAAATCGCAGACAGTGCATTTATGTGGTCTTTCCCCAGTGTGGGTCCTGTGATGGTCGTTCAGCCTTCTCTTCGATAGGAAACCCTTTGGGCAATAACTGCAAAGGAATGGACGCTCTCCTGAGTGTATCCGCTTGTGTTCTATTAACGAAGACTGAGTACCGTAAGATTTGAGGCAAATGTCACATTTGTACAATTTCTTTCCATCGTGTATGAGCAAATGTTTGGCCAAATTGCATTTGTCCGTGAAAGGGTAGTTACATATTTGGCAAATAAACCTGCGGCCGGTATGGCGTCTAGACACGTGCGATAGTAGTATTGTGTTGGTGTAGAACTTTTTGCCACAGTGCTCACACGTGTACTGTCTCTCTCTATTCTCTTTATGAGTTTCTAAATGCGTCTGAAAAGAAAAAAAAAAATCAAAGTGTTTATGTAGGATTTATTTTTATTATTACATCTTCATACATTTACTTGGGCAAATGTCAGGAATACGCTATGTTATGCCATTATATTGTACTAGCCAGCAGCCTAACGGGTTTTACGGTCATTTAGATATTTTTGTAATGAAGGTACAGTAAAACCATCATCAAATTCTGTTACGTGATTTATAAGTACGGACGGATGCCGACAACGATTTTGTTTACTATTTAGAGATACTATAAAGTTATCTCAATTATGTTTGTGATAGTAAGATTCAGTAAATGTTATTATGATCTGTCTGTTTTGTTTTTATTACCTAGTAACTTTTACCCACGACTTCATTCTTGTGACCGGGGCAAAAAGTATCTTATATCCTTCTCTATCCCATACAGTACGTGTATACTACATTGTGATAGGTTAAGCCATTAAGACACTATAAAGTAACAAATCTCAATTTCAATTCTATGCTATGTCAGTATCGGTATAGAATAGGTAATCCCTTCCTTTCCCGTGGGTGTCAAGAGAAGCGACTAAAGAAACTTAATGTTTGAGAGACGGGCAACAGCATCCCTCTTAAAACATCACCAAAGTCTGACTGTGGTTGCTAAACCGCCAAGCCAACTGCTGGCAGTACTCCCCTTTTGGGGGAGGCAATAGACAGTTAATGGCTGATATAATGATAAAGGTAACAAATAAATTCACTTTAACATTTATATTGGTGATGATATTACCACCAATTGTAATGTTTACACGAAGTCCTATATTATATTCAAAATTGTAAATGCAATATTACCCTCAAAATAAACTTTGTTGTAAATCCTTTGCCGCATACATCGCAAACATACATTTTCCTCTCCCCGTGTGTCTTCCTGTGCATCTTCAAAGACTCCCGATTCTTGAATATCTTCCCACAAGTGATACATTTTAAAGACTCGAGATTGACAAGAGTGTGTTCGTTTTCATTATGCCTTTTCAATCCACTCCACGTCATAAATGTTTTATTGCAAGGTAAGCAATGAATTGGTACCTGGAAAAAAGATTTTCGGTATTTGTCATGCATGTATTTTTTTCACTGCTACACAAAGACACGTTTTCACAAAATAAATTATGTTTGTGTTATTATTTATGTTTGTCACCTCTACCTGCAACTGGCTATAAAGTAGCCTACATCTCTCTATATCTTATATATTAAGTGTATGTCAAATTTCTTAGAAATTGGTTAAACCATTAAGGTGCTATGAGCTAACAAACAAACAAACCCACTTTTACATTTAAAATATTAATTTTTATTTTACACTTTGTTGCACCATTTAATATATATTAGTAAGCATATGTACAAAGAAGAGCTTCACACTAAAAGAGTTTTCTTTCAGTAAACCTAAATTCGAAAGGAGCATCAATGTCAGTGGGTAGAGTGGTGTGCAATATTGTGTCAATTTTCAAACAAGAAGAACTAGACAAACTTTAGTTTGTACATAATTAATTATATCACATTTAATCATATATATACACACATACATAGACATAAATACATACATACACATACATAAATAATGTTCATAAGGATAGCAAAACACAGTAGGACAAAGTGCAGATCATACAAGAATAAGTACAGATGTTTACAAGATTCATTAAAATATTTAACTTACTATTTTTCCTTCATGTGCCAGTTTGTGTGCTTCAAATCTTTCTAAATAGATAAATTTCTTGTTGCACATCTCACATGTAAAGTTGAAATGTTTTTTCACCTTGTTTTTCTTTTTTATCTTAACTAATTTCTTTACTTCTCTAAAACACAGAAACTGTGATAAAAATTATTATATTTACAACTATTTCTTTGAACAATAATTTATATTTGAGTGGAAATAAATATAATTACCTTTTCTTCAGTTTAATTTCATTAGCTGTATCATCTATTGAAAAATCAGTTGTCTCTAAAAAATCTAAAAAGAAACACCAATAACATTGTAATTTAAAATGTTTTAACATGGTATGACTAAAATTATTTTATCACATTTAAAGATTTTTAAGTTGTAAATTGATCTATGACCTAACAGACATTTCAATATAAACCTTTGTACTATAATGAATATAAAAAAAATAAATAAAATACAATTTACATATAGGTACTAGTTTTTTAGGCTCACCATTGGCATCATTATAATCAGAGAAGCCCTCTTCCTTTACTGTGACAATTTCAGGTTGTTTATTTGTTTTATCACATTCATTTATAAATATTTGTTCTTGAAATGTTCTATTTTCTTTTTTTAAATTACTCTTGAGATCTAAATTTAGTAATGTACTTTGAGACTGGATACAGGTCTGTTTGAATTCTGTGTACTTGCCAAGAAGTTCATAACATGAATTACATAGACCTTTCGGCAAGTCTTCATTTTCTCGGATCTGAAATGTTTTGTCAGTATTATTAAAAAAAAAATTAATATAGTGTTTGTTTTATGCAATTTGGAATGGTAAACAAGTAGAAAGCCCTCCTGATGGAAAGTGGTAACTATCACCTAAAAATATGAATAGTGTCATAGATATTGACTATGCAATTAATCAAGTCTAGACTTCATTTTGAGTAACATTTTTTTTTATTTTTTAAATTCTAAGATAAAGGTATTGTTACATCAAAACTACAATAATCTAAATAGGCTGTAATTAAAAATGTATCATTTTGTTTTTTTAGACTTGGAAATAGTGTTTGTTTTCCGAAGAATACAAGTAAATAAAAAACTGTGACGTCCATGGTACCTCTCATACCATTCCAAAGGATTATAATTAGTTGTATTTATTAATTATTTAACAAATATAATACATTGATAGAAGTTTATAAATTCAAATTAAATTTACCTCAACTGAAGTGCAGAAATTATAAATATCAGGAGACACATTCTCATATAAATTATAAGTGAATGATTCCTTTGTAATCAGACATGCTCGACATAATTTCCAAGTAGCCATATCGTATTCTATATGCGATTTCAGATCAATTATTTAATTATACCTATCTTGCCGATATGCACATTTAAGAAATTTCGTTCATAAGAATTTAATGTAGACATAAATAGATTACAGTTGTGAGAACTTAATGTTGTTTGCAGATTTTCAGTTTTGTAATTTGTTTTGATTTTTTTTAATAAGCATAACGTAGTTCTCTAAGTAGTCTGTGATAAGCATTTATCCAAAACAAAGTGTAATAAAGTTACGATGTTATGGAAAAAGACATTATTTCTATATCAATAAAATAAACAAATATATGTATCCATCTAGAACCATCAACATAATATTGATTGTTATACAATCTTCTGCTTAGTGTAAAAAGAAAATTACTTATTATGTAACTTTAAGGATATTTATTTATAATATTAATATGAATATCATAAAAGACCTAGTTGCTTCATATGGTAAAATTTATATTTCATTGAACTGGTTGCATAGATTTCATAGAAACGCATTTCATTTGAAAAGATGCGAGGCTGCTAACCAACTGATAATCGATTGACATATTTATTATTCGTCAGTACCACTGTATCAATTAACTGTCAGTCTATCAAAAATAAAATGAAGGTAGTATTCTAAATCTATGGACGATATACCTGTCATGTACAGATATTATATATTTACATTTTATTATATTAGTAATATTCAATTAGAATTTTCAATTATACATCAATCAATCACACAGTTTCATTTTATTATCTTTACTAAGCTTTTATTTTACAAAAGTATTAGAAAATAAAATTATTAGTATTATTCTCATTATGAGTTTCTAATAGATTATTTTTTATCATCAAAAATGGACCTGCATAAGGGATTGTTAGTAATGGAATCCGCATTGTTAACAATATACCCTCAATATCAGATTAAGCTCCATGCGGCCCTCTTTGGAAATCAATCCTTTTTCAGTAGTACTTCACCAGCAGGTGGGGTTCTTTTTATCTCAAAAACTGCCTGCACTATTGATGTATATCGTCAGGAAACCAGTGAGATTTGATAAGTGAAGATAAAAGCAAGTCAATTAACGAGAATTAACTACAATGGTTTCTATGATAGTCAACCTGATGAGGTTGATTGATGGACTCCATTACTAATGATCCTTTTCGTCCCCTCTTTATACCATACTTACTTAGGTGATACTTATATATGTCTATATAGGTACGATATAAGTATAGCACCACCATAGAGAAGCTATAATCCAGCAATGTTATAAAAAAAAAAAAACAATTTATTATATTAGATATAAATCTATTATAAATACTATATTTAGTCTTTATATTAAAATTTTACTTTTGTAAAAAAAAATTGGTATCAATATAGTATCGCATACAACCGTAATATACAGGAGTGCTAGAATCTTGTACAAAACTAATGAATTCCTTGATGGCCCAATAACTTGAGTAAAGTATGCTGTCACTTGTAAGATTATATAGATTTACTATAAACAAACGATTGTTTGTTGCATATTTATAATAATTGAATTAAACAGGAAACATTTTAAACAACCTTGACATGAAGAATTGAATTATTTGTGTATACTGTGATGTTGTATGATCCATGATCAGATTAAATTTTTTTTTATGGGGGAAAAAATAGTCCATTTTTTAAATCATTACTTTCTTTAAATATTTAATTTAAAAATTCCTTTCTGCTTTCATACAGAATTTCAGCAATTTTTTAAGTATGGAAATAAATAAATGACTGTAAAAACGGTAGATGGACATAAAAGAAGAGTGTGTCCCAAAAATTAAAGCTGGCAGGGATTTGTGGAAGAACACATACTGCACCAGCCCCAAATAAATGAGAAAATACAAGGTCATGATGATGACTTGTAGAATGTTATAAAAAACTATTTATCTAAAGGATCAGTACTGTTCTGAGTATTATTTAGTACACTCAATCTTTGCTTCCTTATCACTGATAATAACATCTCTTGTGTTTCTAATGCTAGAGGCAATGGTAACGCCCGTAACTGTTGGGCAATATTTTTTCCGAATGTGTCAAACTCATCACCACATTCATTGTGACTAGAGAGCACTTGTGGAATTTCTGGAGCTGGAGATTCACTTTTTCTTAATTTTATATATGATGGATTATGTGTCTGGACTGGAGTTTTACTATCATCAGCTTCGTGCCATGGGTATGGGTCTTCAAAATTGTCATCATCATTTTGCTCTAATTTTGTGTCTTCTTGTAAATCAAGATCTGATGTATTTGGTTTCTATAAACAAATATAAATTAATTTAATATGGATCATGCCTTGCAGTTTCGTGTTTTTTAAATGTATTTAAATTTTGAATAGGTATTTATAATTATAATTAATAGCCAATATGCATCTTAAGAGTTATAAATTTTGTAGGCTTATTTTTATAACAACATATTACCTGTGTGTCTTGTGAGTTTAATGATACTTTCAACACTTGTAGCATCCGTAGTTTGACTTCACTGAAGTCCTCAGCGTTACATATTATAGGGCCAGTTCCATCACTGTTCTTTGACCATTTTACACGGTTTTGTTTCAGTTTTGCTTTCATGTTGCACAAATACTGTAATTATTAATTAATTTTTGATACACAACAATAATGTTTCTATATAACATCATGATAAATTCAATCTACTACATTATGGATGTATTATTGTATTTTAGAGGTATGCTTATAACACTCTCTGGGCAATCAATAAATCTTTAATTGGAAAATCCTTTCAATGCCAATGGAAGTACTCAAAAATATAAGTATGCCATTTTTGATAAAAACTTAGAATTTGATTTTCCTTTTATTTTAATTTGTTGCATATTTACCTTTGCCCAACTCTTGTGATCTTTTGTTGGTCCAAGGGAATTGAGATGTGGTGTTATTTTCTTCCACTTTGTCTGAACTGCTTCTATGTACCTGGGTGTCTTTTTATAACCCCTTATAACCTCGGGGTTTTCTTCAAAGAATCTACACAGGATGTCATTTTGGGCTTCCGTTACTCTTGACTTGTCTAATAATCATATAAAAATTTTAGAATATGTTGCACATTTTTACTACTCTTATAAAAATGAAATCTTGACTATTTTCAAAGTTTATCTTCAAGTTTGTAAATCAAGTCCATAATGCAAGTCATTTCAAAATCTTTAATATCTTGGCAGACGGGTTGGCAACCGCAGTTAGGCTTTGGTGATATTTTAAGATGAACCACTGATTAATCGACCATTAAATTACCTTAGTTGTCCTTTACGATTCTCACGAGTAAGGAAAGGGCGGCCCAATTTGTGCCGCGACTACATAAGTTTTGTTAAAAGTGCTATCAACTAATATAAATTAATTATTTATAATTAGATGTGTAATGAAACTAACGAAAGTAAAAAGTTAATACCTTTCGGCATTTCAGCTGTACTTAGGTTTCTTTTTCATTGTAATGATATTAATATATATAAATACATCACAATACAAATAAACTGTAGTTGCTTCTATGAAGTTTGATATTGTTATATATTTATTCAGAATAATTAAAAACTTTGTTTACTTATTTGTTTTCAGTTTTCATTGAATCAGTAAACAAAGAATGATTTTTTTTTTTTTTAGTACGTTTGTTCCGTTTGGAACAGGCTAAGGTCGGAGACCATGCTGCCTAGTCTTCAAAAAGATAATTTGTCTGGAATCACAAAGAATGAATTATTCGACAGCTGATGTGACGTTTGTCTGATTTCGTGTTTGACATAAAGTTAAAGACTCTATAAACGGTCAAGTAAGCTGTTGCGGCGAGTCTATTTAGCATAAGTTGCTCTGTAATTACGTATATCTCAATAATATAATGAAAGTATATCTAGGCGATGCATATACATGGAAGATATTTATATATAGCAATAGAAGCCAAAACAATATTTTTTAAAAATTCGACAGAACAGTCATGTTTTGGCGTCACGTAAAAATCACTGCATAAAATTAAATAGGGTTTTCACCGTTGTGTCTCAGAAGATCAAACATAAAACTATGTCTGTTTTGTCTTGATACGCTATCTAGATGTGGTCTATTTCTACCAGAGGGAGACTTTGTACAAAAGTCGATTGCTTGGGTACCTCTGTCCCATTCGTGTTTCAACCGTGAAGCAGTTGTGTTTGCATGGCTGTGTTTCGGTTTGAAGGGTGGGATATGGCGTGAATTTACTGGGTACAGAGGAATAACACCTGAGTCCTCAGGAATGGCAACGCATGGGGGATATCATGGGCGAAACAGTATACTCTGTTACGTCCATGGTACTGCTCATATCTATAGGCGACGGTTACCACTTTCCATCAGGTGGGCCGTCAGCTTGTTTGCCATTCTAAGTTTTATAAAAAAAAAAAAAAAAAAAAAATCGTTGATTTTCTTACTTCTAAAATCAACGCGTACAAAGTAGTAGGCAAAAAGCAAGTCATAAATAATTTTATATCTCTGTAGGCTTTCCGTTTTCATATTATATTACGACCGGCAAAAATGTGCATCCTCTATCTAAACCAGGAGTCGGCGATTTTTGTCAGGCAAAGATCATTTAGTGATAAAGTGAAGTAAATGCAGACTGCACTTGTTCACTATTTAGGTAGTAATGAAAATGCGAAAACGCTAGTTGAAAATAATTATAAACTTATATCAAAACTTCAAAGAAAACAACTATAGTCAAAAATATTTATTGGTTAAGAAATTCTAATGAATAAAATAAAAGTTTATTTACAAAACGGACCCCAGGCCGCTTGTTGCCAACCACCGGTTTAATCTAACAAGATCACATATACCTAAGCAGCGTTTCTTAAACTGGGGGGTAACGTAATTATTATAAGGGGGAGGGGAGGTCGCAATGTATTCATTATTTTACTAGGACATAATGATTTTGATTCAGCCTCCAACTTAGTTTATACACCAAAACGTCAATGTAGAGTCGCAAACCTTTTTTGTTCGAGTTCACGCAGACCACCATGCACTACGTCTAATATCATCATAGTCGTAGAATACTGATGGATCTGACAAATATTACATATAAAGATCCGTCAGTATTCTACGACTATGACGATATGTGATCAATGAAAAGAAAAACATAAACAAAATATATAAAATTTATTTGTATAAAAAGTTCAAAAACACATTTCCGAATAAATCTAATGAAAAAATAAATCTTACACTAAATTTGTTTATAGATTCTTAAATGGAATGTCTTACAACCATCACCTGACTACAATAAAAATCATCTACCTTAAAAATATAGCAACCATAACACCATAAATTAATAATATCACTTAATTCATACACTTTTCTCCCTGTATATAAAAAAATAAATTGTATAGAGAGTTTTAAAATAATGTCATTTTGCTAAAGCCATAGTAATAATTTCATCATTAATACATGGATTATCATTAATCTCAATAATATTAGGTACATTTTTTACAAATCTATGTTTTTTTTTTATACCACGAAAGTGGCAAATAAATAAACCCGTCTGATGGTAAATGGTTACTGTAACTGTTATTGTACTCAAGATTAAATAATCTAACATGAGAGTTTACCTTTATTGTTTCATTTACACAAAATTAATCTCGACCCATAAAGACGTAACATGTGATATCAATCTCATTTACTTTTAGTTAATAGACAATACTTTCCCAAGTGTCATATAATTACGCATATTGTAAGGATTAATTTAACAATTAGTCTAATACAATCACAGTTTCCCCTGCATGAACGGCTTGAGGTACTTGTGGAAGGAGCTGTTGACGGGCTCCGCGTTCAGAGGACTCCTGAGAGCCGCCTCCATCAGGCGCTCGTACACGCGCCCGTCGTAAGCGCCCAGCGCTGAACGTAAAATCTGTAATAATTTGTACAATTAGAGTATTCTGATAGAGACAGTAATTACAACAATAGGATCCATTTTACATCATTGTCACTGAACATTTTTGGTGTTGCGATCTATAAAATTGGCCGTACGGTCCCGGCATAGAATAGGCTTTGTTGTGGGTGTCTTAAGGGGCGACTAAGAGAATTGAAAGATCGAGGAATGGGTAGTAGCGTCCTTTTTAACTGGGGTACTGTGGCTAAAACATCGGAAATTCTTGGAACTTTTTTTGTAAAAAAACACTGCAGTAATAAATCACACATTAGACACGTGAAAAGAAGAAAAAATGTCTTACCTCATCTCTTATATCAAAGGCATCGACCAATCCCACTGCGTTGGGTCGCAGTTTGGTCAGAAGGTCTTCATACCATCTCTGTAACTCGTCAATGTCCTTTTCCGATATGGATGTAAACTATTTGAGAAAAAAAAAGAGATTAAATGTTTTGGTATTTTTAACAAATATAGGGCACAGGAGGATTTTTTTGTATACAATAAATAGTTTTTTTTGTTTTCCGTTTGTTTCCCATTGTCTGTTTATAAGTGATTGTAAGTGGCCAGTAATAGTTCAAATTCAAGCATGAATTTCAAATCAACAAGGCGCCATGTTGGGCCCGATAGTCCGTAAGAGAAAGAACATGTTGTCTAAAACTTCAGTGTAAAGTATACAAATAAAAAATGAAAACAAAATATCCGTTTTCTTTATAAAAACTCGCAATATCTCTAAATTTTAATTTTACCAATATTTTTTTATAAATGCATTTTTATGTGAATAAATATTTTTCTTTTTACTATTGTAATCTTTTGGAGGAAACAATAAAGAGTCTATCTATCTATCTAAATATAAAAAATGAGTTTAGTTTACTGAACTAGGTGTTATATTGCGGAAGTCTATATTATGTTGGCAGTCGCACGCGTACTAATGGTAGCAGAATTAAATAAAAAAAAAAAATTCTAAACAAACAACCAAAATAGGTTTATTTAAAAAAGAATGGATTTTATTAGGAAGTTTCTCAATTCCTCAATTCGTAGTGTTTCTAAATATGAACCCCTTATTTATAAATAATAAATCCCACAAAAATATTTTAACTATTAAGTCGCTTTAAATTCAAATTTGGAATAAAATACTTCTATCTATAAAATCTATAAAATAAGTTTATATGTTTCGAGTTTTTATGAATAAGGAAGTTAATGTGTAGACAAATGCTGTATAAAAAACTCACCCTGAGCAGATCACCAAGTCGCTGCAGCGCCCAGTATACTACGTACAAGTCGACGAGCTGCAGCAATACTTGCCGCAGCGCCGGCGACACTGTGTTCACGATCTTCTCTGTCTCCGTATAGTAGGTGTACAGGAGTATCGCTCGGCAGTGAGCCTTTATTAAAATGATAATTTGATCACCACCATATTATAACTAATGAATACTTTATATCTAATTATATCTAATGAATAAGTTTTGTTTAAAAAAAAAAAAACTTACTTTAATTGTAACAATTTTCTTTTATAGAACTTAGAATGGCAAACAAGCTGTCAGCCCACCTGATAGAAAGTGGTAACCGTCGCCTATAGACATGAGCAGTGCCATGGACATAACAGAGTATAATTATATATTATATTAGAAAAATAAAAAATATTATAAAGAGGAAAGATTTGTTTGTTTCTTTGTGATGGACAAATTTAAAAACAACCCAACTGATTTTAAAAATTCTTTCATCTATAAAAAAAAAAAAAACTACATTATCAATGGATAACATAGGCTATATCTTATATTCGAAATATCTACCAATCATCACATCATCATACGATCATTAATAAATAAATAAGGAGGCATATTAATTCAAATGCTTACCTCAGATGCGGATGCGAGTTGCACGGAGGTCATATTCCATGCGTCCTCGTAAGACAAGCCCGTGTTCTGACGCTTCTCGATGTTTGACACGCACAAGCCGATTTTACTACAAAAGAATTGTTTATATTTAAAAAAAAAATATAAACACTTATATTTTTTTTTTAATAACTACAAGTATCTTTTTACTGATGGAGTTATGAGATGACAAATATATATACGGTGAGCGTATTGGAAGACTGTAAGGCTTACCCAGTGGATGTAATAAATAAATGCAAAAAAAATCACAAGCGAATAGAGAACCTGAACTCTTGAATCTATTCACACGTAACATGCCCTTATACATATGTGAATTATTTTTATTAATATAAGGCGGTTAACTCACCCAGCGGCGACCCTCTGGAACCCTTTGATGATGCCCTCGATGGTGTTCTCCCAGGGCGGTAGTCGCCTGCCGCTGTTCACTGTCGCGATGTACGACACTGTTGGGGTCAAGGCGTTGCCGCCAGCTGCCTGCTGCCACGCTTTCACCAGGTACCTGGTAAGACGAGGTAATAATATTACTTAATTTCTGTCAATACTGTAAACATCTGCCCATTTGATGGAAAGCGGTAATTGTCGCCTATTTTATATGGACAGCACCATGAACGTTATTAGGGGAATATTGTGGTCAATGGATAATAATGGAATGGTAATTCCACCTGTGCTAACAGTATACGTTGGCAAGGCACCAGTGAGGGATGATAGGTGAGATGAAAGGGCAGGTCAGTTAGCCTATTGTGATGTACATAATACACTTAGAATTCAGCACGATGGCTTCCAGGGGGAACGATGTGGAGTTCGACGTTATAAGGTATATTGCTAGCAATGAGACTGATAGTCCGCATTCTTAACAATCCCTCCCCCCCCCCGCCGGAATATTGTGTTATGCCTCTATACTCTGTAACTGCACTGAAATTAGTAGCCATTGGAAACATTCTATCATTAAATTGATTTGTATTCTTGTTCAGCATCAGCACTAATCAGGAGACTGTCTTTAGTTTTCTATAGTAAGATAAATTATTAGTTAATTCTTATGAATTAACTGTGTTACGATGGGTCAAATGACTTAGTTTCATCCTCACCTATAATCTTCTCAGAGGTTACCATTTCATTTTAACTCATAAAATAGCAGACGACTTTTGTACAGTTTCTTGGTGATGAATAGAAAAAGCCCATACCTGGCGGTCTGCAGCAGCAGCACGGTGTTCTCGCCCTCGTAGGTGCAGGCGGCGGTGGTGAGGCCGTAGGTGGAGGGCAGGTTGGAGGCCAGCATGTAGCCGTGGCCGCCGCACGCCAGCCGGCAGCGCTCCACGCACTCCGCCGCGTCCGCCGTGCTAACCGCCTTCAGGCAGCACGACAGCGCGTGCAGCTGGGGGGAAAGGGATTGTTAGTAATGGGGTCTAATTGACCCATTGCTAGCAATACATCCTATCAGATCAAGTTCCACGCGGTTCCCCCTAGGAAACCGTCGTGGTTAATTCTAGTGGACTTCGTCACGACGGGCTAACTGACTTGCCTTTTCATCCTCACCTGTTATCCCTCACTGGTGCCTCGACAGCGTATACCGATAGTGCAGGTGGGGTTACCATACCATTAACACCCATTAAAAAAACTCTTATAATTATTTTTTTAGTGCATTTATAATAATTAAAGATTATGTTCCATAAATATCGACTTCAACTGTGACAAAACCAGTTAATTTGGTCTGAAAAACTACTGAACCGATTTCGATAAAATTTCTACGGGACCTAATAGTTTGCATATGTAAATTAAGATTATTATATTATAACAATTTTTGTAATTACAATAGCTGTGTGGTCCCGGCATAGAACAAGTCAACCTTTCCTTTCCCGTGGGTATCATAAGAAGGATGAGCATGTTCCCTGCGGTTGCCAATCCTCCAGCCAAGGGTGGAACCTGGCAACTGGCAACCTCCACCCTCTCAATAGAGGGAGTTTAATTGTCCATTACTAAACTTATGTTTAGCAACGGCTAATATGGTACAATATGGTGTATACTAGTTAGTTACATAAAATGATTTATTTTTTTATTCAAATATTACAGTTTGACTGGACTTCAGATATTTATAAACTTTCCATTAAACTCTGTATGGTAGGTACATACTCTTTTTTATATATATTATTTTATATAATTAAATTTTATATATTTTTTCTTTTTATACTCTTTTTGTAGTGGGATAAGATAAAGCGCAATACCTCCGGCAGCCGCTCGAGGTCGCCAGCGTCGAGTTCGGCGGTAACGTTGTTGTACATATTCCAAAGCCAGTCGGCGTTGAGTCGGAACGCGTGCACCGACGCCACGCCGATCAGCAGCTTGTGCTGCTGCGTCAGGTAGTCCAGGATCTGAGGCTCCGGCTCGCTGCGCACGCGTAGACATTTTTTTATTCAAAAACATTCAGAATGACAAGCTGATGGCCAATTTTTTTATGCAACTTAGAATCGCAAACAAGCTGACGGTCCACCCGATGGAAAGTGGTAACTTTCGCCTATAGACATCAGCAGTACCATAGACATAACAGAATACACTATTTCGCCCATGATACCCCTTTGCGTTGCCATTGGTGTTATTCCTCTGTACTCTGTAAAATTCACTGCCATATCCCACTCTTTAAACCGAAACACAGCCATGTAAACACAACGGTAGAAACACGAATGGGGTAGAGGTGCCCAAGCAAACGACTTTTGTACAAAAGGCTTTGCCCTCTGGACATTCTATTAGTTTTGTCTATTATGTTATCTGATGGATAGCCCCGTCCGATCAATGCTTTTCGGCTGAAAATCAACGCTGCATTGATACACGTGTCTCAATGCAGCTTCAGCTCGAACTAAGCTGGAACCTTTTTTAGCGCGGGGCGATATAAATAGGTGATAATGAAATGATAACTCCATCTGCGCTATCGGTATACACTGGCAACAGTGAGTAATTATAGGTGAGGATGAAGCAGGTCAGTTAGCCTAACGTGACGAATTCAACAAGACTTAGCCACGATGGTTTCGAGGGGGAACCACGTGGAGGTCGACCTGATAGGGTATATCGCCAAACAATCCCTTTCCCCCGAATAGAATTGTTAGTAAAAGGGGTCTAATAGCCCCATTGCTAGCAATGTGTCCTATTAGGTCGATCTCTTCACCAGCGTATAACAAAAGTGCAGGCGGGGTTGCCATACCAAATCACACTCATTAAAGAAAAGCCAATAGTGCAGTCATTGTCATTAAGTTTTCCTTATTCTTCTTCTTCCTACCCGTATCCCAATTATTATATGGGTTCGGCGTAATTTCTTTTTATCCATATTACAAAAAGATTTGGCTTAGTTTTACGACCGCCTGCCTGATGTCAACCCTCTTTGGGAATGCATTTGTTGGTGGTTTCCGCCACCTACAGTATGGAGGAAAGGATTGAGGAAAAAAAGGAAGGGAATGTTAGATTGTGTAAAGGAGATTAATAAATAAGAGGAATAAGGGGCTTATGTGGGAAAGAAAAAAAGGGGGGGGGGGGGACATAACGCAGTTGCGGAAAGGGCTGGGACACTGCAGCCGCATCACCCCTGATGCGTCTTCATTAAAATAAATAAATAAAGATAAGACTAACTTGGGTTTGGGCTGTGATTGCCTCCTGACCGCCGAGTACCGCATCGCAATGGTGACCGCCTTCGCCATGTAGTTACACATGTCCGTCACTAGTACCACGCGGACGAACATCATCGTCCCGTAAGCTAGCTTCGAGCTTGGCGAGTTCACGTATGTACCATCCTGTTAGGAACAGACGACAGTGGAATTATAGACTAGCAACCACGTAGATTAAAATACATGAATCATAATAGAAATTGCTTGGTTTAATCCGCCAATGTAAATGTAGAAGTCTGTTAATATTACGCCTTCAGTCCGAGAGGTCTCTTAAACTCGGTGAGTTATGCAAAGCAAATTCGATTATGTTTAGTGTAAGAATATTTATTATTGGCTAGCGGCTACTATACGTGTGGTATACACGTCACTATTCTTTTACAAAGGCCTGCCTTAGACCTTTAGCACCCATGGGCAAGTTTTTGCTAACGCCATACCTCCCTGATAAAAAAAAAGGTTGCCACCTTTTACTGAGGCTCTAATAAAATTTTGCACTTGCAGTTTCATAAAAAAAGGTTATCAGGATTTGAGCTGTTCACTCTTGATCCTGTTTTGATTCTGTGATGTATATCTTTGAAGTTCGCGCCCTCGAGAGCCACGCGACTGCCTTCGTTAGGCCTGTACTGTTTTTAAATTTTCAGGATGTCGTAAGAATCATCTAAAACATACAAGTATTTTTTTTTATACAACTTAGAATGGCAAACAAGCTGACGGCCCACCTGATGGAAAATGGTAACCGTCGCCTATAGACATGAGCAGTACCATGGACATAACAAAGTATACTGTTTCGCCCATGATACCCCCATGCTTTTGCCCCATGCCGTTGCCATTCCTGAGGACTCAGGTGTTATTCCTCTGTACCCTGTAAATTCACGCCATATCCCACCCTTCAAACCGTAACACAGCCATGCAAACACAACTGCTTCACAGTAGAAACACGAATGGAACAGAGGTGCCCTAGCAATCGACTTTTGTACAAAGTCTCCCTCTGGTAAACTACTCTATTGGATACAATAATAGCTAAAATTAACATTTTTATTTCAGAACTCACCTCAAGTACTTTAGAATTCTTCATGAGCATGTGCTCCCTAGGGATCCTCACGTGATCGAAGCCCAGGAACCCATTGTTAGTGCCGTTCATGCCGAGCTTGACGCCGATCTCACCTATCTTGATACCCTTGAGCGGCATATGGGTTTCCTCGTCGCGGAGTTGCACAATGAACGGGTGGATGCCGTGGCACTGACCTTTGGTGTAGAGTTGTGCCATAACGATGCAGTAATTGGCGGTGTGGGCCACTAAAACAATTAATGAGACCATGAATTAATAATAAATACTATAATCCGTGGACGTGTGGTCCCGGCATAGAATAAATTACCCCTTCCTTTCCCGTGGGTGTCGTAAGAGGCGACTAAGGGAGGGCGAGGGATGAGCAGCAGCGTCCCTCTCAAAACATCTCTAAAACCTAACTGCAGTTGCCAATCTGCATGCCAAGCGTGGCAACTATGCAAAACGCCCTAAGAGGGATATTTATGTTCAATAGTGGACAGTTAAAGGCTGATATGATGACGATGATGACCATAATACGTGTGGTATAGCTATCATGGTGCGGGTGAAAGGACACTATATTTTGTTTCAATAGAACTTAGTAAAAAGATACCGAAGTTTTGTTGAAGTTACCGCAGAAACGTAGACAAATTATAAAAAAACATTTATAGCAACTAATATTTTACCCTTAGATTACATAGATAGTGTTCCCATACGAATGTTTGCTCAAAAACAGATCAACTTTTTTATTAATGTGTGCGTAAATTGGATTACTACTTACTAATATGTACAGTTTTTACTAAGTATGTGGGAGAAATTTATATTATAAAATTAAATTGAAAAATAAAAACGATACAAAATTCTTATGAATATATTTGAAAGAACAAGACAAACAATGCATAATGATTCATAATGACGCTTATGTTTACTAATTTTTCGATTTATATCTGCATACGAGGTCTGTCCGGAAAGTTCGTATAAAAGTGTTCTGGAATGCGAGAAAGAGGAGTGGGGAGGCCAGGTAAGCGCAGGACCCCTTCCTTATGTCCCTAACAATGCTTCAGTTCTGGTCTGACCGCCGTGCGGTGCGAACTGGCTTGTCACGCCATCTGTGAAGTTACCTCTTAACGAAACCCCGTCGGCATGGAGCCCGCTTCCGTTGAAGAGCAGCGCGTCGTAATCAAGTTTCTCTCGAAACTCGGCAAGAATGGCCGTGAAAGCAAAGAGTGGAAGACATCCGGGGAACCACGAACAAAAAAATCAAGAAAATCCCGCTCAAATGTCAAGACAATGTTGATTGTTTTTTTCGATGTTCGGGGGATTGTCCATCAAGAATTCGTCCCTCCAGGCCAGACAGTTGATGGAAAATTCTACGTCGATGTGCTCAGACGCCTCAAAGCTCGTGTGGCACGAGTTCGTCCAGAATTGGCGCGAGAGGGGCGTTGGATTCTTCACCACGACAATGCCCCTGCCCACACCTCTCTTGTTGTCCGTGAGTTTTTGAGTAAAAATTCCATTACGGTGACCGAACACCCCCCCTATTCGCCGGATTTGGCCCCGTGTGACTTCTTCTTGTTCCCAAAAACCAAATTGGTACTTCGGGGGCGGCATTTGGGGGACATAAATGAGATAAAAAAAGCTACGACGGGGCAGCTGAGAAACCTACAACCAGAGGACTTTCAAGGAGCCTTCTCACAGTGGAAACGGCGTTGGCACAAGTGCATTATGTCACAGGGGGAGTACTTTGAAGGGGATAAAATTGATTTACCTGAATAATTGTAAAATAAAAATTTTAAAAAACTTTTATACGTACTTTCCGGACAAACCTCGTATAGATATAAAATGTTTTCGACTTTAAATCCCAGACAAAACAAAATACAGCTATGAAAGCGCAGATTCTATGATAATGCAGACGACCCGGCTGATTTAAAAATGCAAGTGGGGTTTATTTAGCTAATAAATGTGATTATGTTTTGTAATTTATTGGCGCTTTAAAGGCTCGAACAATCGTTATGAAATGTCGCATATATCGCGGGAACGGGAAACTATTTTAATTTTATAATACTAAGTATTTAAGAATGTCACAATAACGTCAAAATGACATTGTATCTATCTAATTTGAATAAAACTTCGAGATTTTCTGTTGTTCTGTTGATTTAGTAGGTAAGTGATTTTATATCTATGTTCAAAATGAATCTTTATATATACATTGGTAGATGTAGTTTTTTATAAAAAAAGAAAATTGAAATACAAGTCAACAGACGGCATTTTTGCTTACAATTAATTTAACTAATAAATAATAATATATTAGAGATTGGATTCGATTTTCCATATTTACTATTACTTGTCTTTGAGATTAGAGAGAATAGACTTTATATATATATATATATATATATATATATATATATATATATATATATATATATAATATATATATATATATATAATATTGTTGTTATTTGCTCTTCTATTGTAGTTAATTGTTTTATATAGTATATTTTATGTATGTATTTATTATTTATACAAATTTATTTATTTAATATATTATGTGTATGTTTATATTAGTCTAATTATATGTTGATATTATGTGAATATATCAAGTTTTACTTTCTTTCTCCTCTATTCAATAATGTACCGCTTACTTATTTCTCGGTTTGCTTGACTGGTAAAGAACACCGTCCGGTGTTAAGTATAATAGTATTTTATTACTGTGCATTAAAGTTTAAATAAATAAGTAATGTTTAATGTTACGGTAGTGACGAATATAAAAACGGAAACTGTCTCAAATGTATAAATTTTATAATAATGAGACTCATTATTTAGTTGAATTATAGATTTAATTTATCGATATAAAGATATTTTTAACGTAAGTAATTCATTATGTAGGTAAGTATATAAGTAACTACACATGTGATTTTTCGCAGTTTCGCAGCTTCACCTTCCACCCGGAACTTGTTTTTGTTGTTTTCTTTTTTTTCTTTAAATTTTTTATCATGTAATATTAAATGACCAATAAACTGACGGCCCATATCATAGAAATTGGTAATTGTTACTTATAGACATGAATCTTGTTCGGAGACATGCATTTATTATGTAGTAAATTCATAAAAAAATACGATTTTTTTAATTGACGAGCTTGTAAACAAGTATATTTGAATAGAAATGATTTGAATTAGCGTGAAAATTCGAAGTCATTTATTGTCTCTATCCTATTAGAAACTTAGCTCTGAAATATCAACATTGCAATTTTAAGGTTTCCTGATTTTTTAATCAACGAGTGAATAATATTAATTTAATATTGTAATATATATATTTAAAATAAATGTGTTCCACTCTTTTTTTCAAGTTGAAGTATTTCATATTCTAGCATTATTTTCAAAATAAAAGATTGTGTCTCATAAAAAAAATGACTTCAATTATGACAAAACCAGTTAATTTGATTTAAAAACTTAACCATTGAATCGATTTTAATAAAATATCTATGCGACCAATATGTGGAAGTTCAGATAAAAAAAAAAAACAAATCGATTTAGAACTGACGTCATGAGGTAACAAACATAAACAAAAAAAAAAAAATACAACTGAACTGAGAACATTCTTTATGAGGTCAGTCGACAAGTTGCAAACCCACAGTAGGTACATATCAATCGAAAACAAACTTCGAGCTTATCAAATGAATCTGTTACCAATTTATATTTTATAGCTATCAGTTCTAATATTCAGGACATTAAACTCGGTAACCTAAGTATCAGCAAAACTGCGTCTTCTATGTACCTACTATTTATCAATGCTTTATCTGTTTTTGTAAGTAGAAGGTCCACTCTTTCAATGTATAGGCGAGATATTCTGGTACAAAATACAAATTAATCATAAAAAAAGCTGATAAACAAATTGAAAACATGATAATGATTTGATTTAACTTTCCATATCTGTTTGTTGAACAACGAATAGATTACTAAATATCGGTTGGCAATATATTTTGTATTATTTGTATATTTTAGTTAAATAGATGGTACATCCATCTAGTTTTATTTTTAATGCGTGAACATGGAATGGTAACCCCGCCTGCGCTATCGGTATACGCTGGCACCAGTGAAGGGTGACAGTTGAGGATGAAGGCGCATCAGTTGACCCACAATGACCAATTAAACAAAAATTAACTACTGTAGTTTCCAGGGGGAACCGCGTGGAGGTTGACCTGACAGAGTGTATTGCTAGCAATGGGGCTAGTAAATCTCATTACTAACAATCTCTTTCTCCTTGTACCATCTAGTTAATAGTGGTACTAAATCTCAAATTTGTGTTATTCTATAGTTCAGGCAGGCGGCCGGTCGTAAAACTAAAAGCCAAATCTTTTTGCAATATGGATAAAACCATATTACGTCGACCCCAAATAATAATTGGGATAAGGGTAAGAAGATGATATAGTTTTTTTTTTTATGTATGCCCTATGCTTGTTTGCCACCTCAATGGTATAAAAAAAAATTTTGCTCCTTAAAACTTAATGAAATACTTAAGTTGCGGTATGTGACGAATATTTATGATATTGCCGCAATAGTTCAGATGTAGCTTTCTGTCGATCTATTCACATATTTGACTTGGAAATTAATTACGTACTTATATGCCGAGTCTCAGACAGTTGTTATTTGAATATTAATGAATTTGAACTTGTGTACGCCACTAAATATATAATTATGACAATTATTTGTACCTGTAATATCCTATATAGTTCTTCGTACATAATACCTTCACATATATAAAATATAATTATTTTACGAAGATATCTAAACATAAGTTTTAAAATAATATGTTTTTTATTTGTAGTAAAAGGTACTATATTCATTTTGATAAATTAATTGAAAATATTTATATTCGTATTATATCTATCTATATTTACCAGAGGGAGACTTTGTACAAAAGTCGATTGCTTGGGTACCTCTGTCCCATTCGTGTTTCAACCGTGAAGCAGTTGTGTTTACATGGCTGTGTTTCGGTTTGAAGGGTGGGATATAGCGTGAATTTACAGGGTACAGAGGAATAACACCTGAGTCCTCAGGAATGGCAACGCATGGGGGGTATCATGGGCGAAACAGTATACTTTGTTATGTCCATGGTACTGCTCATGTCTATAGGCGACGGCTACCACATCAGGTGGGCCGTCAGCTTGTTTGCCATTCTAAGTTGTATATAAAAAAAAAAATTATATTTAAGAGTTGCGCTTTTGTCGGTGGATTCTTGCCATTTTTGATTGCCATTATAATCGAAGCGAATGTAAAGTATCACACACAAGCCCAAGAGGTTTAAGTGGTATTAAAAATCCAATTTTTATTAATGCATTTATGTATGATAATTAAATAAAAAAAATACGATTTTCAGCCAGTCTCTTCAGCCATATTCGTATTATATGCTACTAATATTATAAAGATAAAAGCGACTAAAGAAGGGCGAGGAATGGGCAGCAGAACCCCTCTTAAAACATCTCTAAAAGCATCTCTAAAAGCCTAACTGCGGTTGCCAACCCGCCTACCAAGCGTAGCAACTACTAGCAAAACTACCCTTTAAAGGATTATGTCCAGCAGTGGACAGTTAACGGCTGAAATAATAAATATTATAAAGATATATGTCTGATTGTTATTCATTGCCTCTTAAGCGAATAGATTAACCTAGTCGTATACTAAAAATTTTGGTATATGACTAGGTTATATCATTTATACATACACTTTTAATACAGATATTAGTTTATAAAAGAAATGTACACAGGCGGACTTATTACTTAATGAGATTTCCGCCAGTCGACCTTGAGAATCCGAAAGGAAGAAGTATTTATAGGGTTTGTATATAAAGCATAACATATATAGTGCGAAAATAATATGATAAATAATATATTAGTAGCTATATAATTAACAAAAGTGTATAGATAAATAAAATTATAAATATATATGTATATACTTAATGAATAGGATACAAGATAAGTAAATTATATATATCGAGTATCACAATTTTAGATATCACAATAGTTTGAACTATTATCTATGGTATAGATACCATCAATTATCATATTTTTTTTATTTAACTTCCATTGATACCAAATTTTTGGGGCCTGAATTCACAATTGTCTTGATTTATTTCTATTATCAACATCATCATTTTGGTAGTTTGTCCTTTACTAAACATAGGTTTCAAAGATACCTCTGCTTCAAAGATACGATATAAATTAAGGTGAATATCATCTATGTTTATATAGTTGCGATACAAAATGTTTTATCGCGACTGGAAAGTAAATAACAGACAGGGGAGGTGGGAAGAGGTTAGGTTGTTAGTAATTGAGACATCCCATTATAGTTAAGGTGCATTTAAGATTTACAATAGGCACTTACATCCACCAGGCCACCATTTGTAGGCAGTGAGAGTAGGGCTGTGTAGGACGAACTCTTTTGTACTGGGGTCATAAGTCGCTGTGGTCTCCAGACCTCGGATGAATGTGCCATGTCCTAGTTCGGTCTAAAAAAAATATAGTTATATGAACTACTTTTGTAATAGATTAAGTAAAAAATATTATTTAATTTAGTTTATGATAGTATATAAAAAAGTAATTTCGTAAAATTATCCTACATTAGGGTTAAGAGATAAGTTCAGAGAAATGGGACCTTAGAATGGACCTTAATGTCATTAAAAACAAGTTGCAAATGTTGCAATTAGTAATTTGAGTTGTTTGTACATTAAACAACAAGTGATTGTGGGTTGCAAGGTTATCAGCTGACAGTTCGCTGATGAGATAATTTATGACGTTGTACCAAATATTTATAACAATAATGGTGGAATGAAAACATTAGCCTTGGTACGAGAACACTAAAGGTTCAAACTCCAATAGACATGACAATGAGGATATCATAATTTTCCTCTTGCATTTCCTAATCTGAATTGTTATAGTCAGTATTGACTTTCTAAGTGAAAGGTTAACAGAAAGATGATGGTATCTATCTAAGCATCTCTAAGCAGGTGGCAAATAAATCTGTCGATATTATTTACAAAGCTTATATTAATTTTTATTCAATGTTTATATAAATACGGGAGATTAATAAACTCAATGTGAGGCGAAACACTTTGACGAACATCGTTAAACGCACCCTGAAGATTTCTAGATGAAGTTGAAATAATTGTCAGTAATAACAACAAAAAAAAACACAGTAAGTTCAATAATCTCTCATATTTTTATAGACAAATCTGTCAATAATTATATTTTACTGTATAATAAATGAGATAGAATGAAACAGCAATAATAGCCATCTTGTTTCTTATCATTTATGCTAAGTTGGTAGGGGAGTAAAACAAAATAACATATTTTATAGACAATGAGGTTAGATGTGATGATTACTGTTTTTCAACAAACCTGAGCATAAGTTCCAATAATGTTCAAGTCAAAGGCCCTTCCGATCCAATGCACTTGTTGCTCGACTGATGCCTGGCCCATCAGTGTTGGTATGAACATCACATAGTGGAGTGTCAGGGGTGAACCATCTTGAAGGATTGCTGAACCTAATTTACCTCCAAGGACAGCCCTAAGTAAAAAAAAAAAAAACAAAACAAGTAATAACAACTTGCTTTTGGGTGTGGTTTATCAAAACATTAATATCTCAATAGTAGATGTGAGAAGCTTATAAGATAAGCATATTACTATTATCAAAATAACAACCCCAACAAGGTTTTTTATATTTCACCTGATGGTATGTTACTACCACTACAGATAGGTACCAGTAGTATCTGAGAAATGGTAGGTGTGTTATCAGTCTTTTAGAAAAGAATATGCTCTTTTCTTTAAGATTTTAATGCTTTGAATTAGTTCTATACTTTAGGTGTGTGTGGAAGAAAATGTTTACAAAAACACATGGTGGAGGGCCATTACTCATAAAGGTAGTTGGGGTGAAACTTTAGCTTGTTTCTTTTAATCCCCAGGTGCAAGAGTAGAAAAGGGAAACCTGAAATTGGTTCTCAATGAATAGTGTGAGTAAAACACTATTTTAAGTTTTCCCATTATTGTTGCAGTTGATATTTTAGTTATTCAACATTCAAGGAGTAAACACTGTGATAATAGATCAACAGTGCTCTAGTGGTGTCTGACAAAGTGGCAGAGTTCATGGTAAATTAATATGGGTGTACAAAGTGCAAGACATATAAATTTTTGCTTGCAGTGGCAAAATAGTAAGATATAGAGTATTTAATTTGACTCTATTTCGACTAAAGATGTACAACAACATGAAATAATTTGATTGGAAGATAATTAGTGATGATAGAAGCAAAAAAATATATTTGCCCAAGTTTTATGTACTTTACAAAGCATATATATTTTGATGTTTGAATTATTTGAGGAACATGTATGCACAATTTTACCTGTAATTCTCCATTCCAGCATTATCCTCTTCCTGCATTTTTCTGATAACTTTGAAGAGTAAACAAGCTTTTTTGACAGCAAGCTCATATTTTTCTTTGTGACTGAGATATTCGGATGGTACATCCTCTATGTGAATGCCTTCACTAAGGACCATATCCTCTGTAAATTAAAGGAGATATGAGTTCTGTGTTATTGACACTTGAGGTAGGAAACAATTTTGGAAAGTTTTCTGTCCTTACTTATAAATATAACTTAGTATCACATATATTAACAATCATTCATTTCATTTATGTACATTTATGAAGACTTCTTCTTTAGAAAGAGAAGCTTGTAAAATATTCTAAAATAATAGTTTGGGTTAAGTGGTACACCGTTAGTAGAAGTTTTAAGTGCGCTTTCACTTAAAGTTTAAAAGAAAAATTACTTCAACAAAACCATAGGTACCTACCTTGTTTTTTTCTTTCCTCAGTTTTTTGTACTCCGCCATCGATTAAATTTATTAATTCAGTTACATTAAAAGTACATTTATCTCTTTCCCTTTGCAAGTCGGGATTAACTTTTGTGTTACTCATTTTCAGATATTATACACTTTTTAATTGGATACTTGAATAGTAGAATCGAAGTAATTATCTAATACAAAACAACCTACATATAGCTCAATGTAAAAGAAAATGAAATAAAATATTAATAAAAGAGATAAGACAATAACAGTAAAGAGAATGACGACTTGACGATAAAAAAATGGAAATGTTTATCGCTGCTGACAATAAGTGAAACTACTGTCATTTTTTTTTTTTTTTAGTACGTTTGTTCCGTTTGGAACAGGCTAAGGTCGGAGACCATGCTGCCTAGTCTTCAAAAAGATAATTTGTCTGGAATGAAACTACTGTCAGTAACAAATGACATTTAACAGGTCAGTAAGATCAAATGAGTCCCTTCTTGCTTTAAATCGATTTTATATAATCATATGATTTACAATTCTTTGATAACTTTTATTAGTCGATATAAACATTACCATCGCATTAATCATCTTTTTTTATCATCACATCAGCCATTCATCGTTAACTGCTGAACACAGGCCTCCCCCAAAAGGGGGATTTAGTCAGTAGTTGCTACTTGTGGCAACTACCACTTGTTGTCAACCGCATTTAAGCCTTAGCGATATTTTAAAAAATTTTTCTTATTCACCTCTTATGACTCTCACAGGATAGAAAGGGTTGACCCATTCTATGCCGGGATCACATGTTGAATATCATATCGTATAAGAATGATTTTTTATCAATTTATTATCGTACATATTAGCAAAGCTGTGATATATTGCATTTAACTATACAGAGCAAGTAATTACTACGTTATATTTAATTATGTACTGCAAAATTGCATCAATTATCAAATTCCAATTACTATTTTTTTTGCTTCTGATAGCAAGAAAGTTAATTAATAAATATAAAATATGAATTTAAAAGAAAGATTATAAAGGATGTCAACACATCAAATATATTATAATTCAATAGCCCATTAATCCTATACAGATTATATAAATACCTTTGCAACATATATAATCGATAATATTCGATTATTTACCGTCCAACCCTAGTTCCGCCATATTTCTTTTCTTTCTTGTTTGCGTTGGACCTCACCGTTTCAAGATGAGGTTAGTTTTTTCTATAAAAATATAAATTATTCTTATTAATTCTTCAACTAAATATATTTAATGTGTTACTTTTGACATATTTTAAATAAATGTTATTTTTTTTTCGAAAGGGAGGATAATTTCTAAAGAATTTGAATGTACGTGAACATCCATCAGAGACCATGTGGTCACTCCGAGTATTTTTTTTATTTACAGTTCCTTAAAGCTTCAGAAGAGGCTTGCAGCCTCTGTTATGCGATGCGGCAAAAAGAAGGTGTGGTTGGATCCAAATGAGATCAGCGAAATCGCCAACACCAACTCGAGTGAGTATAGTGTATTTACCTGACACTGCTAGCGCTGCCATTCGTCGGTCCCGGATTCCCCCAATGTATTTTAACTGTTGTTACATCTATTAATCAAGATTTCAAAATAACATATGTAGATTCCTATCTTTAGAATACAAGATGTGAAAAAAAATCTTATTGACAATACACATTCAACAATGAAAACGGCAATAGTATCGTAGCTACCTATTCCGCTACATCTTTTAAACCGTGCCAACAAATTTTATGTTGGTTTAATATTAAGACTCTTTTTAATTTGCATTGATAAGAAAAAATATGATGTTTTAGTTTAGCTTTTCTGACTTCACCCCTAATCCTACTTAACCTATAATATTAAATTTTGTTTAAATGTTATTAATATTTGCTGATTATTTATTTATTTCTGTCCTTCAACTGTAAGTTTTATCAGAATCCTTCTGCAAGCAAAGTTAGTGATTGAGTTCAGTGAATATCCTAAGTTACTATTATAGTATCATGGCAACTCAGTTATTGAAACTTCATACTTTATTCTTCTTTATTAAATACTTTTTATACTAAATGTTAAAATAATAATACTTCACATTGTTTATTTTTAATGTACAATAATCAATTCAATAATGCATACTTATTTCTCAATTTTTCCAATCGTTGACTGATAGAGAACAGTTCAATGTTAAGTTTGCCAAATGTACATAGTTTCAATGCACATTAAAGTTTAAATAAATAAAATAAATAAATAATCAAGTTAATATAAATTTAAACTTAGTACAGTATAACTGGAATATAACTTTTTTTCATGATGTGCTGCGACTTTTTCTACCGATCATCTCTTTTTTTATTTTGTACAAACATTGCTAATTATTATTTTATTTAATCATTATAATTATTTACACAAAAATGGATTTTTCTAAACTATTATAATTTTTGTCACTTTCAAATTGGAAATTTATTGTAAAGAAAAAAAAATTACTAAGTCTAAATAATCTCTCATTCATAAAATAATTATAATATTTATGAATAATAGAGTAAGAATGTTAAAAAAAATACAATTTATCTTCACTGGTGTAATTGATTGAAAAGTATAAATATATAATTAGTTTAATCACAATTTTCAGGACAAAACATCCGTAAGATGATCAAAGATGGTCTCGTGATCAAGAAACCAGTAGCGGTACACTCCCGTGCGCGCGTCCGCAAGAACACAGAAGCGCGCAGGAAAGGACGTCATTGCGGCTTCGGTAAGAGAAGAGGTACTGCCAACGCGCGTATGCCACAGAAGGTAAATATTTCAATTTTAATACACTTTTCATAGCTGTTATAAGTATACATATTTTTATTTATTTATTCATTCAATACTACATATATATATGGCAGACTTAATGCTAAAAGCATTTTTACATCATTATGTCATCATCATGTGGTACTAGTAATTATTGATATATGTACATACTAAAATTATATATAATATAAACAAATAAATATATATAAATAGCAAATATACTTACACATGTATAACATATACTATATTATACACGAAATTGAGAATAATATAAAGTATTTACTGCTCAGATAAAGTAAAAAGTACTAAGCACAAAAGAACATAGAGATGTTGCAGGCTTAACAGTATCACAGGTTTTTCTGCCTGAAAATAGCCTATCTTTCAATAGTAATAATATAGTCTCCTTTTTATTCCAGCCAGTAAACATACCTCGTCATGTGTACAAAGTTACAGTCTTAATTAAATACATTTGTAGATTTAAGAGGTGCAATTGCGTTACATTGTTTTGTTACAATGTTTTTATATGAATTTTTTATCTTTTTATTTAAATTCAGAATATAGCTCACAAAGAAAGAGACCTTACCAAAAATGATTTAAGAGGTGAAATTGCACTGCATTGTTTTGTTACAGAGTTTTAATATGAATTTTTTATCTTTTTATTTAAATTCAGAATATAGCTTACAAAGAAAGAGACCTTACCAAAAATGATTTAAGAGGTGAAATTGCACTGCATTGTTTTGTTACAGAGTTTTAATATGAATTTTTTATCTTTTTATTTAAATTCAGAATATAGCTCACAAAGAAAGAGACCTTACCAAAAATGATTTAACTTTTCCTTTTCTTTCATAACATATTGAGGATGGTCAGTGTATTATTATTCGGTTATACCACAGAGATACTTTACATTTGTTTACTCATGTTTTTTGCAGGAACTTTGGGTACAAAGACAAAGAGTCCTCCGAAAACTACTCCTCAAGTACAGAACAGCGAAGAAAATTGACAGACACTTGTACCACGCGCTGTACATGAAGGCGAAGGGTAATGTGTTCAAGAACAAGCGTGTACTCATGGAGTACATCCACAGGAAGAAGGCTGAGAAGGCTAGGACTAAGATGCTTAGGTAAGATGACAAAGTTTAATCTTTTTGTACTGCTGAGGTGTTAAATACGATAAAGCCTACATAACGATAAGCCGCAATGGTGGTTTAGTTCAATGTATTTTTAGAAAGCTTATAAGTAATAATTTATTTAGTTGTACTGCCCTATTTGATAAGAGAGAAGGTGGTGAAAGTACATCGGTTTTTATGTTCCTTCTTTTTTATGAGGTTAGAGTTTATTGTTGGGCGTATTTTTTTATTATTTTATAATAAGCTATTATCATAATCTGTTTACTTCAGTGCCCTATTTGATAAGAAAATAAGTGTTTAAATGAAATGCACTTATTTGCATCTACTTTCATCTTGTCAATTTACTATAAAAAATATTGTAATAGAGTTGTAGGTTTAATATATATAAATAAAATATACTGTGTTGCTCATGATATCCTTTGTGTGTTGCCATTCATGAGGATTGGTTTGCCTATGTATCTTATAATTTCATTGCCATGGGCTTATTGGCTAAGAATCTAATATTAATAGTACATTTATATAAGTAGGTTATACAAAGTTTATTTTAATATAATAAGAGGGTTTTTAAGGCATTCCACAAAATATTTTATAATTTTTGATTTTCTGATTTTCGGAAAAACCAATAATAATAAATAAAATAAAAATAAATTATGTCCTTATGTAGTAGGTAAACTTCCTACTACACTAGGACCTAATTTATTTACTAAGCAGTTTATTGGCCTTAGGATATATTTTTTATAATTTCATATGAATATAATCATTTAAAAATATGGAAATTATAAGCATGAACTATGAAATAATCTATCATTCAAATATAGAGTTGTTTAATTAACAGAAAACAGTCCCAATCTTCGTCTTTTCTAAAATCATTGCCAATCAATATGACATTGATGTATGTACCAAACTTGTCTCTGTATCAAAAAATGGTGAATTCTAAATTATTTAATTATTTATTATTATAATGCATTCATGTACATAATATAGAGTTGTTACAATGTTCTTATGATAAGTACATGAAACCCTGTTTGTTTGGGTGTAGCAAAATTATGTTGATAGGTAGCTAATATACATGCATTAATGTCAATTTAGATTAAACAAAATAAACAACAATTCAAAATATCATAAAAATAATTAGAAGTCAGTCTACTTATTGAGGTATATAATAGTTATATCAATTATTTCTAAGTCATGTGTGATAAATTTGCGCTAGAAATAAAGTTGTTGAGTAATAACTATTGTGAGGTCATACTGTGTTTAAATTAATTAAAATGAAATCCCACTTTGTAGAACCTTAAAAATTTAAATTTAATGTAATGTTTGTTTTAGTGACCAGGCCGAAGCCCGTCGTAACAAGGTGAAAGAGGCGCGCAAGCGACGTGAAGAACGTATTGCCGCCAAGAAGGAAGAACTTTTGCAGACCTTTGCGAGGGAAGACGAAGCCGCGGTCACCGCCAAGAAGTGATAGCATATTGTCTTAAAATGAATGATCCAATAAACATCTAGGATCGAAATTTTATTTTTTATTTCTGAACAAGGCTTCAAAAATAGCTGATAAGTTTGTATTGATATTGCGGCATCACGTAAAAACTATTACCCCAAATCTGTCTCTCCCTATGTATGCTTAGATCTTTAAAACTACGTAACGGATTTTGATGCGTTTTTATAATAAATAGTGATGCAAGAGGAAGGTTTGTATGTATAATACATCCATAATATAGTTAAGAAACACTGATAATTTTATTGTACTTATAAGTACGCTATTTATTTTTTTTATACAACTTAGAATGGCAAACAAGCTGACGACCTATCTGATGGAAAGTAGTAACCGTTGCTTCTAGACATAAGTGGTACCATGGACATAACAGACTATACTGTTTCGCCTATGATACTTCCCATGCGTTGCCATTCCTCTGTTATTAGCTCAGGCGTTATTTTTCTGTACCCTGTAAATTCACTGCCATGTCCCACCTTTTAAACTGATACACAGCCATGTAAACACAACTGCTTCACGGGAGAAGCACGAATGGGACAGAGGTACTCAAGCAATCGACTTTTGTACAGTCTTCCTCTGGTTATCGTTACGATAAATAAAAAAAATTTATATTCGAAATTGTATTCTGTAGTATATTTATTGCATTGCATCCCTGTGAAACCGGGGCGGGTTGCTAGTAAATTATATATCTACATGTATTTAAAAAATATAGTTTCGTGTCTTTGGTCAATTTTTATAATTATTCTTTTCCATCCAATTGTATTTATTATAAGATTATAGTATTATATTACCTGTGCTATTCTAATCTTTTTTAGGAAACAAAGAGTATCGACTCTGCTTTGCAGAGGTGCAATATCTTAATGACTGCTTCGCTTATCAGGATAAAACTATTTTATTTCTAATGTTAACGCAAATTATATACATTTACAAGTTTTATTTATTAAACTTTAACACACCTTGAGTCTTAGTGTAAATGGCGGACTTGACACCATATGGCGTTATCTACCAGTCACTGTAATCATAGATAAAAAATACTTATGTATTTTTTGTCCATGGTTTATTATCTGTTGAGTGGTTTTGGAGATTAGTGGGAACGAACATTGCGACACGGAATTTTTAACTATTAAGATACTAGCTTTTACCCGGGACTTTGCGTGATTCGGATATGATCACTGATTGGGATAAAAAGTAACTTATATTCTTCTCCATACCTTATGAATATACCAAATTTCATAGAGAATGGTTAAGCCGTTCAGGTATTATAAGGTAACAAATAAACACACTTTCATATTTATAATATTAGTAGTAATTAGCATTATTACGTAAATAACGTATATAATATTTTAAAAAGTTTTTACACGTAGTTTATGTGGAAAACATTAAGCTCTATGCTTCATGATCAGACTCGTGGTCCATCAACTAATTAGTGTTTATCATTTACTTGACAAGGAGCGTCAATATAAAGCAAATATAAAGCTAGTCCAATTTTGATACGGTTACATTCTTTTTTTTTTATACAACTTAGAACGACAAACAAGCTGACGACCCACTTGATGGAAAGTGATAACCGTCACCTATAGACATGAGCAGTACCATGGACATAAAAGAGTATACTGTTTCGCCCATGATACCCTTTATGCGTTGCCATTCCTGAAGATTCAGGTGTTATTCCTCTGTACCCAGTAAATTCACGCTATACCCCACCCTTCAAACCGAAACACAGCCATGCAAACATAACTGCTTCACGGTTGAAACACGAATGGGACAGAGTAACCCAAGCAATCGACATTTGTACAGTCTCCCTCTGGTAATTCATTCCTTTTATTACAAATTTTCTACCTTTTTTAAAAAACAAAACAGGATGGTGAAGATCTGGTGGCACTACAAAAATTATTCAGACCCTATTCAATTTGAAAATATTCGTTTTTGAGATTGAATCGACCGGGCATCGAAATCGTGATCTCATATACGTTAAGCAAAGAGTGTTATGCGACATTGAAGTTAAATAATAATTAACAATTATTAAAGAATTATTATGGGTTGAACTTGTAACCAAATGGAGGTTATTTTGGTATAATGCTTTACCGCATTACCTACTACAATATGGTAATATCAATACCTATCATGTCAGTATCAAAGCGAATTCTCAGTGAGTTAGTCGTGTTCTAATATTTTATTAAGTACACTGTGGTCGTGAGTGTTACTCCATCATGGGTGGCCGTGAAGTAAACAAAGATTTACAAAAAGAAAGACAGAAATGTACATTTGACATAGCGGAGATGACGACGATTTTTTATGGAGGGCCGCAGAAAAACTTTAACCGGAAAAAAAGAGGTGAATGAACTTATGTGTGTGTGGATTTGAGTCGCCGTATATGTTGCGCAAAATGTAACAAAAACATCACTTTATGCCCTTAATTAGAAAGACTTGTTAGGGACAATTTGTAATAAATACAATAATTCCATAAATATATAAAGCGTAGTCTACTACTGTGAACCTCGGGGGGAAAGGGATTGTTAGTAATGGAGATTGAGAATCCCATTGTTAGCAATATACCCAACTAGGTCGACCTCCTCGCGGTTCCCTCTGAAAACTATCATGGTTAATTCCTGATGAATTCATCATGATTGGTTAACTGGTCTGTTTTCATTCTCATCTATCACTCTTCACTGGTGCTCCGCCAGCGTATCCCATTAGCGCAGGCGGAATTACCGTTACTATACCATTTTCACCCATAAAAAAAAAAAACTACTGTGAACCGTAGACTACGGTGTTAGAAGTACACCGTAGTCTACGGCATCTAATATTATTATACTATATATTAGCGTCTATGATTAATAATAATTTAGCAGCTTTGAGGCTTTATTATTTTCTAGCGAGACTAGCCGTACTAGTGACCCAGATAATATTACTAGCTAGTGATGTCTAAACATCATTTCACATTTTTTTTAATGGTATTCATATTTATTTATTTTAATAAGGCACACATAACAAATTATAAATATGTTAGGTTTTTATATAGGTAATTACGATTTTTATACTAGGTTACAATTCAAAAACATATGTATGATTAAGAGATTAACATTTAGAGAAGACATTTGAATTTCGATGGGTGGAAAATATAATGGAAAATTAGTAAACAGGTATATAAGTATATATCATACATGTATATAAGGTTTTTTTATTGTATATGATAATATATTGTATATAATTTAAATTAAATGAAATTTATACTATAAAATTATCAGTATTAAGTAAAATTTGGTCGTACCATATACCTAACAAGGTAGTTAAGAGTATCCACTGACTAGATGCCACTTATGTTTGTCAGTTTCTGCCTATTTTGACTATTGGCCTGTGGTTCTAAAATAGACTATTGAAATTAATAGACTTTTTATTATAACTTAATTTGATTTTGTTCCCCAAAAATTTCATTAACGTTTTTATGATACTTTAACATGGCAAACAAGCTGATAGTCCACCTGATGGAAAGTGGTAACCGTTGCTTATAGACATGATAGTATTATGTGAAAAAATAATTATAATTCGTTGGGTAGCAAAGATGTAGGTGTGAAATGAAATTAGATTCGCGTATCGAGGGATCTCTACAAAATCTTGACAAGTGATTCTAAAAGGGTTCAGTTTTTCCTTTTGAGGTACAAAAGTTTAAAAATACATACATACATACATATCTGTCACGCCTGTCTCCCATTAGGGTAGGCAGAAACAATGGAACGCCAAATGCTTCGATTCAAACAAACCTCTTTCGCTTCTTCCAAATTCATTAATCTTTTCATACACGCCCGCCGGTTACGGGTACTTTTAATTTGGCCCTTCTTCAGCACGTCGCCTATTTGGTCAACATACGTCCGTCTTGGGCGGCCCCTACCGACATGTCCATTCATTCTTGCTCGATAAATCTCTTATACTTAGCTCCTATTTAATCTATAGAGCATAGATTAAAAAACATACGGATTGACGGATTTTTATCAAGATATTATTTTTTAGCTCGCTTCTCTAATTCTTACTAATATTGTAAATTGAAAGTGAGTTTTTTTTAACGGGTGATAATGAAAGGGTTACCCCGCCTGTGCTACCGGTATACACTGGCAGGGCACCATGAAGATGATATGTGAGGATGAAGTAGGCCAGTTAGCCCATCGTGACGAATTCAACAGGAATTATTCATGATGGTTTCCAGGGGGAACCATGTGGAGGTCGACCTGATAGAGTATATTGCTAGCAATGGGGCTGTTAAACTCCATTGTTAATAATCCCTATCCCCCGTTGAAAGTGAGTTTGTTTGTTTGTTATTTTATAGCGCTTTAAGAGTTCAACCAATTATTGTAAAATTTGATATACACGTGCTATTTGGGATGGATAAGCATATAGGCTTCAGTGAGCTCATCCCAGTCTTGCGGATGAAGTCGTGGGTAACAGCTAGCGATTAAAAAATATTTATTCGCTAGCTGGCAATAATCTATTAATTTACTTGTTATTTACTTATAACTACTAGAAATATTTCTTATTGAAGTTAATTAAATTTTAAGCATTTTTGAAGATTTTACAAGTATTGATCTGCTGGCCAATTCGGAATGCAAATTTAGCTTTGTTGTTTTTTAAACAAAACGAGTAAATAACATGTAATAATTTTTTCTACAAACTATTAAACAGCACAAGATAACGCGTATCGATTGTTATGTTTATGGTTATTACCTATTAAATTACCCGTTTTCACTTTTATTATAAACATTTCCAGATAGTGTGATGTTGATTGGTGCAGAAGAATTCAGCAAAGATATACCAGACGATTATTTGAGTCATAAGGAACTTTACGAGGATGGTATAAAGAAATCAGTGGCCATATTTAGTTTGGTACGACAAATGCAGAGGGAGGGATTTACTAGTATAAGTGATTATAGGTAAAATATAATGAACTATGTTTTTTTTTAATGGGTGACAATGGAATGGTAACCCCACCCGTGCTATCGGTATACACCGGCGGGGCACCAGTGATAATGATAGGTGAGGATGAAGCAGGTCAGTTAGCCCATCGTGACGAATTCAACAAGAATTGTTCACGACGGTTTCCAGGGGGAACCACATGGAGGTCGACCTAATAGAGTATATTGCTAGCAATGGGGCTGTCAAACTCCATTGCTAACAATCCCTTTCCCCCCAATGAACTATGTTTTTGCCCGCTAGTTTGTACATGTGGATGACCTATTAAAACTGGCAGATAGACGGACGGAAAGACAGAGGGATGGATGGACGGACAGAAAGACACAGTTAGAGAGAAATAATGAATAAAAAAATATTGTTCTGGCATCTATTGGTCTTTCCTGTAAGTCTTTCCTGGCATAAAATAGATCACTCCTTCCTTTCCTGTAAGTGTCGTAAGAGGCGACTAAGGCAAGGCAAGGCATACGGAGTAACGTCCTTCTTAAACATCTCTAAAACCTTACTGCGGTTGGCAAACCCCCTTTCAAGCATGGCAACTACTGGTAAAACCCCCCTAGGGGGGGCTTATGTTCAACAGTGAACAGTTAAAACCTGATATGAAGATTTAATAGTCTTATTAAAATCCCTTATATTAATTCTTTTTAAACACCTCCCATGTACAGACTTCCTTTCGTTACAATTTTATTATATTAATATAATAATTATCTATCAGTATTTTAGTTAAATGCATAATAGGTATGCAAGTTTGATACATTATCGTGTCGAGACTGTAATTGCATATTTATTACAAATGTTTGTTAAATCGGCGACGACGAAACAACTATAGGTCAACCGTGATTAGCACAAAATAATGTTACTATTATTTGACACTTATAAAATTATTATTCATGAGAAATAAATACTTGCCCAGCGGGGCATTATTCTGAACATAGTTCCAAATCAATACAAATATGTATGTAGTGCGGAGTTAGAACTTGCGACTATCGGAGGGTGGGATAATGTGTTAAAACGCTACACGACAGTTTTTGTAATGGATGTAAATGGAATGGTAACTTCGCCTGCGCTCTCGGTATACTCTGGCGGAGCATCAGTGAGAGATGACAGGCGAAGATGAAGCAAGTCATTGGGCCCCTGGTGACTCATACTCTCACAGCCTGAATGTTCGCGAGAGGAAACTCCTCAGAAACTGCACTGTATGCGAGCATTTGGGTTTTAACGTGTGAGGATAAAATCTTTGTTGATGGCGAACGATGCGATGATAAAAGGTGGCTATGGGCATCATTTTGAATTACAGTAGAGTCTCGATTGTTTGAATCAAATAAAACCAAATTGAAAATCCGGGTAATCGATTTTAAAGTTAAATCAAAACAATACAAACAAACATACATATAATACAATACAAATATACATCACTTTAGACAATACGATATAAAAAAATACAAATTATAAAGATAATAGATTACATAATACCTATTTATTTAATTAATATATATATAAATTAAAATATATAATACCATTTCTAAATCGGTAGTTAGAGCTGTGAAGAATAAGTCCGGATAATCGATGTTCAGATAATCGAGATTCTACTGTAATGACATGAACATATTCGATTAAAAAATGAATTTATCAAAATCGATTTATTTTCTTTGGCTCGATCAGGGGCGAGTCGGGCTACTGTGACGGGGATAAAATTAAGATTAATCGTGACAGATGGAAAAAAAAATTAAGTACTCCGTCTATTTTAAATATTTATTACATTGGACTTATAAATATTTTAAATAGGCGGAACATGTCAAGAACAGTACCTAAATCTAAATCTTTACTTATCATATCGATCACTTTATGTACTAATTCATGTAGGCAAAGCTGCGGGAAATAGCTAGTGTCGAATATAATTAGATACTCCACATAAAAATGCGCAAGTTACTCAAATATTTTCTTGTTATGAAAAAAGAAATTACCTACTTATGCTTTCAGAGATGCACTCTCAGGCTTATTGGGTTCCGCTGTGCTTCGTGATGGGTCCGCTATAGCTTTACATTACCTAATGTTCATACCAGCAATAATGAACCAAGGCAACGAGGAGCAGCAAACTCAATGGTTACCGCGAGCTTGGGACTTCAACATTCTTGGCAGTTATGCGCAAGTAGATTTCATTTTATATTTTAAATAAAGAAAAAGGTTTTTAATTCGATTGTATTTTTTATGTTTGTTACTTCATAACTCCTTCATTCGTTATAAACCGATGTGGATTTTTTTTACCTGAAAGGATATATTTACAGATTGTTTAATAGAAATTTCATCAAAGTCAAATTTCAGTAGTTTGGTTTTTAAATCAAAATAATCCCCCTTTTGAAGCACCCCATGCTGTAGTCACTTGGGAAAACCTCGGCAGGGAGCTCATTCCATAACCTGAGTGTTCGTGGGAGGAAACATCTCTGAAACTGCGCTGCATGCGACCATTTTGGCTTACAGGAAGAACCTCCACGGGGTCTTTCTGATTATCTGATATCTATTATGAGGATGATAGGTGAGAATGAAAAGGCAGGTCAGTTAGTCTATCGTGATGAATATATCTGGAATTAAGCACGATGGTTTACAGGGGCCACCACGTAGAGGTCAACCTGACAAAATATATTGCTAGCAACGGGACTGGTAGTCCGCATTACTAACAATTTCTTCCCCCGCCTCTATTTAAGGATGGTAGGTGCAGATGAAGTCAGGTCAGTTAGCCCAACGGAACTGCGTTGAGGTAGATTTAATTGAGTAATCTGCTAGTAATTGGGTCACTAGTTACCGTTACAAATAATCCTTTCCTCCAATTTTTTGCTTTAATAAATAGAATGTTGATTTGCCTTGTAATGTATGTAATTCTACATATATATTTATTTCAGACCGAGTTAGGACATGGTACGTTTATTAGAGGCCTGGAAACGACCGCAACCTACGATCCAGCTACAAAGGAGTTCATATTGAATACTCCCACCTTTAGTTCTTATAAATGGTGGGCTGGTGGATGTAAGTTTTTCTATTGGTATTATGAATTATAATAATAATAATAAATGACGAGAACCTCGTGAAAGCCGAAACTGAGAAAAAGAGAAAATATCTCGACCTGGCTCACGAGGTGACCGAAATGTGGGGGGTGGCGTCCACCGAAATTATTCCAATCGTTTTGTCGGTGAACGGTCTTATCCCAACCAGTCTGGAACAACATCTCAGACGGTTGGGATTCCGAGGCAGCTCATTCCCCGGAAAGATGCAGAAAGCGGTGCTCTTAGATACTGCCCGCATTGTACGCCGGTTTCTCTCCCTGGGGCCCTGAACCCCGGCTGACTGTGCTTCTGCCGGGGGTTAGTTGCCATCTCCTCTCCTTAAGAGAGGAGATGAGAATTTTTATAAAGTTTAAAAAATAATAATAAAATTAGTTTATTCATTTCCACAAATTACAATGTATAGATTATTAACTTTATACAAAATAAAAGTATCGTAATTTGTGGGAGATTTGGAGCCTAAACTAAGTCGTAACTTATATCTTAGACACCAGGTCAGGAATTACACGAGCTTCATGGTTTATGTAATGACAACCGTTAACTATTGTTGTTGTCTTTATTAATAAACTTTATATTGGATATTTCTTTGAGGTCGACGCAATCTGTTTTCATCTTTATTTGCAGTCATTTCGCTAGTCCTTTTTGGTCTTGTCATCTTTCACACAGTCCATCCATCTCTTTCTGGATCTTTCTCTACACTCAGTCATCCATATTTATACAAAATAACTTTTCTTTCCCAATTCTCTTCGTCTCTGCGTATCACATGCCTTTAATAAAATGTAAACGAGTACTTACTACTACCAGAGGGAGACTTTGTACAAAAATCGTTTGCTTGGGCACCTCTGTTCCTTTCGTTTTTCTATCGTGAAACAATCGTGTTTGCATTGTTGTGTTTCGGTTTGAAGGGTGGTATATGGCAGTGAATTTACTGGGTACAGAGAATTAACACCTGAGTCTTCAGGAATGGCAACGCATGGGGGGTATTATGGGCGAAATAGTATACTCTCTTATGTCCATGGCACTACTTATGTCTATAGGCGACGGTTACCACTTTCCATCAGGTGGGCCGTCAGCTTATTTGCTATTCTAAGTTGATTAAAAAAAACGACTACTTTCAACTTTTTTATTACTGGCGCTATTTCAAAACTTGGTTACTTCTCGTGGAATTCTTCACGATGGGCTAACTGACCTGCTTTCATTCTCATCTATCATCTCTTATTGGTGCTCCGCCTACGTATACCGTTAGCGCAGGTGGGGTTACCATTTCATTATCACTCATTTAAAAAAAAATTGCTTTCTATATGCGTTGGCTTTGTAGAAGATTTGACTATGCTTGTTATACTAATGACTGTCTTTCTTATTCTTTATGTATCCTATGTCTGTACTAGCCATGACTCATACGCACAACGGCCAAAATAAGAGGCTAAGCGCGGAAAATAGAGTTCTATTCACATTTCACACATGTATCCTATGTTTATTTTGGCGTATACCTACTCAATGAGGGAATTGTCTGTGGTAAGCTGCGATGCTGAATATGTGGCATAGAAGTGTCTGCAACAATAATATTAACAAATAAATCACTTCGTCATTCTCGCTAATTTGAATAACTGCTATGAAAATGAATGACAATGAAAAATACGAATAAATCACATTATAAATTTTAAAAGAAGACCTTAACCTTTGACTATAAATCGTCTGGAAATTGTGGCAACTTCAATAATGCAGGTTATATTTATATGCATATGCAACTTATGACATGAAAATGACGGAATAAGTTTCGCGCATGACCTCCCGCTCCCGCGTTGCCATTCCTGAGGACTCAGGTGTTATTTCTCTGTACCCTGTAAATTCACTGCCGTATCCCACCCTTCAAACCGAAACATAGCCATGCAAACACAACTGATTCATGGTAGAAACACGAATTGGACAGAGGTGCCCAAGCAAACGACTTTTGTACAAAGTCTCCCTCAATGGCCATAACAGTCTACAACAGTACCATAGACATTTTGCACATTTGACATGCATTGCTATTTCTGAGGACGTAAGATATTACACCTCTGTATCTTATAATTGCCATATATGTGGGTGTCGCCTTTCAATCTAGAACATAGTTATGTAAGTATAGCTGATTGCATAGAAAAACTAGTGAAATAACTAGAGACAATTTTTTAAAGCCTCGTAAGACGCTCTACAGTAGCGTTGCTAGATAGGGTACATTTTCGCAATTTTAGACATTAATTTTTCTGTTTGTGCTGATATGGAGAAATTAAATTCTTGAATAAGTTTTGAGAAAAATGAAATTGACTCGGAGAAGTTTGTGTATTTTTTTTAAGTTTTTATATTTGTTAATACAATTTTTTTTTATACAACTTAGAATGGCAAACAAGCTGACGGCCCACCTGATAGAAAGTGGTAACCGTCGCCTATAGACATGAGCAGTACCATGGACATAACAGAGTATACTGTTTCGCCCATGATACCCCCCATGCGTTGCAATTTCTGAGGACTCAGGTGTTATTCCTCTGTACCCAGTAAATTCACGCCATATATTTGTAATGTCATTTAAGATAGCAAAACGGAAGCTAAAAGAAGTTAAATGTAGGAAAGATCTTTTTTCCCATTGTTCACTTGCAGTGATTATATGACGACGTAGTGAAAATCAACACATATCTGTATTTGAGTAAAAGCGAGGAAAATCGTACTGAGTTAGAGAAAAAACTTGATATTGGGTAACAATATAGCAGCTGGCATCGTCTTGTGGTACCATAGAATGAGCTACCTCTTCCTTTCTCGTGGGTGTCGTAAGATGCGACTAAGGAAACTAGTCAAGTGATGGGGAATAGCGTTCAATATCACCAAAAATATCACCAAAGCCTAACCCCGGTTGCCTATTCGCGCGTCAAGCGTGGCAACTACTGGCAAAATCTTCCTTATGGAGGAGGTCCATGTCCAGTAGTGGACAGTTAATGGCTGATATAATAGTATAATACCGTCTCTCAAACCTGTTTCCCACACTGACCGCGGACCGTCGCGATTTTCATCTTCTCTTATTTGGCAGTTTACTTCTGGTTAATTTACATTATCATCTGGTTTTTACAGTGGGTCAAACAGTGAATTATTGCATTGTGGTAGCACAGTTGCACACGAAAGGTGAATGCCACGGTATCCACTCATTCATAGTCCAAGTGAGGGACGAGGAAACTCATTTACCCCTACCCGGCGTCAAGATCGGCGAGATTGGACCAAAACTGGGACTCAACGCTGTAAATAATGGATTCTTGGGGTTGAATAATGTCAGAATACCAAGAACTCAGATGCTCATGAAACATGCACAGGTTTTAGAGGTAAAGTTACCAGGGTTCCTATTTCCAGGTGTCTGTTAGCTAATTCCTTAATATTCTAGCTTGAAGTACTTCCACAGAATTGGTATGATTGATCTTATATTAATGATTTCCCTTTTATTATATTCATATTTCTTTATTAACCAATGTAACAGTTTTCGTCACACAATGGCATGTGAATATTATAGTTAATTTTAAAACATTATAATTTTAAAATTAATAAAATAAATAATAACAATAAGATTTAAATTATAAAATAAAAATAACAATACAAATGAATTATAGTTAAAATTATAAATTAGTTAATACATGTCAATATAATGGTGACCATATACCAATAATGATGACTTCAATTTACAAAATTGGAATTGTCACACTTCTTACAGTTAAACATAAATAAATAATAATGTTATAATTTAATATTGGCATTTAGGTATTCGGTCACGTTATAAAAAGGATGTTGTTCAAAATATGTCTTTATTTTATTTTTAAATTCATTATTATCATATTAATATGATAATGGCTTATAATAAATAACTTACAAGAGTATAAGTTAGTATAGTTAGTTATTAATTAACGTATATAATCAATATATTCTTATATTAAGTTTTGAAATAATTTTATTTTCTTTCTTTTTAACCGTGTTGTGCTGTTGTCATATATTTGTTGTAAACTTTTATTTGAAGAAAAAGCAACAGCTGTATTTCTTGCCTATTCTTCTCAGCTTTTTGTTTACAACACAGGGGGCAAACAAGCATGCGGCTCACCTGGTGGTAAGTGACTACCGCCGCCCATGATCACCCACAACACTAACGGCATTGTAGGTGTGCTGCCAGCTTTTAAAAAAGGAATATGCTTAGCTGACATTTCATTTCAAACTGGGCGGTAAATGCATAATAAAATGAATGACGTCTTAATTATAAGTATAAAAACGCTTATACTTAAGTTAATTTCTTTCTTTCTTAATTTGCATAAAAAGATTTTTATTACTATTGTTATTTATTTAGTTAATAATAATTATTCATAACTATTTTCCAGGATGGCACATACGTGAAGTCCAGAAATAGCAAGTTGAATTACGGCGCCATGGTGTTTGTAAGAGTAGTTATTGTCTTTGATATGATAAACTACTTAATTAGGGCTATAACAATAGCTGTACGCTATTCCGCTGTCCGCAGGCAGTCACAATTAAAAGAAGGGTGTGTATTTATTTAATTCCATTAAAGTTACTATTAGTGTATTAAAGCGAATCGTGGGTATGGCAGAAGAAGCATAAAAGTAAGAGAAGTGCTATAGAGAAGAGAGCTCTGAGAAGTATATGTGGTATTACATTAAAAGATAGAGTAAGAAACAGTGTCATTAGAGAGAAGTCTGGACTGAAAGACGATGTAGTGACAAAACACGAAAAGGGAATGTTGATTGATTTGGCCATTTGGAGAGGATGGACGAAAGATGGATTACGATAGATATTTATCGAGTAAGAATGAATGGAGATGTCGGTAGGTACCACCCTAGATGCACATTATTGCACGTGTGCTGACCAAGTAGGAGACGTGCTGAAGAAGGACAACATTAAAAGTACCCATAACCGACGAGCGTATATGAAAAGATTGATTAATGTGGAGGAAGCGAAAAAGGCTTGTTTGAATCGAAGCATTTGTTGTTCCATTGTTTCAGCTTACCCTAATGGAAGACAGGCGTGATAGATATGTATGTATGTATGTACTATTACTATGTGTCAATAACAATTGAAGCTTGATTTCTAGAAATTATAGCCAGTTTTCGGTAGAAAATATTAGTGGTTTCATCGATGTTCATAATAGAATTGAATTAGTAGAATTAAACAACGTTGCTTAATAATCAAATAACTATTAAAATATATATAGATATAATAAAATAGAAGAGTTTGTATCATAGGGGTGTCACTAGTGGAAGAAGAGCCAATGGGTTTTCTAATTGTTTATCTGCAACAACATTCAATTCTTTCGCCGCATAATTTAATTTCTGTTTTGCCAAAGGTTGACTGGGAGAAAATGCTTTATAGTATTAAGTCTTCCTTTTATTAAATTTTACCAAACATTTTTTTTTTGTAATATGGATAATAAAGAATAAATAAATAAATAAAATATAATTTTCTAAGAATTGCTAGTAATAAACAATTTAACTTTATCAATTGTAAAAAGAATTATTAAAAATAGGTCACAATTATTGGCGATGAGTGAGTGAAATACAGAAGAAAATTAGTGGCGAAACAAAATCGCCTTAGTCGCTGTTATGACACAATATTTTTGCTACGAAAGGATACATTTTTATTTTATTTTTTTCACCGTACGTACGTTTAGTTATAGAAAAACGTCCTGAATTGTCATGAGTAAATTATAAATAAATTCAGGACATGCCATAGGTGTTGGGCCTCTGGTTGTTTCTAATACTGTTTATACAGAATGCTATAAAAACTAATATAGTGATTATATTTGTTGATTATAATAGTGAACCAGAAGTACAAATATTGGATTATATAATGCAACGGCATAGACTATTTATTGGGATAGCAGCGAGCCACGCGTACAGGATAATTGGTAGTAAATTATGGGACACATTTCACGATGTTCAGGAGCAGCTTGTTGGTGGAAACTTGGATCGGTTGCCGGAGGTATGATTTATTTATTACTCTTTATTGCACAATAAAACTTTGTACTATAAACGTGTTGAGCTCAATGCTATACGGCATTCTTCGCCAGCTTACGATTAGGTAAAAATAAAAAGCGTATGAAGGGCAGATATGGTGAAAAATATGTGACATAATTGAAGCAACATACTGAAATAATTATACATCTTACATAAGTAATACACATATAACACTAATTATAATATATATATATATATATATATATATATATACAAATATATAAAAACTATTGTAAACATTAGATATAGTAACTATTGAGTAACCTATAACTAGAGCTGGTTTTCTTGACTCAACAAATAATTGTGTTTATTATTATTATATTACCATTATCTAATTATTATATTACATTATTAATTATCATAATCTACAGTCGGAGGTAAAAAAAACAATATATACAATAATGAATTAAATACTAATATGTAAATTGTTCATGTCTTGCGCGGTTGACATCACACATTGATGTCAAAATGCTGACAGTGCGCCTCGTGCTGGCTGAACTATTTATATATTTATAAGAAATCAATCTATTGACACATACATAATTACGCTATCACTATTAGTAGATGGGATAGAGCGAGATAGCAACACCTGGCCCCTTTTTCTTTTTCATGCATACACTAATATAAACATATCTAATGACAGATTTGTTTGTTACTAGTTATTACTATATTAAAGTGAAATAAAAAATAATAATAATGATACCAATCGATGCGAAAATAAGCACAATAATAAATAAGTTGGGTATTATTAATTAGTTATTTAAACTTAATGCACAGTAAAATTGAATGCGGTATGAAAAAAATATAAATAATATATTTTTTTTAAATTACACAATAAATGGCCAGCAAGATACACCAATATATATATATATATATATATATATATATATATACATAACGAGTAACCTGTTCATTTTATTTCATTTGCAGAAATATTGTTAAAATGTAGAAAATATTAATAACATATTTGTATTTACATTGATTGTGGGAGAGTGTGCTACATTTATATTTATTCCTTATTATCTATATTTTAGTGGCCAAATTTAATTTGTTGGTACTTAATTAATAAATAAATTGGCTTGTTTATTCATCATCATTATCATCACATCAGACTCTAACTGTCCACTACTGAACATAACTTTCCCTCTTAGGGGGTTTCGCCAGTAGTTGCCACGCTTGGCAGGCGGATTGACAACCGCAGTTAGGCTTTGGAGATATTTTAAGAGGGACGCTGCTGCCCAATTCCACTCTCCTTTAGGGGCCTCTTACGACACCTACGAGAAAGGAACGGGTGGTTTATCCTATACCGAGACCACACGACCTTCATTAATACAGAATATTTAAATAGTTTTAACAAATGCCAATAAATATAAATTTATAACACTTTACAGTTACATGCACTGGCGTGTTGCCTGAAAGCTGTATGTACTTCTGATATTACGGCAATCGTCGAAAACTGCCGCAGGGCGTGCGGTGGCCACGGATACATGAGGTCTTCGAATCTGCCCACGCTGTACGGTATGGTTACCGCCGCTTGCACTTATGAGGGAGAAAATAATGTGCTGTTACTGCAAACTGCCAGGTAAGATAATAAAATTTAATAATTAATTTAGAGGGAGACTTTGTACAAAAATCGATTGTTAGGGTACCTCTGTTCCATTCGTGTTTTAACCGTAAAGCAGTTGTGTCTGCATGGCTGTGTTTCGGTTTGAAGGGTCCTGAATCCTGAGTCCTCAGGAATGGCAACGCATGGGTATCATGGGCGAAACAGTATACTCTGTTATGTCCATGGTACTGCTCATGTCTATAGGCGACGGTTACCACTTTCTATCAGGTGGGCCGACAACTTGTTTGCCATTCTAAGTAGTATAAAAAAATCTATTATATTTCATCAGATAATTTTTAACCAGTATCAAAAAAGGAGGAGGTTCTATCATCATCATTATCATATCAGCCTTTAACTATCCACTGCTGGACATAAGCCTCCCCTTTAGGGGGTTTTGCCAGTAAGTTGCTACGCTTAGCAGGCGGATTGGCAACCGCAGTTAGGCTTTGGAGTTGTTTTAAAAGGGAAACTACTGCCCGTCCCTCGCCCACTCTTAGTTACTTCTTAGACGCCCACGGGAAAGGAAGGCCTATTCTATGCCGGGACTACACGGGAGGTTTTATGTTCCACTGTATATTGTTTTTATGTATGGCTACTGATTTCTCCGTTAGTTGTAGACCGATTAAAATTTTTTTTTATTGTACGAATACAATAAAAAAAAAGTTTTCGAAAAAGAGTGAAGTACTGAGGTGTTCTCATTGACACCAAATTGGAATCTGATTATGGGATCCCAAGATGGGGATGGGGATGGGGAAATCAAGAAAACTCCTCAAATTTTATAGGTGCATGTATGACTTTTCGTATTTTTTCAAAACTTATTCAGATATTTGCATCTGGTAGTTATCATTTGATATTGCTGAGCTGATGATGGAAGGTACAACTCCTTTTTATAATCCAATTTTATAAAAGAATATTCTGGTTTCTTGTCAGTTCCTCTTGGTTAATTGGCAATATAATTGTTTGATGTTTAAATTTAGTTACGTCAATGAATTCCCTAAACATTTTACAGGTTTTTGGTCAAGACTTGGCAACAAATAGACAAACAGGAGTTAACTCCAACCGTGTCTTATTTGAAAACTGCAAACGTCTTTGCTGACAAATGGGTGAATAGTGTGGATGGAATCATTCATGGCCTTCAGGTAGTGGCTGCGGGGTTAGTATTTTATTTATTTTTTTAAAACCACTGGCCATATTGTCATTATCATTTCAGCCATTAACTACCCACGGTCTGCCCCTTGGCGGGTTTTGCCAGTAGTTGCTACGCTTGACGAGCGGGTTGGTAACCGAAATTAGGCTTTGGTGATGTTTTAATAGGGACGCTATTGTCCATCCTTTGATCATTAAGTTCCCTTTGTCGCTTCTTTTTTTTTATTTATGACTAACGAACTGTTAACCTCCATTTACTAGGTTGATTTTGGAACACGAAATTGACTCTGAAAATTCTCGAAAAGATTCGAAAGTGGCAAACAAGCATACAGCCCGTCTGATGGTAAAGGGTCACTGTAGCCTATGGACGCCTTGTAACACTAGGGATGTCACGTGCGCGTTGCCAACCCTGACGAAACCTTAATATTTTCTTTTTGAAGAACCCCATACTGTAGTCCCTAGGGAAAACCTCGGCAGGGAGCTCATTTCAGAGAAAATTACACGGGCCATGGTCTGTATAAATTATGCATTGATGTCCTGCTTTTTTTTATACCACTGAGGTGGCAATCATGCATACGGTCCACCTGATGGTAATTGGTTACCGTTAACCGTTTGCTACACATCATTTACATTATAAATTATTCATTAAGTTAATTTACTATTACAGTAAAATAAAGTCATGTGTGGAAAATATGAAGAAGCGCCTGGACTCAGGCATGTGTTATGAAGATGCATGGAACACGACATCTGTGCAATTAGTTGCTGCGGCTGAGGTATTAAATTAATTCTGATTTATTATAAAAAAAACTTATTATTAAAATTGTATAAAAGTAGTAGTATTGTTTTAAAATTATTTTCGGCTAGATCACGTGTTCAAACAACCATTTCAAAATAAAATGAGCACTATCAAGGTTATTAGATGTTGCATATATATATTTTTATTTTATATATACATATGTATATATATATATATATATATATATATATATATATATATATATATATATATATATATATATGTATATATATATATATATATATATATATATATATATATATATATATATATATATATATATATATATATATATATATATATATATATATATATAATATTATAAATGCAAAAGTAAGGACGGATGAATGGTTGGATATTTGTTATACTTTTACGCAAAAACTACTGACTTTATTTGAATAAAACTTGGATCGCAGGTTGGTTATATCTTAATTTAGCAACTTAATTTACAAGATACTTTATGTACTAATTTACGTGGGCGAAGCCGCAGGATATAGAAAGTGTGTTATAGATTAAACATTGTAAATATTTATATTATGTGAGAAAAAATTAATTCATCAACAAATTAAACTAAAAATTCATCTAATCTAAGAATATTGGGGGGAAGGGATTGTTAGTAATAGGGAGGTTAGTTTCCATTGCTATCAATATACCCTACCTGGTTAACATCCACGCGGATCCCCCTGGAAGGTATCGTAACTAATTTATCGTTGAATTCGTCACGATGGGCTAACTGATCAGCCTTTTCATCCTCACCAATCATCTCTCACTGGTGCTCCGCCAGTGTATACCGATAGCACAGGCGGGGTCATTATTCCATTATCATCCATTAAAAAAAAATTAAGAATATTTTAACTGATTTACAACTTTTACCAGAGGGAGACTTTGTACAAAAGTCGATTGCTTGGGTACCTCTGTCCCATTCGTGTTTCAACCGTAAAGCAGTTGTATTTGCATGGCTGTGTTTCGGTTTGAAGGGTGGGATATGGCGTGAATTTACTGGGTACGGAGGAATAACACCCGAGTCCTCAGGAATGGCAACGCATGGGGGGTATCATGGGCGAAACAGTATACTCTGTTATGTCCATGGTACTGCTCATGTCTATAGGCGACGGTTACCATTTTCCATCAGGTGAGCCGTGAGCTTGTTTGCCATTCTAAGTTGTATAAAAAGAAAAGGACGCGTTTTGTTTAATTCGGTTGGTTTACATGTTGAAGATAAATAATTTGAGTGACGCAAAATACTGTAATATTTTAGGCACATTGTCGAGTGATCATCATTTCCACCTTCCACGAGGAGGTATCAAGACTGTTGCCAACAGTATCAGAGCTACTGCGGCCAGTGCTCGAGCAATTGGTGGAATTGTACGCCGTTTATTGGGCTTTGGAAAAATTGAGTGATTTACTTTTGGTAAGTTTTTATTATTGTAATAACAATTCAAAGAATTAAAAATTGTGTTTCACAAAAAAAAAAAAGATTTCAATTGAGATAAAATCCGTAATTTTAATCTAAAAAATAAACTATTCGAATCAATTTTGATAAAATTTCTATGGGACCAATTTGTAAGCATATACTTTCAAATAAAAAAAAAAAAGTATTTTCGAATTCGGTTAAGATTTGACGGTGTTAAGGACTGCCTTATTTTTGAATTTAGAAAATGTGATTGTAAAATCTTTGTTCATTTACGTTACTAGATTATATATTCGATACAGTTTATGTAGAAAGTATGCAAACAGGTTGTATCTGAATTTGGTTGGGTTATACGAAATTGAGATATACTGAATTGAGAAAAACAGTAACTGATGGTGTATCTTTCGTTCTCTTTTTACTAATTATATTTGTATAAGAAGAAAGGAGGCAACAATATGATTTACAGTTGTTATTTTATCATTTCTTCTATGTAATTCCTTGTTCTTAGTTTATAAGTAAAAGTTGAATTCTTATTATACTCGTCTATGGGCGAATCAGTTTACTACTGGGTTCTCGTAGTACCATAAATACCTACGTAATATTATAGTATTTTTCTATACTAAAATAATTTTATAATTTATCTTAATCCGGTCTTTTTAATAGATGGTAATGTTTATAATTGTGCCTGCGTTAATAGGTGAGGATGAAAACATGTAATTTGATTCATTGTGACAAATTCATCAAGAATTAACCAAAATGGTTTTCAGCGTAGACAGCATGGAGGTCGATCTGGCGCTATCTTGCAAGCATCTTGCTATGTTGAGGGTTGTTAGTAATGGGATCATCAGCCCCCGTTACTAACTCCCATATGATTAATCTTATCAGATCTCATAGATAGAGATTAAATATAGGTTAACTTGGTACACATTGCATTTTTACATTGGACGAATGAATTACTATTTACTGACTTAATTCTTTTAAGGCTACAAACAAACTCGCTTTCATATTCATTATATATATATATATAAAATAAATTAATTTTAATTTTTATATATTTCTATTTTTTATTTTATCTATGGTTTTGCTCCTCAGTGATTCAATTGAGTGTTCTTAATTTTGTAGTATACGGCAATAGAAAAAAAAGACGTGGAAAGTCTTCAATATTGGTACGAAGAGTTGCTGAGGGAAATTCGACCTAATGCCGTTGGGCTAGTGGATGCTTTTGACATACCAGACATTGTAAGTCACATTTTTTCTTATGTCGTGATTCCGGCAGAGAATGGGCCACACCTTCCTTTCCAGTGGGTGTCTTAAAAAGCCACTAAAGGAACATAATCGTTGAGAGATGGGGAGCAGCGTCTCTATTGAAACAACCAAAGCCTAACTACGGTAACCAACCCACCTGCCAGGCGTGGCAATTACTGGCAAAACCCTTCAATAGAGGGAGGCCTATGTACAGCAGTGGGCAGTTAACGACAGATATGATGATTGTCACATCACATTTGTATCTAGAAACTACACGACGGTGCAGACATTGGTGTATTTAATATTATTTTCCAAGGGATCTTTTCTATTTTTTTTTAATGGATGATAATGAAATGGTAACCCCACCCGCGCTATCGGTATACACCGGCGGGGCACCAGTGAAGGATGATAGGTGAGGATGAAGCAGGTCAGTTAGCCCATCGTGATGAATTCAACAAGAATTGTGCACGGTGGTTTCCAGAGGGAACCACGTGGAGGTCGACCTAATAGGCCATATTGCTAGCAATGGGACTGTCAAACTCCATTGCTAACAATCCCTTTCCCCCCTTTCCAAGGAATCTGACCCCTTAAAAAAGTCGCATATGTACTCTTATATATCTTGGTCCATAGCTAAAAGCTCTAATCATGATTCTGTGGTAGGCACAAGATGAAACTGTGGTGGGCATGGCCCATCCGGCCCTCCCCTTTAATAGACCTAGGCGCACAGTATTAATGGTATTAGTACTATAGACTACGGCATGGGGTTTTTCTATAAGCGTGCACGTTTCTCGTTTTCCACAATTGTGATGTTGATTCCTGTCCTGTAAGTGAAAAGGCTTAAGGCTTTTTAATGAAACTCGATTTAAATGAAAGATAAGAGGAAATATGTTATATTATATACCTGTTTTTTTTTTAATGGATGATAATGGAATGGTAATCCCGCTTTACTTACGCAAACGGTATACTTTGGCATCAGTGAGGGCTGTTAAGTGAGGATGCAAAGGTAGGCCAGTTAGTGATGAATACACTTGAAATTCAGCACTATTGTTTTCAGGGGATTATGGGGAGGTTAACCTGACAGCATATATTGCTACCAATGGGATTGGTAGTCCACATTATTAAGAATCCTTTCCCCACTAGATACCTAGGTTGCATGTTCTACGTTAGCAGCAAATTAATAAACAGGCAAAAATTTGTATTTGATCATATTTACTTGCAGTGGATTAATTTTTTTTCTTTCTGTGTTCAGCTTGCGTTTTTCAAGATAAGGTAACATTTGATTGGAAAATTTGTATACTCTAGATGCTGAACTCCACACTGGGCGCGTACGACGGGCGCGTGTACGAGCGCCTGATGGAGGAGGCCCTCAAGAGCCCCCTCAACGCGGAGCCCGTCAACAGCTCCTTCCACAAGCACCTCAAGCCGTTCATGCAGGGGAAACTGTGATTTGAAATTTCTATGATGAAGGCGGCTTAGAAACTCTTGATGCCAGAGGGAGTCATCCCGACAGGGGAATTAACTAATGTTCCACTAATTCTAATACTTATTTTTACAAAATCACCCGAAATTAAATACCTGTACAATGACGGACCGAAAAGGAATAGGAATCCGAAACCTCAAAAAAAAAAAAACAGATAAAAATGAGTAAGTTTGGTACTGAACAATTTTCCTCGAGGATATTTAGGGTTGCCCTTAGTCTGTCTGGCATACTTGAGCATATTTTGATGGCGCCCTCTTGACGTAAAAACGGTTCATTATTGATTCTATGGTGACAATTTTGAACTTTCCCCCCGCACGGCGGCGACCAGTGAACACGTATTACATTGTCACTCCGCTCATTTATTACATTTCGGAAGTTTACAGTTATCGAATACCAACAAAAGTGATATCAGTGTGTAGTGTTGATAACAATTTAGACAAATCAAGCATCTGTTGCAGCTCTGATTTGTGTATTATGCTATAAACTGTAAGTTTAACTATTATCGTTACACATTTAAAAGTTACCGTCAGTTGTCTTTCTTGGCTAATTATAACTGCCGATGACTCATTGCTACTCGTCGCTTACAGCGCTCGACTGAAAAACCTTCGTACCATATTAACGCATCAATTACGATACATATCGCTTTATTATCGCTTAGCTGTCGCAGTATTGTTTGAACCCGTACTATGAGATTGCAATTATAGCGATATAAATAGTTTATTGTTTCGCTGACAGACATTATTTAACATAAATATTAATAATAATAATACACATATATACAAAATGAAATGCGCAGCATGCCTTCAGGGTTTAAAAAAGCAGGAGAATGTTATTGTCTGCTCTTCCGTTTTGTGTAAACAAACCTTTCACGCAGCATGCACTAAAGCTGAACGACTTAAACAGGAGGAATTTAAGTCTTGGGTGTGTCCTGATTGTTGTGCCAAAATGAGAAAAGGTGGGGACAATTCCCAAACTCCGGTTCGTTCCACACCAGACAATATCACCGTTCGTAAGAAAAGTCAAATACCACCTGGCAATAACCTCAGTCCGTCAGAACATACTTCAACTGCATCGGAGCCAGAAGCACTGCTTTCCCTATCTTCAGAGATTAGTCTTTTGAGGCAAACCATGAATGAAATGTGGAACTGCTTTAGAGAGCGCCTCGATACCCTTGGCGAGAAATTATCAAATTACGACGAAAGACTTAGAGTGCTTGAAACTCAAGCATGTGAAAATGCTGCTCTTAAAGCCTCAATTTCTGCCTTGAAGGAGCAATTAAATAACCAGACGCAGCTATCATTAAGGAAGGAACTAGAAATTGCTGGTCTCGCGGAAAGTTTAAACGAGAATCCCGTGCACTTAGCTTTGACTACAGCTTTAAAGTTGGGTATTAATCTCCAGGAAACTGATTTAGACTATGTTTCTCGGGCTGGTCCTAAGAGGCAGGGTAAAGAGAAGAACAACGACCATTCTCCATCGATGCCTCGTCCTTTGGTAGTTGCTTTTGTTCGGCGGGCTAAGCGAGATGAGTTTCTAGAGCATTCAAGGAATCGCCGACCTTTGAAAAGCAAGGATATTATTACAAATGACTCTGATAGCACAATATATGTAAACGAACGCCTTACGAACGATAACCGCCGTTTATTTCGAGATTCCAGACTCTTTGCAAAAAAGCATGGGTACAAACACTGTTGGGTACGTAACGGTTTCATATTTCTCAGGAAGGAGGATTATAGGGATGGAAGTCCAGCAATTAGAATACAATTCCAGGACGACCTCGAACGACTGGTTACATCGATCTCTAGACATTTTCCGAAGACTGACACTGCAAGAGATTCATCTGTTATTGCATCTTCTCCAGCCTAGTTTATTAATTTATACTCACTTGTTAAATTATTTATTTTTAAATTCATCTCTACTTTATTTAAATTTTTTAATTTTGTTTGTTATGACTTCTGTCTACACTTTGTTAAGCACACTATTCTCTACACATACTTTCATTACACATAAACATACGGTACGAAAATTAATTAGTTTTGTCCTTAATATTCAATTATTTGCGCACTATCAGGACTTGGGTACTTCATGTCACTTTTTCATGTCTGTGGCTCATTATTTGTATAATACAAAATATTTTCTTTTTTCGATATATCCATGGCTTCCTTAAATCTGTTGGACGAAATTGATAACTCTTTTAAGATAAATTGCCACACAATACCAATACCTGAGAACTGTTCCCAAGTAATTTCTAAATATACTTTAAAAATACTAAATGTAAATATAAGAAGCTTACAAAAAAACTTTGATAGCTTTCTTGTCATTTATAGGAGATTAAATATTGATTTTGACGTAATGGTTTTCAGTGAATGTTGGTTAAATGAAAATTCTACAATTAACCAAATGCATGGTTACACTTCCTTCTGCTCCAAAAAATATATAAATAAGTCAGGCGGTGTTACGGTGTATGTCAGCGATAAGTGGTCTTACGTAGCATCTGAGCTGGAGGTGGAGGAGGCAAATTGTGTTCTGATTGAGGTTCTGAATTGTTTCAGAGTGATGGCAGTGTATAGGTCTCCCAGCTTTCAAAATCCCTGTACATTTATCAATTCACTTAATTCAGTTTTAAAAGAATTTACATCGACTTCATGTTTTGTATTTGCTGGTGATTTAAATATAGACATTTTGAGTTCAGAATTAGACAGCGATCCCTCTGAGTACCTCAATAGTTTAGCGGAATATGGACTTGTTTCTAGCATCAATATAGCAACTCGCCAAAGAACCTGTCTTGATCACATTTTTGTTCCAGCTCAGAGTAGGGCAGAATCTGTCGTTTGTTCCGCTGATTTAACGGATCATGACATTACTATGGCAGGAATCATGTTAGAGCCTCTGAAGCAATATTCTCTGAATCGTTTTAGGGTTAAAATTGATTATGTATCACTTGAAACTGACCTCAGGGAGATAGATTGGTCTCCTGTCATGAATTGTGATGATCTGGACACTGCTGTGACACAGTTTACATCTAAAATCACTGATACAATATCTAAACATTCAAAAAACTTGAAGGTAAGCCGCTCAAAATTTATTATACAGCCTTGGATGACGCCTGGTTTGATTAGGTGCTCCAAACACCGTGACAGGCTGCACAATGATCTTCGCAAGGATCCTAATAACTCTATGAAAAAACTAATTTTTTCAAGATATAGAAATTTCTATATCAGTTTATTAAGAAAACTTAAAGCTGATTACTTTAATAGACAATTAAATGAAAATAAAAGTGCGCCAAAAAAGCTTTGGAGTACTATTAAACGCATTACTCATAATTCTGTTACTGTATCGACACCTGAAGAGTTGACCAAATCTAAGAACACTATTATGGAGTCTCTTAATTATTGCAATTCCTTTTTCTCCTCTATAGGACACAGGCTAGCAAATAACATTTTGATAAAATTAAATGAAACACAAGAATCACTTGCCAAAAAAATAAAATTCACTTCCACTCCCAAAAATTCCTTTTTCATCGATCCCACTGACGCACAAGAAGTATTAAATGTTATAAACACTCTAGATTCTGGTAACGCCTCTGGTTTTGATGGTCTTAACAATAATATTTTAAAAAACATTGGTAATTTTATTGCGAGCCCGCTGGCATCAATATTTAATCGCAGTATATTGTCAGGATTTTTCCCTCAGATCTGGAAAACAGCTGTAGTAGTTCCTATACATAAAGGTGGAACTAAAGATGACCCCAGCAATTATCGTCCGATTTCACTCTTGCCCGCGTTTTCCAAACTTCTAGAGCGTATCATCTACAAGCGGCTAGTTAGGTTTCTACAGGAAAATAAAATTTTAAACAACAATCAGTTCGGATTTCGTCAGGGTAAGTCAACTGAAGATGCTGTGACACTTCTGACGGATACTGTTGTCGATCATCTGGATGAGGGGAAATGCTGTATTGGTGTCTTTCTTGATCTTGCCAAGGCATTCGATACGGTTTCAGTTCCAATACTTCTAAGGAAACTCGAGAGTTACGGTATTCGTGGTTTGCCCTTAAATTGGTTCAATAGTTATTTGTCACAAAGAAGCCAATGTGTAAAAATAGGAGATCAGAGGAGCGATCTTAACTGTGTATCCTTTGGTGTTCCTCAGGGAAGTATACTGGGTCCTGTCTTGTTTATTTTATATATTAACGATATTTTAAACGCCCAGCTGCAGAATTGTGATATAATATGTTACGCAGATGATACAGCTTTGATTTTTCACGGTCAATCGTGGCAGGAAGCACAATACTTGACGGAAACTGGTCTTCAGCGAGTATACAAGTGGCTAAATCACAACCTCCTTACACTAAATGCTTCAAAAACACAATTCATGTGTTTTCATAAAACAGCTGCATCTCGTCCTCCTACACTGATTGCTCTTAGGGTTCATGCTAATGGCTGCTCTCTTTCTGGTGGTAATCTCTCTACAAATTGTAGTTGTAATCAAATTGAGAAGGTTCGCTCGTTAAGGTATCTCGGTATTGTATTAGATGAAAATCTAAACTTCAAGAATCACATATCAATAACAACTAAACGGGTCCGCAAATTAATATATACTATGAAATTATTGCGGGGTGTTACCGATGGTCCTACTGTCAAATTGGTGTATTTAGCTTTGTGTCAATCCATCCTTAATTATTGTCTGCTGGCCTGGGGTGGTATTGCGAAGTCAAACCTAATAGCCCTAGAGCGAGCTCAGCGCGCTGTCTTAAAAGTATCACTGAGAAAACCGCGGCGTTATGATACGAAAAAATTATATGAGGAAGCTCAGGTACTAAGTGTTCGTAAATTATTCATCTTGCGAGCGACTGTACACATGCATAAATATGCAATGAATCTCCCTACATATAATGACATGTTATCGAAACGAATTTACAAACTCCCTGTTACAGACGTAAGAACAACTTTTGCACAGCGTTTCAGAAAATATCTCTTTACACGAATTTACAATCACATCACAAGGCTTACTGACATAAAAGATAGCCGATTATCAACTGCAAGGAGAGTCATTCATGGATTATTGATGTCTTGGTCCTACGAAGATACAGAAAAAATTTTAAAAAGCGCAGTTTAATGTATGGGACGGAACTGTATATTCACTACCTTCATCTATATACATATGCACATGCTTACACACACACACACACACACACACACACACACACACACACACACACACACACACACACATATATATATATACACACACACACACTCGTGTACCCAAACTCACATGAAACATTATATAATTAAATTATCCCTGTTCGCCGCACCATAACTGTAAAATTACTTGCTTTGCCTTCCACAAGACAGGCTTTGCCTAGTGTGGGGTCATAGCTATATTGTACCATAGGCTAATTTTGTTAAAGGAAATAAAGATATTCTATTCTAAATAAAGATATTCTATTCTATTCTAATTTTATATCTCTGAGCACCTCTTGAATCTCAGTCCCTCGGATGCCGTTCGATTACCACCTTAAAGTTGTTATAGGATATATTAATTGAAATATAAATATGTTATGAGTAATGAATGAGGAGGTTATTTCCTATTGTTATCAATATATGTACCTTCTCAGGGCGACCCCCACGCGGTCGCCTCTGTAAATCGTCGTAGTTAATTTCTGGAGAATTCGTGACGATGGACTGCCTTCCTCTTTAGTTATCATCACTTACTGGTGCCCTAACATCGTATACCATATAGCGCAAGTGGGGTTGCCATTCCAATTTCCTTATAAAAATATATGTATATAATTGTTTTAATTTTCCAGTAGTAACTTTATTATCCGATATTTTTGAACATCATCTATTTTTCGGATTGTTTTACTTATAGGTTTTATTTTATTATGTGTTACTGTAAAGCCTGTACATTGGTGAAGGTTGAGGTTTTAGCAGTAAATCTTAGGATCTTATTTAGGATATACCAATATGAGTTGGTAAATGTAAAGAAATATCATTTTTGGGGGCTTTAGTTAAATCAAACTTAACCTACCTTTCTGACCACGAATACGAGCATCACGCATTAATCCCTCACTAATGCCCCGTTAGCGTATACCATTAGCACAGGCGGGGTTACCATTTCATTATCATCTATTAAAAACAACAAGTCCAAATTATTGTACTGTTAATGTAAAAACCGGAATTATGGTAAATCTATAATTCTCACCATTGTACAAGCTTTTACAATAACTTATCACCATCATATCAGCCATGGGAGGCTTATGTTCAGCAGTGGACAGTAACATATGAACACAAGTATTTATAAATTTTATATGGGTAGGTACAAGAAATAAATTTATGGACTTAAATGGTGTAACTGTTGTGATTTCATAAATGTGTTGTGATATTTTTTATACTAAATGTGTATGTAATACATATTTTTATGGGAACAGCAGGGTATATACAATTGTAATGATGGGTTTATTTAATAAACAAACTGACAAATCATTTCCGTCTATTTTATTTAACTACCTTTCACCTGTCCCATATACATGGAGTAATGGAGCAATTATCGTACGATCAATCGATGGATACATACAATTTATGGTTATATCGTGTCCAGCTTTTTGTATGGTTTATTTCAGTAGAATTTGTCGAGCAAAAGAATAAAATTGTTCTGATCATAAGATATAGAAGTTTATGCTATTAAAAAAAAAAATTTTTTTTTAAGTAATATATACGTGATAGCAAAAAAATAAAAACAGATATAGATTCAGGATATTGAATACTTCATATTTATCATATTTTTGTTTAAAGGAGTTTTTCGTTGCAGACCAGTGTAATTGTTTCGATCATAAGACAGTCTGCTAATGTTTAATAGTTAAAGAA